CGTTTCGGAGGGGGCACCACCTAAAGACCTCCCCCCCCAAAAAAAATTGACTTTTAATTAGAATATCGCGCACAAGCACGATTCCAAAGCGAAAAGATAGTTTTCGAATAATTTATCAATAACCAATAACTTAAGGATGAGAAATCCCGTGTGCATCCATGTTTAAGAATGGCCTAATTAGCACTAATTATTTACTGTTAATTAAACTTTTGAGCACAAGAGCGAAACCTTCACTATAAGCTGCTTGTGACTATAATGCAAGATCCACAACTTAAGAATAGCTTTTCCCGTGCATTTTGTGCTTAAGAACGAGTTAAAGTTCAATAATTAGCCGCCTTCTAAGATGCTTTTTGTTTTATGTGTTTAAACATTGAGCACAACGATCATTCCAACACCAAACGGTAGTGTACGAGTCAGCGTTTGCAGAATGTCAAGTTAAGAATAAAAAAATTCGTGCAAAATCTGCGAACGGCTTTATTTACCGCGAAATAACGCAAAAACGTAGCCCGGTTCATACATCATGCGAAAGCGAATGCGAAGCGAATGCGAAGCGAATTCGACGTCATAAAAACATTCGCTGCGAAATTCGCCCGAGTTGAAATATGTTCAACTTTTACAAATTCGCAGCGCGAATACTTGCCACGACGTCACAAGTCGCGTTCGCTTTAGCTTTCGCGCAGAGTATGAACCGGGCTTAACTATGGTGGCCCTGAAGGGACATCGCATATCGCAAACGTGTGCGCATACGTATGCGATGTCGCGAAATTTATCGCGAATGTGTGCGCACACGTATGCGATGTCGCGAAATTTATCGCGAATATGTGCGCACACGTATGCGATGTCGCGAAATTTATCGCGAATATATGCGCACACGTATGCGATGTCGCGAAATTTATCGCGAATATGTGCGCACACGTATGCGATGTCGCGAAATTTATCGCGAATATATGCGCACACGTATGCGATGTCGTGAAACAATTCGCGAATATGTGCGCACACGTATGCGAATTTGTTTGCAATGTCGTGAATTTTATTGCATACCTTGTCGCATACCTTTCAGTAAAATTCCTAATGAACTGGGGAGTTGTAGCAACTAGTCTGGAATCTAGACGTACTGTTAGATATAAATAGGGTCTGACTAATAAACCTTCCGGCGCGCGCACGCTGTTCCTCGTGCAATCGTTACTACTAGTACTGTCGAGCGCAAACTTGCTACATGCGCAACTTTGAAATTTGCGCGCGCAAGTTTGAAACCTGCGCGCGCAAATTTCAAAGTTGCACGCGGAACATTTTTTATTTTTTATTCGTAAGTTGAAATTCTGCAAAAGCAGACTCATTCGTGACTGTTTGGTGTTGGAATGATCATTCTAATGAACTTAGACATAAAAAAAAAATTAGGCGGTGTCCCCTCCCAGACGCACGGGTATGACACTTAAGAATTGCGGTTTTGAAGGTTGGACACCCCACCTACTCGCTGCCGCCATTAAACCTTTTATGAGAGACCTCAATGGGCTCTCGGATTATATGGGTAAAATACAAACAAGGAAATATTTGAGAGGATTTCCGACCAAGAGGATATAACACAGAAACGGCCTCTATTAAGAGCAGGAATTTGAAATCCCCTAACAGACGCAAAATGCTTTGAATGTTGTAATTCCAGGCCATTATAGCAAAAGGGATTTGATTTCGCATCAACGCTGTTTCTTTCAACGGCCTCATAATGTACAATCTCCGTAAAAGTGGGATGCAGAACAATGACTGAAGTGTATAATGCCAACCTTTGGAAATTGCCCAACTATAGGCCTATTGGATTGGAAAAAAAACTATTGCCTGTTGCAGCCGATTCTTTGTTTGTTAACGCCATTTGCCCCTTACTGTTTAAAAATATGGCCAACTCCCAGCAATGGCGAAATTCTTGAATTATTTTATTTTCACTTGGGTGAGCAGCTCTATGGGTGAGCTGGCCAAATGCAGAAAAGAAAAGAAAAGGTGAAATTATCGGAATCGTTCTTTTGCCGGCGCAGCCCCCCACTTTTTAGCGTCATGACCTGCCCCTGAAAGGGTCAGACAAAATGGCATTAAATGGTTTTGAACTTGTTGAAGTACCGCCTAGGCTATATGTGTTGGGAGAGAGTGTACCCAAAAATGCATATAGAGTCCGCCCCACTAGAGCACATAGGAAAGGGCGCGCAGTGACGGTTGTTGCAACTATAGGCTTTACTAGTTAGTACTTTTTTTCCCGGTCGTCCGAGAGCATTGCCATAAAAAAAATGTTGATATTTACCCAACTGCATGAAGACCATGATATTGGAAATGTCGGAGTTGTGAAGTGAAGCTTGAGGAAACTGAAGATCGGAAGCCTGCGTCTCCATCTTGTCTCTCAACATTTCTGACATCTTCATGATTTCCTTCCGACGCGGATACAGCCAAAGGTGTTGTATTAACACCGAAGCGGCGGGTAAGAAATTTGAGAGCGCCTGCCGCGTGCTTCTGGAAAAGATGTAAACGAGCCGACCGTCGCATCAGCAGGGCTGCACCACCATTCCTTGCAATTGGCATAAAATAATCATATGGCCATTGCAAATTGACATGAATTGGATATTTGTACATTCCACACGCACAAAGATGGAAATGTGGTCCACATTGTAATGTTTTGTAAAAGTGGATACACACAACAAAACGTATGAACCGCGGCCCGCTGGTCCTGTCAAAAGCGCCTTTGAAAACTAAAACTTGGGGCGCTTCACGCGGATAGAGCGCCCCCAAGAGTCTACCGGCATTCAAGAGTTTTTTGTAAAGACCGTACCGGTCGATGTTATAACATCGACCAAACATAAAGTTGTCTTCCAACCAAAAAGCTAGAAAATCCAGTTCAATAAAAACTGCAGTTTTAGTCGTTCGGATATATATATATCCGAATATCGGATATATATATATTTTGCGGTGTTTTTTTTAAACATCTCACAAGATTTCTTATTTTTTTTGGGGGGGGAAGGCTATTTTGATTCCTTCTTGCTTACATTCGTTAATATCATTGAAGTGATTTTTCAAATCTAGTCACAAATAAAATACTTTTTCGACAATTCTGCAATGACAACACATTCCAGTTTGACGCATATAATCATTTTTATTTATTCAAAAAGATCCATCCCTTTTCAACAACACTTGCTATTTTGCACAAAATAGTCAACTCTACCACAATACAATCATCAGATCTCTCCCAGTTATTTCATAATTTGCAAAATGTACTGAATCAGTTATGTTATTTCAAATTAAGAGAAATTTGGCATTTAAAAAAAGAAACAAAAGATAAATACATTAAAGTACCTATAAAAATTGAAATAAAAACAGAAGAAAAGGGGTGGAGATTTGTACAACTTAAGCCAACAGTCACCCCCCCCCCCCAAAAAAAATGGATTGGATGGAATTTGTTTAAAATGATATTAGCTACATCATGACACACATAAATGCTCTCCCAAGTTTAAATTGACCTTTCTCCAAAAAAAATAAAAATACTTCCCAAACTTAATCATCTTTGTAATTATATGAACCCAGAAGGAATTTCACGAAACCTATTATCTGCTACAACTTGTAATTCATTTTTTAAAACTCTGTATGCATTTGACATGTGTTATTTGGTTGTGAGATACTGTGAAACTCCTCCAATTGACTTAAAGCTATAGTCCATCATTTGCATCCATCTGAAAAAGTAACTGGCGTATTATTGTTGAAAAACATACTTGGTTGAAAGATAGCAGGTGGACTAAACTCCCTGTGAAATTAATCTTTCTGGAAAGCTATCATTTTGAAGTAATCAACGATAGAAGGCCTTTCCAACGGTGCGTCTTAAGACGCACCGTGGGAAAATTTAAATTAGTAGTTCGTTTTGTTATTCGGCGCAGCGCGCACAAGCATTTGCACGAAGCACAGGCGCGCGCGGTTGCTATAATTTGTCGGATCAGTGCGCAACATCGCGTATAGCTGCAATTCAAAACAATTCAAAACATGATTCAGCAACTTTTGATTTGAAATTGACTCCTAGAATGCTGTTTTTCTCGGAATATACAGCTGAAGCTGAGCTGAAACTTCATCAGGTTAGTTGTTCAGTATCCTTCATTAGATTTTGAACACTTTTGTTGCTTCAAACGAACAAAATGCACAAATTACAAATGATGGACTATATCTGTAACCGAATTCCCACGTATGGGACACAGCGGCAAAACAAAAGACAGTTGTAGAATATGCAAAGCATTTAAAAAGCAAATAATACAGTGCATAGTAAACCCCTGCAGGCTAGAACCAAATTTTAAGTTAAGGATACAATTGAAAAGCAGATGAAAACTGATTTTCACTTCATTAGCAGATTTTTACTATTATCATAAAACCATTTTTCAAAGAGAAAAGGGGCAATTTATGAAATCCAGGATTCGTCTCCAGCTTCAGAGTCATTTTGATATTCATTCCTAAAGCAGAGAATGGAATAGTTAATATCGAGCTGGAGTCCCCCACGCTAGGGGCCTAAGATCTTCTGAAGTTGAAGCTGGGGACAAAGCTGGGGCAAAACCGGGGTTTCAAAAACCCAGTTGTTTCAAAACTTGCCATGCATTGTGGGACATTTTGGGACACGAAATTCTCCACGAAACCCACACACTGTGGATCTGCAAAAAAATGTTAAGTCTAAAATACGCTCGTGGAAATTGCAGCATTAAATGTACTTTATATAATATAACTTTTTAAATAAAGCACTTTTTCAAAAGATTACTACATTCCTTGGAACTATTCAAATTTCCAAATTTAAAAACTTTGGGATGGCTCAATGGAAAAACTGTCGGGGGGGGGGGGGGTACCAACCAGCATTCCAAGCTGTAAAAAAAACACCTTTTTTCCTCAAACAATTTTCACCAACTACTGAAATCTGTTAACAATGTAAGTTCTGAAGTTATTTTCCTTAAATTCTGTCCCAAAAAAGATAACCTCAGTCAACCAGAAAGAAAATCTCGTTCTAGAACCATGCATGGTTTGCTCATTTGAGGGTTTCATTTGTCATTAGGAATTGTCACTTTTTGCTTGTAAAAGTGGCAATTCTGTTTATGTTTTCTTACAAACTTGTGATCAATCAATTCATTGACTTCAAACACAGACCCTTTCAACAAGAAGGAACGCAAGACATTTGATATATATTTCATAGATAAACTGGCAACTGTTTTTAACACAAAATCCTTATTTTGAAAAAGTCAAATTGTGATAGCAAGTTTATAAATGTGATTTTTAATCTGTACAACTATTTAGAAAACCATGGTGATTCTGGTTGTTGTTGTTTTATGGAATTGGAAAATGACGGTTCCTTTCGGAAATGATTTAGCTCAACTTCAAATACCTCAACTTTTGTCTTGCTTAGGCCAGACTTGTAGGGAAAAGTATTCCCAAGCAATGCCCCAAAACACCACACGCATTAATTACAGTGGGGCAGCTGTGTTTGTTTTTTTCTGAATCAAACCACCAGCAAGGCATTCAGCAAAATAATAGTCTGGTAACAAAAAAGTTGTACATTGCAGGGACTTGATAATGCCTTGTATCCTTGGATCCAGACCAATATGGCAACGATCTAACTACACTAGCGCACGGAGTCCATCCTTTTTACGCAGCTGTTTTAGCACACACTCTTGCTTTCAATAGAAAAAAATGGATTACTTGATTAGAAAAATCAAGCTGTTCTCAGCTTTTTGCATTTTAGCTAAGGAGATTAATCGCTAAGCATGTTTTCCTCCGCTTAACAACTCAGTGATGTTGGTCCCGCGCCACCGAGTTCAGTTAGGCTGGTACCCATTATTGTTAAGAAAACAATGTTTCTGAGCAATATGGGCTTCAGGGTACCAGACCAAGATGGCTGCCACGAACAGCAGGCGGGGTCCAAACGTCACCGTGCCTCTAAGGAATGTGTTGACCCTTCCGGCACCAGTCTCTTTGTTTTTTTACTATCATACAAGAGTTTCTGAGATAAAAAAACAAACCAAAAAAATCTCTAGTTTCCAGGAAGTTTCCTCTCATTTTTTTTCTATCTCAGCTGGTGTTGCACTGGACTGGTCCACCTTCGTTCTCGTCGTCGGAGCCGTCTGACATCCCGGTGATGCGGTAGCCCATGTTCATGAGCATGACCTCTAACGGATCGGCGTTCATGCGACGCTGGTTGGCCGTGGCTGCCGTGTCTGGCTCACGGATACATCGCTCTTCAGCTTTCCCATCCTACAGGAGGAGGAAAACGATACAACACACAAAACAAAATGGTTATGGATCATGCTGTTTTATCGGTCGACAGTGGAACGCCGCTATAGGGAACATCGCAGGATCCACAGAAATTGTTCGAAATAGCGATCGTTCGGTATAGCGATTTTTAGCTGCCGGTGCTCCAGTTATCATTTTTCAATAAATAGCGCCCTTCAGAACTTCACCCTGCATGCCCTGGTAGTTACTGAAAGACGACATTGAACATGTGCCGACTACTGAATTTTGCCACTGCACAGTTTTTGAGCTTATTACCTGCAGCAATGGGTGGCTTTTCCCTTTTGTTCCTTGGGGAAATAATATCCACTTGTTGCTATTTTGCTGGCATTATTCAACAACAATGTTCAGTACGTTTTGTACACAAAAATTGGGAGCCAGGCACGATGTTCGGTATAGCCAAATGTTCGGTATAGTGGTGTTCGGTATAGCAACGTTCCACTGTACTTCAAGAAAATGGAGGGGGGACACTATCATTAATCACTGTTGATAGAATTCCGCGTCGGGGAGGTGTTAATTTTTTATAATATTGACATTATTTCTTTTACCCACCTAATGCCCCAAAAAACCACTAACTTTTCCTTAGCACATAAATTCGCTGGGCAACATTCAGTGCTCAGCTACACTTTGAAATTGGGAAATGGATATACAGTGTGCAATTACAGACTAGTTTAGGCAAAGTTTTGCTCTGAGAAGCACAGAAGCAACAAAATTCCATTTGTTTGTCGTTGGCAAATAGGAGAAAATTAATCAAACTAACATCAAGCAGGTTGGGGAGTGGGGACAGGTTGGGGAGGGGCTTAGTCACAACTGATGTTTTTAACAATCACAGGCGCGCATGTGCAATCAAATTTTCGACAAAAATCTGACACGTACGAGCACTTAACGAATGCATGCACGGCCGAAACACGCGGTGTGGGATTGGGAAAACTCATGTGTCATAGCCCCTGGTGCTAGGTGGGCAGGAAGGATAGCCACTCTTGGAGCGATCTCCATTTTAAGTACCTCCGTACCTGTGCTTTAGGTCCCCATAACCTAACGACTTGGTCGATGCCGCTGGTAGCTAGCAGACAGAAGCTAGGGTGAGGCTGTAAGCAGTTGACGATGGAGTCATCGCCGCGTAGCACCCGGACGATGTTGGTGGTCTTGCGATCCCAGACAAAGAACGAGCCGTCGTCTGACCCCGCGATGATAAACTGACCATTGCTGTGTTGAATGGTAACAAAAGTGCATTGTAAGAACTGAAAGAAACATTGGAATGGCAAAATGTAGTCAAGTCCTCCCAAGTCCTTTCAAATCCTCGCAAGTCCTTGCAAGTCCTCGCAAGTCTTTGCAAGTCCTCCCAAGTCCTTTCAAATCCTCGCAAGTCCTTGCAAGTCCTCGCAAGTCTTTGCAAGTCCTCGCAAGTCCTTTCAAATCCTCGCAAGTCCTTGCAAGTCCTCGCAAGTCCTCACAAGTCCTTTCAAATCCTCGCAAGTCTTCGCAAGTCCTCGCAAGTCCTCGCAAGTCCTTTCAAATCCTCGCAAGTCTTTGCAAGTCCTCCCAAGTCCTCACAAGTCCTCGCAAGTCCTTACAAGTCATCACTAAGTCAGTCTTGTCAAGTAAAATGTTTCATATGAGCTGTTACAAAGGCATTTATTTGTCATTCATAAAATACCTAAGACAGTTTACGCATTCCTATTGGTCGAGAGCCCGTAACGTGGCCGGTCTTAAACGGATGATAAAGACCGGCTGGCTGGTCTTAAACACTTTTCCAGTGTCACATGAAATGTGGACTCCTCTAAAATCCAGTGCCATTTACCGTTTCATTGGTTGAACGTTCACAATCCTCACGTAGGCATGCGCAATACTACCAGTGAGTCAGTATTTCATAGTCCTAAATTCACAACACACCGCCTCAGCTGCATTCGGCGCGACATCGCGCAGTACGTGCGACGTGCACACCATCTCCATAAAAGTAGTTGTTTACGACTTACTCGCGAGCTGGACGCTCCATTATATAGCTAGAAGGGTGTTTCAAAAAACATGAAGTGAAATTGTTTAACAAAATCATTGGAATTTTTTTATTTTTGACTTGTTTTGACTTTTGGACTGAAAAGTGTTGAAACTTGCTGATAATTACCCTCGCCTTCGGCTCAGGTCATAATCAGCATCCAAACTCCAACCAGTCTTAAACAGAGTGTTTAAAACCTCCCAAGCACACATTTATTCCCTTATTTTTATATCGCCTTGTGATGAACTTATGATGTGACATATGATGGACTTCCCTTCAACTGTGCTTGTTCATACTTCAGAATCGTATCTGACAATTACCCAATTAAGAAAAGAAAAACAGAAGAACTTTGATCTCAAACTTCAAGGCAGGAAAATAATTTAAACTGAAAATAATTTAAACAGAAGCTCAAAATGAGGACAAGTAACGGACGGAACAATTGAGGGGAAGATAATAAAGGGTTAATGGTACACATACCTTCCAAAGAAGTTAGCTTCTTTGATATCCGTGGTGGTGTTGCAGTGGCCGCAGAACCGCTCCGCGTAGTCGTAAGCCTCGCTTCTCAGTATTCTCTCCTCGTCTGAGATGCGGTCTGGATGGTTCCATCGTCGTCTTGGGGAGGTGTCTACTTTCTCCTTGTCACTGGTACTGCTGTCTGTTGGTAGTGGAATAAGGAAAAAAATATTGCAATTCTCTCAAACCAACAGCAAAATGGGTACCTACAAGTTATTGTACCGAGTACCGACCAACACAGTTGCCTACAACAATAAATATCATCGAGCTGCAAAATTGCTGATAAAAAACCTCAATTTTCCAAGAATCGGTTATCAACTAAAACTTGTCACGTGAAATGTATTATCAAAGGCTGCATCCGAATCAGCTGTCTAGAGCTAGGTCTAGGTCTACGCCCATTGAAAATACGCGGGGACGCGCTGACAATAGACGTAGCCGTAGCTCTGGAAGCCCGTTTCGGACACGGCCTTAGACTGGTTCAAAGTGGAGGCCCCATTTTGTGGCGCTGCTCATCTTTCTGTGCGAACAGCGCTTGCAGAAAAAATTCTGCGCTAACCTTGTAAGCACAGCTTCCTTAATTACGGGAAGCACTCAGTTTCATGTGCATAAGCCAAAACTCCTGGCTAACTCATAAAATGTGCTTACCCTACTTGTTTTCTGGAAGAGGATTTAGGCCCTGTTGTTTACTTGACAATATTCCCTGCTTAGCAGCAAATTTGGGCAAATGAATATCCTCCACCCTATTCCCAAGGTGTTATTGCTAGGGCCCTTCCGGAATCCTCCAAAATCTTCCAAGTGCATTTGTATTACATTTTTTTATGAATCCGCAGAACCATAGCATGCTGGGGCTGTTTGGGGCAGTGTAAGGAGCAACAGGCAGGGCGCTTTGGGGCAGTACAGGGCCTAATGGGTGAAACCCTTACCACTGTCACACAATGAGAAGACTGCCGTCGTGATGTCCCTATCCAAGGCCTCAAATTCCCGCTGCTTGCTGTACTCCGGGTAGTTGTGCTTGTACTGTTTGAGGCAGTCTTGGGCCTCCCGCGCCCAGGTCAGCTCCAGCAGGCACCGGGCTAACCGGAAGTGGGCCTTGCGGTGGGAGGGGTCCAGGGCCAAGGCACGGTGGCAGTCTCGGAGGGCTGCGTACAGGTCGCCATCCCTGGTGAGAGAACGGCAGGCAAAATTATCAATTTTGTGCAAGGACCCTACAGGCCGGTTCATACTTCATGCAAATGCAAAGCAAACTTGATGTCATAAAACGTCCCTTGCAAAACTTGCCGGAGTTGAAAAATGTAGAACTTCTGCAACTTGGCAGCGCAAAAACTTGACTCACAAGTTTGCCATCGCATTTATTTCCTTTTGAGTATGAACCGGCCTAAACCCTGCTGAATCAAACAATGTCATTGAGACCAGGCAATTTCTGCTGTATATTGTCAGTTTGAGCAATGAACAAAATACACTTCTGTAGCTTTTGATTTTGTTATACGGTATTCACTCTTTCAAATTGGGTTTGCCCTTCACCGACGTATAAACACTGTATACTCAGTGTGTTACATCCGGAGTGAAAGTTGGAAAAAATCACTCAGGTGGGACTCGAACCCACGACCTCCTGCTTTCTAGTGCAGATGTCTTACCACTCGACCACCGAGCTAACGGGATTGGTTGGCTGGTTCGAATCTTCACTCTTTGCTGTTGTGCAATTTTACTGTGCTTTTTAAAGTTTTTACTCTCTCAGCACTGTATATTTTACACTGAGTTTGAACTAAGTGCCATTTGAAGGCTTGATTTGTGCTCTTGTTTGTGCCAGGGAACCAGGTAGGGACTCAACACTAACTATACGTTAGGCCAAAACCTAATTTTTTTCACGGCTGAATTTTTAAAATTTTATTTTAATTCTTTCAGGCTTATGTCACAGAGGGGTCCTTGAGAGTACACAAGCACGTTAGAATAATGGTAAGAAGAATTTAAGAGATACAAGGGAAACCCATAGAATGAACGTGGGGACTGAAGGCCCAATCCATACATTGAACTTTGTATTGGAATTTATAACTCTGCCAACTTTACCCTCCAAATACATATGCGTGCTACTCCACCCAGAGACTCCTTGCTAACCTCCTTACCATTTCCTCCTCATAAATGCCGCAGCCCTGTTCGCAAAGAGTATGGCACTGTTTGGTGCAATGCTGAGCGCCTGGTTGAACAGTCTTATTGCTGACGTGTAGTCCTTCAAGTCGCAGTAGAAACGGTTGCCCTCCTGCTTCAGGGCTTCGGCTCTGGGCGGGAGCTCCTTACTGTCAAGAGAGAAAGAAAAGCCCACTTTGGACAAAGGAAGACAATCTGACTGGAATTAAAAACAAAGCTGGGCCCTTCCCTGACTGCCAAGCTAGTGAAATAATAGAGCTCTTCAATTCTTTTAAAAGTTCTCCTCCATAAATAATGAAAGCTTAACAGTTGCAAGTAAAGTTCTGCTAACTATTGCCAGATGTGTATTTAAAGACCCAGATAAGCTAACATTTGTGTATCTACTTGGAGATTTCCATTATTAAATGACTATTCTAACAAATTCTGCCTCTGAAGTTACTTTCTGTATTCAGTTTTGTTGAGATGAAAACACGTTTTGTATTCGGATGATTTAATACTTAAAGGAAATATACCACATTTGTAAACATCAACATACAAAACTACCAAATTATTATGAAATACCTTACTGGATTGTTGGTGAATGACAGTCTAAAGTATCCTGTAAAATCATGGCACCTGGTGTGCTGTCATTTTCAAGAAAAGTGGTAATTAGTTTTTCCAACACTGGTCAGCCAACCAGCATTGGAAATAAAACTGGCTTTTTTCAAATACTGCCCCCATTTTACCATATTAGTTAGTCCGCATTCTGTTTACCATCGAGTACACACCTATGAACAGGTTCGAGCCAGCTAGACTGGTTCCCCCACTTTACAATTCCCCCACGTCTATAAATTGCTCCGTTTCATCTTAAGTGGGGTCAGGGAACCAGACAACAAGACGTTTTTCTTTTTTGTTTTCAGAATCTACGAACACAAAATTTCAAACAAGTCAATGTAACAATATTTGCTATAAAATACTAACCCCCCCCCCCCCAAGTCCATCCACTTCTGAAAATTACAGCAAAAGCAAATGTTGTACAAAATATTCCCTTTGATTAATAGCAATACCATAAAATAAGGCCTAGATATACCTGGGTACATGCGGCAGTGTTGTAGGTGGTTGATAACTAGCTTTGGAGACATTTATGCTCCTGCAACGGTTACAGAGGTTTAAGGGTAACATAAGTTTTCGACACTACGATCCACTGGTCTTTGTTACCTCGTGGATGGGGTAGAGCCAGGAGAACCTTCCTGTAGCCTGTAGCTGCTTGCATGGGATAAGTGTTTGGTCACTCCGTTGGTTGAACCGATGGATGTGCCATTGGCTGATAGCGCCTCAGCGACTTGACTTGAGACTTCTGCCAAAAAAACACGAACAGAGACAATTTCAGGATCTTTTACCATTATTAATCCTAACTTTGACAATTGCAACACAGGTGTAAAAGTAGCTCAAACTGTAAAATACTGTTTTTAATGGAGCACTAGTATTCCACAAAAACATTTTCTGACGAGAAATGGCCATCCCTTTCAAGGGCCATGCAATGTAATTTATTTAATGCAATCCTTGAAAATGCACGTCTGTAGGACACAAAGGTGTATTTAACCTTATTTTCAATTTGCCATTTTCAAAGGAATTTGGGTGCCTTTTTTGTTTTTATGCTAATGCCAATTTCCATATTCATGAGCAAAACTGTGATGTCATTCTGGGCAGAAACCTCGATTTTACAGCTATTTCAGCACACACACAAATTCTTAGAAACTGGGCAGAAACCTCCATGTTACAGCTATTTCAGCACACACACAAATTGCTAGAATTTTTGATAATTTGCTGTCGTAAATGTTCTTTTCTTTGGTGATTTGTCGTAGAGTCAGTACATAGCAGTAAGCCAATGAGCAAACCTTTCTCAAAAATGTTTTCAATGAGCAAATTTTTGGTTCACAAGTTGAACAGAAAACCCCTAAACTGAACAGTGTCTTCCTGAAAAGACATCACAGCAACAGCGCCCTCAGTTGTTGGGAAAAGCATGGACAATTTTAAATGCTTGAAGAAGTGTTTTTTTCAATAAGATTAAAGCAAAAAGGGGAAGTCAAATGGTTTTCATACACTTAAAGAGTAGAAAGCTGCTTAACCTGTGTTCCTAGGAAAAACTCATTGCATGGACCCTTTAAAATCATGACAAAAACATTAAAGGGAACTGTCATCCCTGCTTGCATTCCAAACACCATTACTACATCCAAGATGTCAGCAACCCCATCTCAAAAATCATGCCCCTTTAAGATTAAAGCTCCAATCATTAAAGGCAACCGTCATTCCTACCTTTGCAGACACCATTGCTGTGTTCTGGTAGTACGTAATCGCCGACGTTGAACGCCTTGGGATGCTGCAGGTTGTAGAGGTCAAATAAATAGACCTGCTCACCGCCCAGGTTGACTAGGAGCTCGCGCCCGCTGGGACTAAAGGTGACGTAGGTGGAGACTAACGATCGGTATTTTCTTTTCCGGTCGTTTTCCTTGAGTGGCAGGTGTCCTGAACGTGGATAAAAACATAACAAGATACTCAACAATATATAAGGACCGTAGGTGTTGTCTGTTGGCATGACAGAGCTCTGCTCAAACATCCGTGCGGTCTAGCGGCAGGGCACAGGATTCATGATCGTAAGATTGTGGGTTCGAGCCCCGCCACAGCCATGCGTGTTGTGCCCTTGAGTAAGGCACTTTACCTTTTCTATTGGTTGTTTTACTTTACTAGCACAAAAACCTTCAATAACTGTTGATCCATAAAAGAGTGGAAGTTCCCAATTTTGTTCTCCAGAATTGAGCCCAGTTAGACTCTCTTGCCTTTCAACTGGGTACCCAGATACCCATCCATCATGATGTTCGGTTAACCGGTTTCAAAATTATCCATAAGCGCACAGCCCTAAGTAAGAGGGTTTATGGACCAACCTGCCACAAAATATTGCACACATCCCCTGGGTAGGAGACCGCATTCGTCTGGGTCTGCGGCCATGGGTCTCATCCAGGCCGATCCCATCCTCTCATCTCGGGAGAAATGCACAGCGTGGGGCGTCAACATCCGAGCATCGTACAGCCGCACGTAGGGATCACTAGCACCAACTGAGGAGAGAGAGGTGAATAGCAGACATGAAATAGCAGCAGGGATCACTGGTACCAAGGAGAGATATATGGTGGCATGAAACAGTTGAAGGGATCAATAGTGCTAACAAGGAAGAGAGGTAAATTGTGGACACGAAATAGCAGCAGGGGTCACAAACACCAACTGAGGAGAAAAGGGTGAACAGCAGACATGAAATAGCAGCAGGGATCGCTGGTATCAGGGGTGAAGTAAATGGTGATATGAAACAGTTTAAGGGTCACTAGTAGCACCAAGGGGAGAAGTAAAATGGTGGCATGAAACAGTTGAAGGGTCACAAGTTCTGACAAGGGACCGGAGAGGGAGGTAAATAGTGGACATGAAATAGCAGCAGGATCACTAGCACTACGGAGAGAGGTAAATTGTTGACATGAAATCTCCTACATCACAAGTACAGATTGAGAGGGGGTAGTTAAAAGCCAACATGAAACAGCAGCAGGGATCACTTTTCACAACTAGCTGAGGAGAGAAGTAAATGGTTGACATAAAACGGTAGTGGGATCACCACTCGGACCAGATATGTCAGTTTTCAGGGTTGGAAGGGAAAGTTTGCAGGAATGTTAGTTCGTAAGTAATATAAAAATTATGCAAAGAGAGCAACATTACCGGCCATGAGTTCTGGTCTGTGTGGGTTAATGGCAAGGCACTTGCATTCAGCCTGTTTGCCGATGTAACAGTTCAGGTTGATCAGGACGTTGCTGCAACTGTCCATGCATGTGTGCGGCGCTCGCAGGTCAAATTGTCTGCAAGTGGGAAAAAAGGCATTGAAACATCAATCAACTTTACTCTTAATTTGAGGTCCAATCCAAGCAAGTTAGTAAATTTATTTTCTCTGACAGTACTGAGTATATACAGTGGTCATAAATCCACATCGCTGAAGGGCAAAAACCAAATATTTTAATCACATCTCCCCGACACGAGAAACTTCCATCATATAGACATCACATCATCTAAATTTCATAATTAAACAGGGCAGATTTCCAAAAGCTGTTTTATTGATGCGAAGAATGTACGATTACTTTTCATCAGAAAAGCACAAAAAACGTAGCGTCTTCCCATGAACACCAGGCGTGCGGCAGAAATGTGTTCAAGGGTGCAGCCAATCTCTCTTTATATACCTGTTGAGGGGTAATTGTGTTCTGGGTCCATATCATGTCTTGGGTTCTAAAATTCATTGGTCCAGAACTAACTGAAGGTTGAACAAAGAAATTGACTTGAGCAGGATTTGAATCAGCGACCTCTGGAACACCGTATTGGTGCTCTCACAACTGAGCTATCCAGCCCAATATTGGCGGTTCCCCATCTAATCAATGTCTTTGTTCAAGGGGCGCTAGTCAGAAGCCATAAACCCATATATGCCATGTAGCCAGGGATCACGCCCAAAGTAGCAATGCTGATCAAGAACAATTGAGTTTTGAGACATTTTGTTACCTGACCGTTCCGTCCTCGCCAGAGCTCCAGAACATGTAGGGCACATTTTGGGCCACGGCTAGCCGCTTGACCCGGCCGGCGTGGCAGCTGAAGGCATGCGTGGTCTCCTGATTGGGTAGGTTGTGGATGCGGACTTTGTGGTCGGCCGCGCCGGTCACCAATGTCTCGTCATTTGCATTAGGAAGGAACTAAGATTTAGTGATAGGGAAGGGGGGAAAAATGACGACACTTTCTCAGTTGATATGATTAGCTTTAAAGATAGAGACATTACTTTTTGCAGGTTCCAGAGGGCCTGCCTTATGTCAAATACACCAAACATCTGTGCTTTGATTTCAGAAGGCATAAAGTAAATACAGGGGGAGTAAAAAACCAAAAACCAAATGGCAGGACCAATTTTTGAATGAAGTTTGGACTCTAGCACTTTCAAAATCTAGGATATGAAAGCCCAGTCATTACGCTGTCTTTTAGTACAAGAATCATTCATATCACTCATGTACTTTTCAAGTTACGGAATTTTAAACACAACCACCATTTTAAAGTTCTGTCAACAGATCACAACAAAAGTAAGTGTTCTTTCAGCAAAACGAAAACAATTCTCGTTTGATGAAGGTAAATTGTCTTCGTTTTGCTGAAAGAACACTTACCTTTTTTGTGATCCATAGACAGAACCCATGGACAGAACTTTAAAACGGTGTTTGTGTTTAAAATTCCGTAACTTGAAAAGTACATGAGTGATGTGAATGATTCTTGTACTAATAGAAAGCTCATTGATTGGGCTTTCATATCCTAGATTTTTAAAGTGCTGAAGGCAAAACTGCATTTAAAAATTGGTCCTGCCATTTGGGTTTCGTTTATTTTTACTTACCCTGTATATTTGCCCAAGATTTTATTTACCTTAACTGAGAATATATTCCCATGATGACCGGTTCTTAGTGTACAGAGTTTCCGTCTCCGGTGAGGGTCCCAAACGATTGCATTGAAGTCGTCGGAACCACTGCCTAACAATCTGCGAAAATAACCACAATTCAAACTCCTGGTTAGACGAGAGATCAATTCTGAAGATCAGCCAACTTCTCAGGTAAAAAACAAAAGACTCATTTTCAAATCCTCACAAGTTAATCACAAGTCCAGTAACAAGCAAGTTTGTTGGCATGCCCATTTTTGTGTCAATGGTAAACCATTTCAATACACTTATTCGATAGGTTTGTTTTCTGTGAACGATGACTCACCGACCAGAATGGTTCCATTCCAGGCAGTTGACACAGCCATTGTGACCCTGAAAAAAACCAATTCAATTGAGAAATTGTTGAAGAATTTCAGGTGATCACTTTAAAGGTTTGAAAATGTAAAGTATCGATGCTAGTTTCTTATTGAGCAATAACAAGGATTCTCTGCTCAAAAACAGTGTCTTGAGCATGCTCATTTTTCATTCGCTGACAACTGTTTTAAGTGTGTTTACTTTCGGTGAACTTCGTTATTGAGTACCACATGTAAAAAAAAATTCACCCTTATCATTCAAGTTCTTTCAAAATCTACCAGGAGCTGTATACCCCAGGTACTACTACTTTATATGGGGCTTGATGCCCTTCGACACTTCAGTAGGAGTGCTGTGGCCTAGTGGTTAAGGGCACTGGATTCGTGGTCTGTGGGTAAAGCTGCGGGTTGTGGGTTCAAGTCCAGCCGGGGTCATGGTGTGTGTACCCTTGAGCAAGGCACTTTGTCACTCATTGCTTCTCTCCACCCAGGAGTAAATGGGTACCTGTGAGGGCAGAGATGGTTATTGTGATTGAATAAGCTTGCTTGCGCCTAACAGGCAGCATCGAGCTGTATACTCCCCAGAGAGCTGAGATGGTATTTGGAATGTTTCATTGGCCCAATGATCAGGGGTAACAATAATACTGTAAGCGCTGTGATTTAGTTTACTAATAAGGGCGTTCTTAAATGCCGATTATTATTATTATTACAACAAATTTGCCATTTGGTTCCTGCACAGTGAAAAATGTCGAGATTCAAAATATTTTTTAGCGCAACATCATGCTGACGAAGTTTTAAAGTAAAAGGAGTTGACCGTCACATTATCTTACCTCCAATTCATGCAGCAGGCCTAGCCTGTTGATCAAGGCTTCATCCACATGGTGCGAACGCTGGAAACTAATGCGAAATGTGTCCTGGAAAAGGATGGAAATGAACACACATACAGTCAAAGAAATTGATCATTTGCATTACAGCCAGGTATGAAGTGCATGCCATTGTTCCATAGGTGGGCGCGGACACCCATGATTTTTCTTTATATTGGTATATCTAGCTCCCAGACCTATGTTCTTGAAACTCAATGGTTCTTGAGTCTGGAGTGCTGAATGGTAACACATAGCAACCGATGAAAACTGGTGTGCAAATGAATAGATGTTTTCATCCGAATTCATCGGATGACTTAATTTATAGAGAAATATGCGATCAAGCTAAGTGAGTCGTTTGTCGACCCTGGTCAACTTTTTTTTTACAGATTTTAAAAGAGCACAATCTCAGCATAACTGCTGTGAAAATCGCATGTTAGTCCCATCTTTAGTTAAAAAATTATGGAAGTCGGAACACCAAGAAATGTGATGAAGTGAAGTCATGAAGTGCCCCTATTTTGGCCTAAATCTCCAAATGATAACTCCCGACAAACGACTCATTTAGCCTGATCGCATCACATAGAGATAGCCATATAGAGATAGCCTTTAGTAAACCTCTTGTTCCTTTGTGTGACTGAATTAAAATAACAAAATATGCCTCCAAGATTGCTGCTGTTATGCAAAGTGTCTATTGTTATTGCTTGTATAATGAGACAAAAAGTAACAAGACAGAATGATGGGCTAAGTGGTGAGATGAAATTAATTTTAGTTTAACCCTAATGTCCCTGAATCCATCAAAATCTACCCCCCTGTTTTCCGGGGATTTCGGCGGATTCAGGATACCTCCATATTGAACAAACTGGGGGGGATTTTGATTGATTCAGGATACCTCTATTTTCAGCTGTTGGGGGACTTTGATGGATTCAAGATCTCAACAGTTGAACTCTTTTGCAATGTTTGTGGTCAAGTAAATTCTGCTGGCACTAGCCCTGCCAAGTCTGTCACATACTGTACAAACATGTACACACATGTACTAGGTGGATGGGAGCTACATGTACATGTGACTGGGGCTATATATAGGCATCAGCATATAAACAATGGATTATGTAAATAACCCATCCAGGCAATGCAATGCTGGGATCGCCATGCATTGGTGTATTTTGATGGATCCTATGCAACAACACACATCACAATTTTCATGCAAGCAAGGTATCCTGAATCTGTCAAAATCCACCAGAAAGTTAGGCGATGGATTTTGAAGACTCTATGGAAAAACATGCTGTATTTTTTTTTTTATGCCACCATGGTATCCTGAATCTGCCAGAATCCATCGAGACTTTTGCTGGTGGACTTTGGCGGATTCAGGATACCTCCAGTATCTACACTGGGGGATTCTGATGGACTCAGGATACCAGCATTTTTTGCATGACAAAAGTGGTGGATTTTGGCGGATTCAGGATACTTTCTAGTAAAAGAGCCCCAGGAGTATGGAAATTTAGGTAGGTTTTATTTATTTTATTTAGGCAAAGTAAAAATATAAACCAGTTTTGCGTTCCCAACTGCTTCCTTTTTCCAGCAAAAAGAGTTGAGAAAATGGAGGAATCGATCGCATTGGAGATTGTGGACAACAGATAGGCCTCCGTCCCAACTTACTTGAATCTGGCGATGAAAAATATGCTTGACAGTGTTGGTGCCCTCCCTTGGTTCCATAGTTCATTCAGTCATATCATCAAGTAACTAACCAACAGAAAAACACCAGAAAAATGTCAAGACACACAGTAGTATTGAGAGTCCCATATTGTTTGGACTAGATACAGGCGTACTTTGACATGAATTACGACTGGATTGTTAAAGTATGCAAAGAGGGTATATGCTGCACTGCATCCTTGGACAGATTGCGCTACAAACAGCGCATAACTGTTACAGAATGTAATGCAACCTTTAATGCGCATACTAACGGTGTGACTGCTGTCAGTAACATGTCTCCGTACTTTGTCGATCTTTGGAAAATTGACGTTTCGAGATTTGAGCTGAAATATTAGCAGAATTTATTTGTATGAACATCCTTTTAAATACCACAGATTTCTGTTCTAATTTTCAACTAAAAATCCCTGCTATGCTCTGATTAAATAATACCTGGATTACATTCCCAGAGACAAAAAATATGTAAAACAAGTAAAGTAGTGGGCATACCAGCAGAAAGATCTAGTAAAGCAACAGAAACATTTTCATTATTCCAAAATGCGCAAAATATAGTTCATGTTTTTGTCTAAGTATAGGCCTATCAATGCAAAATAATGAGGAAATCGGAAAGATTTCCATAAACGAAGTTCACTCAACACCCCGTGTACAAACCCTATGAGATTGTAGCTGGAGTTACCCAGCCCTGAGTTTTATCATTGGGTTGTCATCTAGATGACAACCCAATGATAAAACTCAGGGCTGGGTAACTCCAGCTAATGAGATTGGACTGAAAAATTCTAAGTGTTTTCTAAGAAAATGCTTGTATTTTCTCACTGCTCAAGTTGACTTTGATGACATGAAATTGCTATCTGGGGGCTTGTTAGTTAATACAGAGGAAAATTAGTGAACTTCATATATGGAAATCTTTCCCTAAACGGTGTAGTCCAGTGGCTGGACGGGGCAAAAACAAGGACTGCGATGTGACAAAGTTGATTGATGCCTACTCATTTCGAACATTTCTACTGCACTAACCTATAAAATTACAAGTTTCTCGGTGTAGTTGTATTTCATTTTCAGGATATTCTACGGCGCATAGGATGAACAAGAAATTATACGGAGAATTCAGGTCAAACCATGTTGACAATTTGTGCAACAACTTATCCAACTGCATTTAACCAGCACCGACAGGCGACACTGTCATGACTGTTCTGGCCGAATGAAAACCATGAAATTGATGTTTTATAACGACAGGACACATCCAAACCAGGCCACAAAATCTGCTGCAAAACCTCAACACGTCCTATAGCTCCTACTAAACGTACTTACCCATAGGCCGAAGAGGTCTTGGAAAAATGTCAAAATTAAATGCCACTTCGATGATGCGGTACACGCAATACGTTGTTGGCATATCACATCACACAAGTAAACCATACGGACTTTGGTAACATTGTTCCCAGGACGTCTGTGCACAAACAATGGTGGTTCGACCTCACGTCGGGAACGAAGTTGACATGATGACGAGCATGCGTAGTGTTTGGCCTTGAAGTAACCTGCTGCCCTACGACTGTTTTATGTACACACGTTTCTCTAGTTGGAAAAGGCAGCTATCAATCTTTACATACATTTTATTAAAACATTAATGGTGGTAGTACTCTCCATTTTCAAAGGAACTTTCTCGTCTAAATTAATTTTTTTCGCTCATATTTTTAATGTTATGTAAATATTAAAGCAAACAATGGCAATGCGTTTAGCACCCCCCCCCCCTACCGCCCACTCCTTGCTATTGGGACAGACTTGTAAAATATACTTTGTGATTTCTGTTCAACAAACCATTTCTGGGCAAACATTTCAGGGTATATCCTATATTAAAAGATGATGACGCTGTCTGTCTGTTGTCTGTCTGTCTGTCTGTCTGACGTCTGTCCATGTTTTTGTAAAAGGTTTTCAAAAATGTTTTATTCTTTAAAATGCAGTCAACAAAAGACACACAGACAAATCGCTTACAACATTTCATGAATATTTAATTAAGTAAAATCACAAAGTGAAATCTTTTTTTTTTTTGGACAATATTTCAATAAATAATTTTGAAACCACACCTAGGGTTGAATACAAATTATACGATTAAATAAGTGAAATTTCATGATTAATTTCACTACATTATATTCTCCATTATTACTTTTTAAATTGCACACCGATGTACATATTCTATGCACATGTCGTTAGGAATATACATAGATAGGTAAAACATTTATCTAAATTTCTTAAATAAACTCAATCCATTATTTCAATGATCAAAAAACGTTTGTGCAGAAAATTTCAGTGTGTACTATTTTACAATTGAGGGTGGCAAGTCAGCCCCCCAAAACTGGGTGATCCAATGGACCTTTATCATGCTGCCACCATTTCAGTCATGTTCCCTGTATCCAACAACAGTACTGAATGGTAATGTTTTTTGTGCAAAAGGGAACCAGACTATTTTTTTTCTTCCAGCCTCGCTTTGGTTACGCTGATTTGAATGGGGAAAAAATCAAGATGGCCGCAACATGATAATGGTCTATGGCTTAGGTGGAAGGCCATGTTCGAATCACTTGACCACGCCCGGAATAACACGCTCAAATATTGAAGCCACCGGCTAGCGGCTGCAGACACCTCCCATAGATTCGTGTGTTATTTCCAGTTGTAGCCATGTGATTAAGGTATGGCTAGGTAACTACAATGGCTAGGTAGCCACAGTGGCTAGGTAGTTATACAGGCTAGGTAATCCACTGGCTTACGAATTCAGTTGCTCAAGAATAATGATTAACAAGAACCCAAGGTGAAAAAGTTGGCATAGTGGTTAGTAGATTTCAGTCACGGATACCTCTGGGTGAATTAAATGGAAGCACCGCTTAACTTTAGTCCGAGTATCATCCGCTAGCCAATCAGAGTTGTCGTTAGAAACTGTGACGTCTTTTTGGCTGACCTGTTTTTGTATTAAACACAGCAACGGGTTACTGAAGACCCGATAGAATGCATGCGACCCGTGCGCTGGCCAATCGGAGCCGTCTTTAGAGACTGTGACGTCATTTCGATCAGAAATGTGGACTAAGCTGATTGGTCAATGGACCTGTTGCCGTTTGCGAGTTAGCCACGCCCCTTAGACAACCCTGTAGAATTTGTGTACGCCAAGTTTTGTTTGTCTCCGATGTTGCGCGTTCTGCGTCCGTTTGTTTATCGTGTATTTGGACAATATTACACAAACTGTGTTGACGGGATTCTAACGTGATTCTACCGAGATATGTCAATTTGGCTGACCTGTTTTTGTATTAAACACAACAGCGGGTTACCGAAGACCCGATAGAAGGCGCCTGCTGAAAGATCAGAATCTTGAGACCAAGACGCAGTCTTGTTTTGCATAATTAATCGCCAAATCTGCTCGCATGTCATAGACCCTTGATGTGCAAGGGGCTATTCCATAGACTACTCTTACCCTCCATGTAAACAGTAATTTCCATTGACAAGGTGAAACTACATACAAAACATCTTCATTCAAGGAATCCTAATAAGATCCTAATAACAAAATAAATCTAAAAACATAAATATTCTATGAAACTAAATAATACAAGATAATGTGTGCTTTCTAAATAAATAACTAATTTAAAGTGGAGTGAGAAATATGAACAATATGCTATCTATTGTTAGGAAAATAAAAGATTTAAAAAGAACCCTGAAAATAGCAAAAGCAGTGAGCTAACCACGCAAAATGAATACACAAGAGCATGCAAATAAATTCTCATATTTTAAATCTATGATTTAGGGTACATAAATAGACGTCAACCTAAAATACAAGACATGTGACTGGTAACTACAAGCTGTTAAATAAATTACAAATAAATACTTTTCTAGACATATGATTGGTTGCTTTTCTAACAGGTGACCGATTCAGGTGCATTCTGATTGGCTACTTATAATACACTTTCACAGTTCTGTATTGTAGAAAATGAAGGCATGTGTTCACGCAATGAAAAATACAGATTTTGAGCTGAAGTAACTAAATAAAGACTTCATAAAAATTATGTAAAGTGCTTCTGCTTACAACTAAACTATTACAGAGAACTTGGCAAAACTAGAAATCCAACCAAATAAAATCAAGTATTCTTAATTAAGGTGCTGGCCCTTTAAAAACTTTGATATGATTTCATGATTAGCTGATAGTGATGTTAAGGGAGAAAGTTAAAGGGGCAGTGTCAATTTCAGATAATTTGGTAGAGGTGTGCCACCCTGTCCATGAATTCCGTGACGGCTTGCCTGACCCTGTCGTCCGTGACGTGCCTGATCAGTTGATTGACTCCAGGGAAGACAGCAGGCAGCAGCGCCTGGAAGTGGGAGTCTGGCAGGAGCTGCAGGAGCTGCAGCATGGTGTGCACCATGTCGCTCCAGGTGTTGATCTCGGCCTCGTTGTCCCGCGTGATGGACGTCTTCTGCTCGTCCTTGATCTGCTGGTGTCGCGCTCGCACCTCGGCCGTGGCGTGGGGCGCTAACCCGGCGTCCCGCCGCTCCAACATGCGGGTGTACTTCAGCTCCTTGTAGGTGGGCTTCTTGACGAAGACCGAGCGGGAGTGCTGCGTCTTCCGCTTCTTGTACTCCTGCATCAGGCTCTTGATGGTCTTGCGGGACGCCACAGTGTAGACGCTCTCCGTCTTCTTCTTGGAAGCTGGTTTCTTGTGTTGCTCCTCCATAACATCAACGACGCTCTCTTCCTGAGAATCCAGACCCTTGATCTTTGGAGTCCAGTGAGAAGCAAACTTGGGGCTCTTCTCCTTTGGACTTGGTGTCTTCCCTGCCTCCCCTTCCTCACTTTCACCTTCTTCCTCATTGTCATCTTCCCCCTCGTCAAAGCCGAAGAACTCACTAGGCTTCGATGGCACCTCAGGAGATTTGGGAGCCACAAGGAAGAACAGCGGCTGGTCGTTGACGCGGCTGACGTCCGTCTGGCCGCCGTTGAGATCCAAGTACATCTGGATGTAGGATGCGCAGATGTCGTTGCAGATGCCGTGGAGGCGACGGACGATCCAATCAGGGCTCGAGGAATTGCCGGTAGGGTAGAAGGTCAGATCGCACTGCAGCTGAACGTTGCTGTCCCTGCTGGCGGTGCTGGAGTGGCTGTTTTCAGTATCGGATCTCTCTCTTTTCAGGCCGTCGTGGACTTGACCATTCTCAGTAACTGGGCACTCGAAGCTGACCCTCTTCACAATCGGCTTCGGTGAGCTGACTTTGGGAGAGAGTGGCCGGCCATCTGCCGTAACGTGCTGCTTCACGAGCTCCTTGACGCGATCCAGAGTCAGCCTTTCCCCGTTAGCATGGTTGCAGAGCTCCAACAGCGTGTGGAGGTAGAAGGTGAAGCTGACCCCTGCCTGCCAGTACAGATTAACCGCCACCTCGAACTTGGCAACCTTCTGAAGGAGAAACTTCAGCCCCGGCCGGGTGTTGAAGTCGCAGGCCGTCTGATAAGACTGGACGAAGCACTCCAGCAGGAGACCCAGATTCTTCGGGGAGAGGTAGGCCAGTAGTCCAGGCAGGGAGGTGTCACTGAGGTCTGGGTCAAGGTCATGCCCTCCTTGGCTTGTCCGTTGATTGGGGACGCCGCTGGGCATGGCAATCATGTTCTGCTCTCTCGTGGTTTGGTTCTCGGCTCCGTAGAGGAAGATCGTCCCCAGGGTCTGGATGAGAAGCTGATGGGCAAGGAGACCCAGGACAACACCCCTGAATGATACCCTGTGAAAAAGGAGTAAGAAATATAACATATTACATCATATTCTGTCTCATCCAAACAACCCAAATTACGATGATCTCAGATTTTCACCCAAAAAATAAACAAGTTTAGAAACTCTTGCACTTTATTCAAATATATATCACTGTTCACAATACAAAATAGAAGTGATCCTCAAGAACAGTGGGATTCCAATTTGATTCACCAGTGTACATGAATGACTGACCTGCTCTTGATTTGATCTATGCTTGTGTTCAGGTCCATCTCAGGCGGATAGATGATAAAAATGAAGGACCGATTGGAGTCGCTGTCCACATCAACCATTCCAGTTCGCTGCGACTCCAGAAGAAATACCTACAAACAGTACAAATAACAACAAAATCTTCAAATTTCAACTAAGAAATAATCAGAATTGTCAAAATTCGGAAGAAAAAGAGCGTCCAATTAAAATACACTCAAAGAGCCGGGATAATGACAGAAAGATTAACCCTTCTAGTGTTCTGCACTTTACACTTAACAACCCCACAAATTTTGCAAAAGTACTTTTGCCCATAGAGTTAGCACCTTTACTCCAAACTCCTTTTGAGGTAATCTTCTGTGGAGTATGGATAGCACTTCAGATCCCTAAACAATTCTTTTATGTGGTTAAGCTCAGGGCAAGCAGGCAGATTTAGTCACCTTTCCCCGTTTTCCACAGCGCTGTTTTCTGTTTCTGCACAACACAGTTATCATTAAACTTCATATCTCTTCACCTGAAACTGGCCTACAGGGTTTTAAAGGGTTTTACATATTGCTCTGAATATTGCCTTCCTTTTTTATAAAAACTTGATTTGAAAAATATCAGATCCAAACTAAGTGGGGCGCTGTGGTCCAATGGTTAGTTACAGCATTCGACTCATGTGCCGTGGAACATGGGTTCGAATCCTGACCCTGGGAACATGGTGCTTGTGCTCTTGAGCAAGGTACTTTACCATTATTGCTTCGTGCTTCGGATGGGACGTAAAGCCGTAGGTCCCTTGTGTTGTGTAATGCACGTTAAAGAACCCAGTAACACTTGTCGCTAAGACTTTGCCCCGGTGTTTCTGGCAGTGGCTGCAATATGCACCACAGCACCTAGCAAAAAGGTGCTAAATAATGGGTCTCGTATGTTCATATACTTCATTTACCGGTCTTTCGTTGCATTCACCCCCAGCTCTTTGTATCCTAGGCACTATATAAATACGATTATTATTATCATTTTTATTATTAACAAACCTGCTGTGCCAGCTGCTGCAGTCGGAGGTACTCCAGTTCGCTGACGTCCTTCCGAGCGGCTACCTTGACCTGACAGACGTCCCCCATGAAGTCATCGGAGCCCGGATGGAAGCACGACATCAGGAGCTTCAGGTTGCGCAGGCTCATGGCTATGGCTCGCTGCATGGCTAGGCAGGCTACGGTCCACATGTCGTGGGTGAAGGACGGGCCAGCGCTGAGCAAGAGATGCCTGGTGGAAGAGAGGAACAAGCAGAAATATGTTTGGCTTTTTGGTCCATTTTTCTTCAAATTTACCTCGGTTTATGAAACCAAGGGGAAAGGTGGCTGAGTGATTAGGGTGAGCGACTCATGGACAGAAGGGCACCTTCACTTGCCTCTCTCCACCCAGGAGTATAAACAGGTACCGACATTAGCCGGGGAGTAACCTGTGATGGACTGGCATCCCATCCAGGGGGAATAGAAATACTTTCATTTCATGCCAAGGAAACCGGAGATAAATGCTGGTCTGATGAGCCACTTTGGCTTCGCACCAACTTGACGTGATCCAAACGAAACCAAGGAGTCTTCAAAATGCCTATGGCACTGTTTCTCGTAAGCCTAAAGGAATGTGACGAGAGAAGAAGGCCATGACATTTAAAGGTGGGGAAAAAACTTGCAGAGGAGACCCACAAAATCAGGTACAAACTGCAAAACTTTATCTGGGCGGGATTTGAACCCGGGTCACAGATTTATAAAAAAAAAAGTTTCACTTTTCCATCTATGTCAACTCACCTGATGCATGAGCAGCCTAGTCTGGAGACGGACTCGTTGGGCTGCCCTATGCACTCAATCAGCACGTCTAGCATCTGCCGCACCATGAGGTACAGCCCCGTCATGGGCATGTCCATCCTGACAAAGTGCACCACGTACTCCACCACGAGGTCCGTGGAGAGTCCGCAGGCGTGCTTGAAGTTGGCCACCGTGGCTTCCCAGAGGGAGGCGAACTGGCGGCTGCGCTGGACCCAGGAATGCAGCATGGGAAGGAGGAGCTCAGAGACGGCAAACACGGCAAACTGGGGACCTGGAATATCAAGGAAAGACAGGGAATTATGATGCTTAGCAAAGCTATTAGCTTACAAGCTCCATATGAATACCTTCAGCTGCACCGTTGTTAACTACAGACGTTTCTGAACGACTAACCGATTCTGATGGGAATGTAGAAAGTAGATTTAAAAAAATGTGAGCCCTACCTGGGACCGAAAGAACAGACCGTAGTAGTTCAAACAGCAGCTCCAGGGTTTGAGGCTGGTACCCCCGAGGGCAGGTGGACACTGCACCGGTCAGCCCTTCAAGCAGCAGGAACCAGACCCGACTGAGACCTGTCACGTCATCAACCTGCTCCGCAGTGACCGGCTCAAACAGGTACTCCTCCTCTTTGCTGCTGGCTCTACGGAAACGCTGCTGGCTGGCTCCGCCCCCGACTCCTCCCCCAACTCCTCCCCCAACTCCTCCCCCAACTCTAGCCCCACCCACGACTCCAAGCCCAGTTCCACCCATGACTCCACTCCCAGGTCTGCTCCCAACTCCGCTCCCAACTCCACCCCCAACTCTAGCCCCACCCATGACTCCGCCTCCAGCTCCGCCCATTCCGGGGAAGGTCGGTGTCGCGGGGTCATTGGGAGCACCCTCCGGCGACCCGAGCTTGATGGACTGGGCCCCGCGGAAGATCGGGCAGGCCGGCATGGTGTAGATGGAGGCCAGGATCTTGTGGCAGCGGTGGAGATAGTTGAGAGCCGGGAAGCACAGGTCCAGGGTCTTGGGTTGTCGCTCCGGGGAGGGGGGCAGGGAGGAGTTTGGGGTCGAGGTCTGTGAAGTGCTGGAATATCCTGCAACCAAAGAAGTTTATTATTAATTACAAACATTTACAGTTTGGTGCCGGCACTCCACTAACTGACCTATCCTTCTGTATGTTGGTAATCTCCCAATTTGTCCATTTCTTTGTTTCGTGAGTGTCAGTAAAGAAGCCATGAATCAACAAAAAGCTTTGCCTTTAATTTGAAAAGGTGACTCAATGAAGTAACTATACAGAACCTTTATAGTCACGAAGGAATGTACAAACAGCAAGGGTTCCAATACATGGAATGGGTTGACGACAATTGTATGGAAAGAAGCAGCAAACATATCCTGTCCACAAATGCAACTGGGAAGGCCCCAAAACAGGGTGATCCAACCATGCAGGCTTTCTACAGTGCTTAATGTCTATTAATGGCATTCCAGTAAAACCAAAATCAGGTGAAAAAAGAAACTTGCATCCCTGGCTGTCCCTTGTGCTTTTGATCATCAAAATACATCAATCCAACAGGTTAACTTACCAGAACCCCTGAGAAATTTGAGCAGGCACAGTATGCAGTCCACCGCAGCGTTGGCAAACACGGTCACGTTGTCGGTATTCAAGAAGGCTTCAAAGACGTTGAAGAGGGGCGCGAGGGGATGCTCCGTCCTGTCAGTCGTCTCCTGCTCCGGGTTCGTCAACTGCTGCTTGTAAGTGACGCGGACGGCGCGCAGGGCGCCGAATAGAGGGCGCCAGCCAGACTTGATGTTGGCGAAGGAGGCCTCGACGACCTCGCAAATGGAAGACACGACCTGCAAAGATGCAATGGTTATCAATAACATATCTCTCTTATGAGCCGTCTGACTAACTGCCTGACTGGCTGTCAAGTGTGACTTAGATTGGATGCCGGCTGGTGAACAGAGCCGAGCAGTGCTATTGTATATGATCACCCCATAAGACCAATGAATAGGCTAAGTCTGGTCGATTGTGTTGTAGATCAGCACCCCATTTCATGAAACTCATGGTAATTTATGATGCATTGCAGCGTTGCGACGCGTTGTATCCCTATGATGCGTCGCAGCTGCGACACGTCCTGCGATCCATTTCAAAAAAAGCGTCGTACGTGCGACGCGTCGCAGGTGTATTTATAGCACAACTCGGTGGCTGTTTTATGTATTTAGTCAGTGTACAGTAAATAGTAGTCTGATATTCAACAAAGAGTCGTCCGATTCTCTCGAATTTTTTTAAAACGTAAAACATAATGGCAGACGTTTGATGCAATTTTAAAGGAAAACAAGCTCTCAGCTACTTTAAAAATTTCAACTGCAATATTCCACGCTGATTCATAATTATTCAATGCATTTTCAATTTACAACTGTACACACATTGTCTCGGTATTGAAGGCTCGTTTATGTTTTTTATGACATAAAACTGGCTAAGAAAAGGACGCTTCTTATTTTGCGATGACCACTAGACATGTTGTAACTTGCGATGTGTTTAAAGCCATTGTCAAGGAACTTACGACACGTTCAAAACATTGCAAGTTTCGTGAAATAGATCATACGACGCGTTGCAAGTTGGGACGTGTTACACATCCTAACTCGGATTGCGACGCGTCGCAGCGCTTCTTGGAATCGGGTGCTGATGCACGAAACGACAGCCTGTGAATAGCCATTCTGAGTCAAATGAAAATAATTTTGTAAGATCTGCCTTATACTGGTCAGGGACAAGCTCTACCTGATCCTGAACATCTTCGTCACACAGCTCCAGGCACAGTAAGCTCTCGAAGGGCTTGAGGAGGGCCTCGTGGAAGTTGAAGTGCGGATGCTCAGTCTTGGCATAGAGGAGCTCCGTCAGGACATCATGGATGGCTGTGATGGCTTGCTTGGAGACGTGACGGTCCCTGTGGCAGGCCGCCTGGGGTGAAACGTGGGAAAGTGAAAATAAACAACACAGAGTGAGATACTTGGGAACATGTTGGCTGTTAATTAAGCCATTGGTGTTGGAGGACTAAAGCTTCTTTTATCTGCAGTACATCATTGATGAAACGTTGGCATCTGTTTGAGAACATTGCAGCGTGGTGATTCGCCATTTTGCCCACTCATCAATGTTTGCAAGTCATGTTAGAAATGTTTTCAAAGGAGATTCATGCTAGGGAGTTTGTTCTTTGTGGTGTGGGTTTGTGACTCATTATAAGAAGGGTGGGGGTTCGAATCCAGCTTCTCGCCATGTGCTGTGTCCTTGGGCAAGCCACTTCACCATACTTACCTCTCTCCATGAAGTAGTATACAAATGGGTTTGAGCCTGAACTAGTGAGTAACCTATGATGGACTGGCATCCCGTACTAGGGGAATGGAAAAAAATCTCAGCTGTTTCATGCTATGTAAAAAAGCTTTAAAAATATTGCAAGAATAGTGTTATTATGCTAATCTCAATACAAGTTACCAAAATCACTGTTGTCCACGTGTAAGTCTAGTGTAGTGTTTTTTGTCTTCAAATCAAGCTCCAGAGCTCAGTCAAGCAGATGGAATAAAGCCGTCCATGGACAAACAGGTTTGGCACACAAATTTTTAAACTACCATTTCTCAGCGACAAAATATGCCTTTGCAATAATTTTTTCGTCACTTATGTTTAAAGATAAGTATTTTAATAGCATTAAATGGAATTTTTGAAATATGACAACAAGTGGGTGGAAATTGCTGTCAAAAGTGGGTTTCCTTCTTATTGCTCCACCCTGTAAACCTGCCCGATGAGCCATATTGACCAGAGAAAAACTTAACTAAGATCATTGTTAACCTAACCTGTTGATCCATGTACCACCCCCAATTGTCCTGCTTGTTACTCTTTGTATTGTCCCAAACCACCCAGCACTGTAGGGTTTTATGGTTTTATCAGGGAATAAATACAATGTAATACTATGTAATACAATGTAATACAATGTAATACAATGCAGCACAGGTGGTAATAGGCTCAACAACACAGATACCTACCTCCACTAGGTGTGGTGCCACCACACTCCAAGCCTGCATGAGGTGCAGCAGGGGTCTGCTGCGATGACGGGCGCATTTCAAGATGACGTCACCCATGCGGAAGAGCAGGAGTGAGGTGCTAGCCTGCCCAGCGATATTCAGGGATTTACTGGGGGACGTCGGGGCTATGACACTCTGAGAAATGAAGAGAGAAAGCACTATGAACAATTGTTTGAAGTTTTGGATACCCGATGACTGATCAAAAAATGACAGGTACCTAATTCCATTTTTGTTTTACCTGAAACCCTCTATTCTGATTCCAACACGACATTTCTCAAAGGGAAACACAACTCTTTATTAATCAGTAACAGCGCTTGGGAGTATTTCTCTGGATTGCTTACCTTTTCTGTTTGATGGGGAGTGCTCTGGTACAGCTGGTGTCTTGACGCAGTTCGTAGTTCCCGTAGGAAGGCCAGCAAGGCACCCAGGTTTAAGTTGTTGGCCGCCTCATCAAAAAACCTGTAAAAAAGGAAACAGTTGACTGCAAATGAGTCTTTCATCAAATGAACCAGTCTGAAGATAATCTGTAAGGAAAACCTGTATCCTCTTCTAGTGATTTCTGTTTGCCATTTCCCAGGTTTGCAGCATTTCTACTTTTGCTAGCACCATGACTTTGAGCATGATCTCCAGCCACTAGCATGAACAGGTTTAGTGCCCCTTGAGCAACGACATTGAAAAATTGAGAGACTGCAATACAGAGCTTGATAACTCAGATGGTAGAGCGCCAGCACATTTTTCTGGAGCTCACAGAGTGATATCCTTTGATCAATCGCTTATTTAAAACCTGAAATCTATCTGGCTATGATATCAACATAAGTCCTCATAATTTTTGGATCTTCAAGTTTCAGGAAGATGACTTAAAGAGAAGGGTGCTTATTCCATATTTTGTTGGAGGGGCAACTAAACACTGTTAAGGCTGACAATGAAGAGTACCACTGGGCGAGTAACTCCCTTACTCGAGTACTCGCAAGTAGTTTATGCTACTCATCCTACTCATGGTTTTCCATCTACTCGAGTACTCATCCTGGCGCAAGCAGAAGCAGGTACTCATGAGTAGCAATGTAGGGTTTAGCGTTCACTGTTTACTAAGTCCCCTGAAAACAGGGAATCACTCCCTCCTGCTCTCTCTCCCTAGGATTCCATTCGTCAACATAACATTTCAAGCAAATGACCCCAAACGTCGCACAGAAAGGATGTCTCAGTGCTGAAGAATGTGGCGTGACTTGCACGCTATTTGCTTGTAAGTCACTTCACGTCATACTAGCGTATATATGGCATTTTTCTGCTTTTATGAGAATTTGGTTAACTACTCGCGAGTACTCGACTACTCACGAGTACTTAGTTTGCGAGTACTCGAGTAGAAAAATCCACTACTCGCACAGGCATAATGAGGAAGCTTGGTCTTCAATACTGTACACTATATGTGCAGCAGCTTACCTATCCACCTCTGACGACAGCCCGCACACCACCTTGGCCGCTGTTGTCGCGTTCAGCAACCCGCCCCGCGCCGACCCGACCTCGAACCCGATATCCTTCGCCATCTCCTTGTTGATGACCTCTGAGACGTCAAAGGTCGGTGCCACGGGGGTCGTGGGCTGGACCGGCACGTAGGAAGGCATGGACAGGTCCAGCTCATCGGGGGAGGCCGTGGGGAGGTTCTGGGGCGCGTCGGTGACCTTGGGCAGGGCGATGGAGGGTTGGTTGCTGCTGCTGAAGTGGCAGTGCTCCAGTTGGGACACGTAGGCACAACACCTGCAGTCATGGAGTAGAAACAAATCGTCAACTGAGCGAACTGAGCTATATAGCCCAATGTTGATGCTTGCTCGATATGTCTTTATTTTCCTTTTATGCAATGCGGCTAATACTTGCCTGAACATTATTCCACAGCAGCAAGTAAAGTTTGTCATGAGCCAATGTGGCCCATCAGGCCGGCGTTTATCTCCGGTTTCAGTAGCATAAAATGACTGTGAATATTTCTATTTCCCCTGGATTTGATGCCAGTCCATCGCAGGTTACTCCCCAGCTAATGCCGGTACCCATTCATACTCCTGGGTGGAGAGAGGCAAGTGGAGGCAAAGTGACTTGCCCAAGGACACAACATATGGCCAGCAGCTGGAATCAAACCCCTGACTCTCTGATCATGAGTCACGAACCCTAACCACTAGGCCACACTCCACAGCAGTGTTGTAGTCAAATTCAACAGAATTCCATCACCAATCCAGTCACAAATAAATTACAAGTCAATCCGCAAGACCAGTCATAATCAACAGGGGATGAACACAGAAATGCCTTTGTCAATATTCTTTGAATAGCTTGTGACTTGACTTAGGACTGAATGACTTTTGACTTACTTTACCTACAACAGTCCCGGATGTGGCCGTTTATGTGAATGTAGGCGTTTTAGTTGACCTTGTATCAGAGGTCATAAGGACAATGAAATGTATGCTGTTTTCTGACTCTATATTGGAGTGATAGTGTTTGGTAGGTATATTTTGGCCATTGTTCTTTTGCCACTGGCTCACTACAGGAAACAGCCACAGCTATAGACAACAATGGCTGTTACAGGTACAGACTACGGCTGTGTCCAAATTACTCGGCTACGGCTTAAAATTGCGCACAAGTGTTTTGGAAGTAGTCGCAGCCGCTAACATAGCCACATGTGTAATTGAAAGCCGTAGCTTTAATTCTGACACAGCCTTATTCTACACTCACCTGAAGATATGCTGCCAGCACTCGCCAGCGTGGCTGCCCATCTCTAGCCCCATGGACAGTATGGCGTCCAGACTCAACACGTGGGCCGCGTGCAGCCGTATCCCCTGCCCCTTCGAAGAGCGCCCTCTGAGGGACATCTTCCCGCCCACGGATGAGGCGTCGCCGGCCCCGCCTCCCCCGGAAGCTTGCTGGGCACGGAGGGAGGGGTCGTCGCTCATGCAAGAAGTGTTGGCGATCTGGGAGAAGAGGTCTGCGCAGCGCGCCTGCAAGCCTGTAAAAGAAGAAAATTATTTTTATAACATCGGTTTTGGAGACATTGGTGGATTATTTTTTGCGAGTGCACAACCAGTTAAAAAATGGTTTCTTAAACCTTGTAAGCACAGGAAGCCTAGCTTGTAAATTACATGTACATTACACTGGCGTGTATTCTCAGAGCTTCCTTAGAGCTTGTAAGGAAACCTTCACAAGCTGTTATACTCAGGGTCAACTAAAAAACACAGCCTCTTGCATACTAGAACAGATGTCTCAAACTATATATAATAAACGTCTGTCTTTAACAGTTACAATTTGCATGCACCATTTGAAATGCTTGAATGATCTGAAAAGTATCTGCTTAAAAACTGATTTTAAAAGATCTTTATGGCATGCACAATCATTGATAGCAATGATAAAATTGTGACCCAATAGAAAAGCTGTAAATAAGAATTACAAAAAAATATTTAACGCAAATCAGGGTCTTTTTCCTATACCTACATAATTTAAACAACGTAAAACACTCGCCAAACACAAACAGTTAATGCATACAATGATGACGAGCAGAGCATAATGTTCGAAACGTCGAGTTAAACCGACTGGTTCTTTCCAGAACCACACAACTCACTCACTAAGAGATATCTTTCATTCACATGGTGTTACCACAAACCTCCCACTTATTGATACAAATAAATTTATAGACATGAGTTAAAGACTTCTTCTGAAGACAGTTTGAGTATGATGGTCAAAACATTGGGTGGTTTACCCAGATTCTATTCAAAACACTTTCTTTACTTTCCATGGTGCTACTACAAACCTTCCTCAGTCCAACGTTCCTATCACATCAAATGAAAAACAAATTGCCAGGAAACATGTGGTGTAATACCCAGAATGGGTGGCTACTCAACATTCTGTGTGACCATCAGTAAAAACCTACCCAGGGTGCAACTGAGTGCGGCCGCCTTACGCAATGCCTCCAGGCTCAGGCAGATGGCGTCGCGGTCTCGGATGTTCTGTTCCTTGGCGCCATCCGTGCCCAGCATGAGCGCGATGCTGCCGATGCCCGACAGGCTACGCATGGATAAGGGTACGGCTAGGACCGAGAGAAGCTGCTTCCAGAGAGTCAGGAGGATGTCCTGGGTGAAGGCCATACCTGAGGGCGAAAGACAGAAACGGACTTCTACAGGGTTTCCAGCACTTTATGAAAAACAAAATTCCCTGATATTTCCATGAAAAATTTCCAAAATTCCACAAAAAATCTTTTCACTTTAACAAGGTAGTCATAAGGTGGTTGCAGCAAAGCAACTAAGATACTAATAATACACAGGCAAAATGTTCACTTCAATGGCCTCCCTTCTCCCCATATAGCCATCCTTTCCTCACCCTATGCACCAGAGACGCACATACGCCGAACTGTCAAAAACCTTTCCCTTCTGGGTCACTGTCAAATTCCCTGAGCTCTCCCTAATTTTGGGTGTGTTCCCAAATTCCCAGAGTTTTTCCCGACTGGAAAAACGGAAACTTATTTTTAAGGTTTTCCCTGATATCCCGAGTGGCCGGAAAGCCTGTTATAATGAGTCTACGGCCAGGGTTGATCTGTCTGCATTCTGGGGAGTGATGGTTTGATGATTTGACTTGTCTGGTCTTCTTTTTATTGTTCAATTATGTATATGGTGTTTTAGCCATTGGAATTTACCCTTTTCCTGTTTTTGGAGGGCAGGGGTTCCACTGTCATATTTCATTCTAAGCTCCTTCATTGAATTTTTTTAAGTGAACGAGCATGAGTCAGACTTATCTTTTTTGGACTTCAAAAAAAAACAATTAACGTTAAAGTTCCTTTTATTTTTTACTCTCTGTTTTATGTATCTTTACTTTTAATTTGTATTAACTCTTTCAGTGCCAAACTCGTACATGTACGAGGTATATTTGTTAGTACAAAAGCGCCAACCTCATACATGTACGAGGTAATGTTCGAACTTAAAATTGCCAAACCTCGTACATGTACGAGGTAGAGTAAATATGTTATCAAAAGGGGGCACTCTCGCTCTTTCTAATGGTACCATTTTCATGAATGTACGACCTGTATTTATTTTTTCATTCGAGTTCTTGCGAGAGGGCGCAGCACTAAATCTTGTATTTTCTGCAAAAAGTGCGGAATTCCCCTGTGTTCAGGCCAGTGTTTCAGGGTGTATCACTATGTTTGTGACTACTTTTGACTTTCCAATATATCAAGAATATACCAGAGAGCAACAACAACAAATTTAGTGAGTAAAACTTTTTTTACAGAATTTCTAACAATTAACAAAAACGCTCGAAGTTGGGCACTTTAGGGTTAAACTTTTCAAATTTCGCGGGCACTGAAAGAGTTAAGGTTGTATACATTTCTTTCATTTTAGCCCATTGATAAAATGCGTACCTGCTTCGCTGGCTTGTGTTGTGCTCTTGGTGATAATGGACAGCAGTTTCTGATTATGGGATGGCGCATCGTGTAGCATGTGACCTCCTAGCTCCTGACTGCCTAGCCCATCAATATCTGCAACCAAGAAAATATGATCTCAAATGAAGACCTCAGTGAGTTACTTTGCAAAAGTTTATTCTCCCCTTTTGTGTATTAAGTTTTCCATTTTCTGGTATTTATTTGAGGTTTTAATGCTTGTATTTGTAAGAATTTGTAAGGGTGCTGTGGTCCAGTGGTTACGGTGTTCAACTCGTGTGCCGTGGTACATGGGTTCGAATCCTGACGGGGAGCATGGTGCTTGTGCGCTTAGGCAAGGCACTTTACTACGATTGCCTCTCTCCACCCAGGTGTAGTAAATGGGTACCTGGTAGAAGAAATTCCTTCAATGCTTGAGCGCCGTAGTGGCAACTGTGCTAAAGCCAGGGTAATAATAGAGCGCCAGGAGCGTCACTTTGTGACAGACATGAGCGCTATACAAGACACCATTATTGAGTGGTCGGGCACAACCCGACCACTGATTGGAGTTGTTACGATTAATCTTCTTTCTTTCTTTCTTTTTTTGCGGACAATAAGTTTCCGCGGCTTTTCTCCTAAACGGTATACGGTATGAACTTGTAACTTTCAACATATATCGACCCTCGTCCCAAGTGGTGCATATTACTCTGACGTCATGATGACGTCATTGGGTGTCAAATTACAAGCGATTTGAGAGGAAAAAGTGGCCAAATACTTTCACCTATAACTCTTAAACAAAGTGATCAATTACGTTTCAACTTTGCAATCAGATAGACTATTAGTTGATAAACTTTTTTTGTCGTGTACGTGAACGCGCTTGACCTTTACTTCCGGGTCTGCCGGAAGGTCGAAGTTACGTGAATTCAAAATTAAGACTTAAGCCTGAAATTAAAACAAAGCAAAATTTCTTCCGAACGGTTTACGGGATGATCATAAAACCTAGTGTGAATTTGTACCATGTTGCGAAGATGTTATAAATTTGGTTACGTCATCATGACGTAATGTAAGGGCAAAGTGATGGAAGGGCAAATATTGACAAAATAGTTTGAGCTATATCTTTTGAACTCAATAGAGTATCGTGTTCGTTTTCTTCTTGAGGTTGTAGACTATGCCTTGAGTAACATTTCTTGTTCCCGGACACGAAACCGCTTGACCTTTACTTCCGGTGTTACCGGAAGTGCAATAAAAACTGAAGATAACCAGGAAACGGAAGCACTTTACTACATTTTACTAGTTTTACTATATTTGTTGGAACAAATAAAAAAGCGACTGCTTACAATAATAGTACTGCTACCACATAATATCATCATATTTGTTCACCAGGGACTGCAAAATCACAGCTCTTATAAGAATACACCCAGGGGAGAATCCAGGAATTTGTACAAAATCACACAAAGCATTCAATACTAATATTCTAGTCTTTTTTCTGATTTCTTTCGGCGTAACTCGCATATCAACAATGATTCTTTAATTCGTACCTTTATGCAGAATTTAATATTTCGACAGTGTAGCCACAAACTTTTTTTTTTTCGTTATCTCAGTGCAGAATTTTAGGAAGCCCATGCATGCAAAAGACATAAGCCCTTTTATTTTTGATATTGAGATAATCAAATGTTGCATATATTAAGCTCCAAACACATCATAGAGGCTCCCTCAAGTCCGTACCGATTCCGATTCTGACAATGAATTCAATTCAAATATTCTCGTCCATTTTCTGATATTTTTCGCCATAACCGATTGAAATCGCGCCTCGCCAGTTTTCCTCTCATATCTGAATGCTGAAAATTAACATTTCTACAGCGTGTAGCCACAAACTTTTCTGTCGTTAACTCAGTGCAGAATTTTATTATGCCCATGCAAAAGAAAAAATAACATAAAAGCCATTTTATGATAAAATCAGCATATGTTGCATAAACTCCAACGACGTTAGAGGCTCCTTTAAGTCTACCGTTGTCATAAATTCAATGCAGAATTTTATTATACCCATGCAAAAGACCAACAACAACAAAAACAATATAAAAGCCATTTTATCTTAAAATTAGCATAATTATGTTTCATAAACTTTAACGACGTGAGACGCTCTGTCAATTCTACCAATGTCGTAACCTTAGTGCAGAATTTTATTATGCCCATGCAAAAGACAAAAACAAAACAAACAAAAAAAGCCATTTTATTTTAAGATTAGCATAATTCTGTTGCATAAACTCCAACGACGTTAGAGGCTTCATTAACTCTACCAATAGTCCCAACTGGTTGTATGCTTGAGTAGCCATCCATGCAGCACCAGATGTGCGCTTCCTGATAGGCCTACAAGGCTTGTCGAGGTAGCAACAAGTTCAACTGCAGGTTGTGTGATTTTCTTTGTGAAAAACACAGGGTAATGGATGCAGGGTAATGGGAGGGGTAGTGTGCAGTTCAATTATGATTAAGTCACTGTAAACACAAGAAAATATGCCAGCCCGACCACTCTGCGTTTGTAACTCAACAAACGCGAACCTCTAGTTATTATTGTTATTATTATTATGATTATCCAAAAGGCATTGTGCGGTACCAACCACGTTGGTCACTTTTGTTCCTTTTACATGGCTTGAATTTTCCTTCATTTTCAGTTAATGAAACTGAACGAAAGCCCATTTTGATTAGAGACATGTTTGCACAATTTTCCATTAAATGCAAGGGAAAGTTCATGCATACCGATGCAAAATGTACAACTTTGAGTGTCACGCTGGTGGCAGAAATTTGCTGTAGGCGTTGGCAGGATTACGTCAATCGGTGAAAACATCTATTCACTTGCACACCAGTTTTCATCGGTTGCTATATGTTACCATTCAGCACTCCAAGAACCATTGAGTTTCAAGAAAATGGGTCTGAGAGCTACATAAGCCAATGTAAAAACATCCCCGGATGTTCGTGCCGTTCTATAACCAAAGACGATTACAATGAACAACCTGTTGTGGACCCAATCATGTTTGTTATAGCGACATTCTACTGCGCCAACACAACAACCATCGAGGAGATTGGAAGGGGGAGTGGTAGGGACAGTCGGGGGAGGGGGAGTTGGGGGGGGGGCAGGGGGAGAGGGATTTCTACTGACCAGTAAGGAGTGAGATGAGTGCCTTATTGCAGTGGAAGGACTGGGCTTTATAGCCTGCTTCTCCTAGTAGATCCCTGGCAATCAGTGAAGGGGAGTGGGGGGAGGGGGAGTGGGGGGAGGGGGAGTGAGGAGGGAGCAGGGGGGAGGGACTTCTACTGACCAGTTAGGAGTGAGATGAGAGCCTTATTGCAGTGGAAGGACTGGGCTTTGTAGCCTGCTTCTCCTAGTAGATCCCTGGCTATCAGTGGAGGGGAGTGGGGGAGGGGAGAGTGGGGGCAGAGGGGGGAGGGGGGAGGGCGACTTCTACTGACCAGTAAGGAGTGAGATGAGAGCTTTATTGCAGTGGAAGGACTGGGCTTTGTAGCCTGCTTCTTCTAGTAGATCCCTGGCTATCAGTGGAAGGGAGTGGGGGAGGAAAGAGTGGGGGCAGAGGGGGGAGGGGGGGGTTATACTGACCAGTAAGGAGTGAGATGAGAGCTTTATTGCAGTGGAAGGACTGTGCTTTGTAGCCTGCTTCTCCTAGTAGATCCCTGGCAATCAGTGTCTGGTACAGCTCCCCTAGCCAGGTGGATGAGAGGTAGACCAATATACCGCAGTCATGGACACTCTCTATGAACTGATTCTAAACAGGAAAATCAAATATCAAAAGTTTCTTTCGTGAGGTGCTTATTTAGTTTTCTAGTTTTCAAAATGTACTTCGCGTCTATACTTGTACCGCAAGTCAATCACACATAAAGTCGCAAGCCAAGCCAAAAGTCAATTACAAGTCAAGCCAAAAGTGACAAGTCAATCACAAACAGTGATGTAGTTGAGTCCATCACAAGTCCATCACAAGTCCAGTCATAAGTAAATCGCAAGTCCATCACAAGTCCAGTCACAAGTCCAGTCATAAATAAACCACAAGTCCAGTCACAAGAAACAGTGGATGAACAATAACAAAGGAATGCCTTTGTCAAAGCTCATTTGACTAGCTTGTGAGTTGAATTGGGACTGGAGGACTTGTGATGGACTTGCAGGGACTTGAGATGGAATCGACTACATCCCTGATCGCAAGTCAATCACAATCGAATCAAATGTCAATCACAATCCAAACACAAGCCAAGTGACCAGTCAATCACAAGCCAAGTGAAAAGTCAATCACAAGTCAATTAAAAGTCAAATCATAAGTCATTAACAAGCTCATCACAAGCCAATCTCATGTCAAATCACAAGTCAAATCACAAGTCAATCACAAGTCACAAGTCAAGTCACTGTCACAAGTTGATCACAAATCAATCACCAGTCAAACACGAGTCAGGTCACAAGTATTAACAGCGAATAAACAAAGGAATCCCTTGGTCCAACTCCATATGAATAGCTTTTGACTTGACTTGAGACTGAATGACGTTATCCAACCCTTAAGACATATTATACAAGAAGCTCAAAGTGACAATTATTATACTGAATTGTGGAATTATCTTGATTCCGAAGTATTCCAGAACCCAAAAATGTTCTGGTAGCAGATATGTTTGTTTTTTTAATTTTAAACAGCAAGTACACAAGTTAAGGTGATCCTAAATGTTCTCAGAAAACTGCTGTTAAATAATTGACAAATGTGTTTTGTCCACGCTTACTTTGGTCTGAGGCAGCTGGCCAGGATCCTGATAATGCCCGCTGCGGATCAGTTTCAGATTAAGCAGCAGGCCTAAGTACGTGGCCACGTAGATGCCATCTGCGTTGATAACTGGGGCCAGGTCTAACGTCACTGCGTCATCAGAACTCTTGTCCGTGTTGTGTTTGCGGAAAGAATGCCCTGGAAAATGACATATAAAATGAAATAAAACTTGTGGCATATCTTAACCCTAACTCCCTAGTGTCTGTTACTAAGTACTGGCCCAAGTCTGCCAAAATCCATCACTGACCCTGCTTCACATCATGCTTTAAGACCCAATCTGCTGAAATCCAACAACAGACCACCACTACTATAGGTGGATTTTGATGGACTTGGTATTCATGGTTTGCCTACCAAACTCCCCAAAATGGGGAATGGATTTCGATGGATAATCCGTTTACCTGTGCAGTACTCATTCCAACAGATTCCAACAAACCCTAGTGTTTGAGTTTGCCTGGGTGGGGATTGCTAGGGATAAAGTAGGGACCTCAATTAGGGTCAAATCTCATTGAATTTTTTTTTCTCCAATGCAATATTTGTACCACAATGCTTCATACCTGCAACAAATGTTGATGCAAATTTCTGTAGAACTTCATCCACTTCTACTTCATCCATCATCGGTATGATGGTAGGCAAGAGCGCCACCAACGCCTCGGCAAAATCTCTCGCCCCTTGCTTCTCCCTCTCCAGATTCTGCTGGGCAAGACGCTCCAGCTCCGCTCTCTTTTGCTCTTGCTGCTCCGTCAGAAGCCGATCCGAAAGGATCTTCTCCGGGGAAAGAAGCGGGGATGAGGAAGAAGTCGATGATGGAGGGGAGGCCGAGGATTGGTCCTCTGCGTCGCTGGCCTCCTGGTCTTGGTTGTAGGTGAGGACGTGGATGGCATCCGTTGCTAAGGCGGCCATCTTGGATTCGATATCCTCCTCTGCACCCATCTTGTGTTCAGGCTCCTGGTTGGTTTCATCAACGCACTCCTCCGCTGCCACTCCTTCCTTAGTGTCTTCTCTTCCAGGGATGTCCTCATCATCACCTTCACCCTCAACTTCCTTCAATCCTCTATCCTTAACCTCCTGTGGATCTTGCACTGTATCAATCCGGTCCGAGTTGCCTGGGCGACCCAAGTCGGCGATATGCACCTCCTCCTCTATCGGTTCTTCGGAGGCGGTAATCCCAACCTCCTGATCTGGCCCAATTGCACCCTCGCCCTCTTCAAGACCCTTGTGATCTCCCGCATCATGGTCATCTTCCCCAGCAACAGCCTCATCTTCCCCAGCAACAGCCTCATCTTCCCTAACAACAGCCTCTTCATCCCTAGCAGCAGCTTCATCCTCCCTAGCAACAGCTCCATCCTCCATCTTCTCATCACCACTTGCTTCTCTTTCAACTTCTCTTTCTTCTTCGTCCTCTGTTCTTCCAACTTCTCCATTCTCTGTCTTCCTTGGTTCGTGGCTGCCTAGAATGACTAGCTCAGGTTTGGGTAAATCTTCCAGTTTCTCTGCCTGTAGCAAGAGGGGGTCTTTTGTGTCCACATTGCCTGGAGGTGAAACAATAAACAAAAACAGCTCAAGTTCAAACAACCACGACAGCTGTTGCAATTTTTTTAGGAATTTCGTACTTCGAGTACATGAAATTATCTTTTCAGACAGTTGATAAATATTTCAGTTGTTATTTTTTCTATTTAAAAGTCAGGCCAACAGGCAATCAATAACATCATAATAGCATTTTTGTTTCGTTTGAAGCAACAAAAGTGCTCAAAATCTAAAGACGGGTGCTCAGCAACTAAACTGATTAAGTTTTAGCTCGGTGAATGCTTTATATTCTGAGAAAACAATATTCTAGGCTCAGTTTCAATTCAAATGTTGCCAAGTCATGTTTTGAATTGCGCCCAAAATCAGCGTCCGGGACACGTTCTCATTCAGCTGATTGCAGCTACGCAATGTCACGCACTGAACTGACGAATAACAGCAAACCGTGCGTGCGTGTGCGTCGTGTCAACACTTGCGCGCACCCATTCACGGATTCACCGAATTACAAACCAACAACTAAAGGAAATCTCCAAAAATGCGTCACTTGACGCAACTTTGGAAATGGCCTTCTTTTATTGTTTTCTTCAAAATGACAGCATGCCAGAAAGAATAATTTCACAGCGCGAGTTTAGTTCCATTACTATCTTTAAACCAAGTAAGATTTTCAACAATAATTTCGTCAATTACTTCTTGGATAGCTGCAAATGATCTACTCTACCTTTAAAAAAATCAGAAATATCACTGATTGCACAAATGGTCACTTCTGGCTGTGGCTCTGACTTCTGACTGCACTGCACCAATGCCAAACAGCCACAGCCAATACTCAAAAAGGCTAAGTCGGCCATCTTGATTTACTCACCGTTCTGTCTCTGTTCTTCCTTGGCCCGGCTCAGAATCAGCTGAACCTGTTTCTCGTTCAGCCCTTTGCCCTGGCTGATCTCATCCAGCGAGGACAAGAGCGCCCCCACGCAGGCCACGCTGGACAGGCAGACCGCACTGTCGCGGGACTGGGTGGCGCCCGAAATGCCGTCCATTAACCTTTGTGTACAAAAACATCATTCTCGACTTTACATTTCACAGAATTCTATTTTTCAAGGTCTTTTTTCTGATATTTATATCCAATATCAAAATTAAAACAAAAACAGGCAAGACCTCTTTAAAATAAATTCCGAAACTTTTTTTCAGCATTCACGATTAACACAAATCCCATACTCAAAACCTGGGCCCAATTGCATGGCGCTGCTAAGCACAAAACTTTGCTTAGCACAGAAAAAGTCTGGCTTATACAAGCAGGTTACGAGCCAAAATTCCATGTGATTTTCATGCTAAGCAAACAACAGCTGAATACTAATCTCGAGCAATATACATCACGTGGAGTTTTTGGCTGGTAACCTGCTTTTATATGCCAGACTATTTTTGTGCTAAGCAAATGTTTGTGCTTAGCAGCGCTGTTAAATTGGGCCCTGCACTCATGCGTACCCATTTGCAATTGGGTGGACATAAGCGATTGCAGTAAACTGTCTTGCTTATGAACACAACCACAGACAGAATAGAGACTGAAATCCTAACCTTAATAAATAATGTAACCCGTTAATTCCCGACACAATATTTTCCAAAACCAATAAAAAGCATTCTTACAATTTCAGCAGGTCCATGTCGGTGCTCCTGGTCTTGTTCCCCATCTTCCCACTGGTGCTTTTCTCAGATTCTTGATCTATGATTGCAGGGCCAGCCAAATCCAATACGCGCTCAGGTGTCCCTAACATCTGAAGAAGAAAAAAGTTGTTTTTAAAAATTGTGTTCACTACTGCCAAATTTCACAAACCCCATATCATAAAAACAGTTACTGACCAATTTTCACAAACTGTTGAAATGTTGTTCTCTATTTTGTGAAATTTGTGACTAACCATGGCGTCATTCATTTTCTCCCAGTAAATCAACACAATTTCATGTGCTTTTCATATAAATAATAATAAGGTTGATAAAGGCCCAATTTTATGGGACTGCTTAACAGACAATATTATCAAACAAAGTTGGTTACCACAAAGCTCAAGTCGAATGGGAACCAATCACGACCTATACATTTTGCATGACAGTTTGGCTGGTAAACCGTTTTTGATGATCAAAATTCTTTTGTGCTAAGGAAGTTTGTATGCTGAGAAGCTGTTTACCTCCTTCAAGACTTTCAAGGCTTCATTGCGGTGAACCGGGGGAGGGTACAGCAGCATTCTATGAAACAGCGAGCCCAGAACCGGCCGCATGGACTCCAGACTCCCGACGAGTCGCACCAGCTCCGTTGCGATGCTGTAGACGATCCTTGCAGATGAGTTACCCGTCGCTGGTGCAGTGGCTGAACCGCCCGAGCCACGCCCTTGATCTTGGAGACCCGCGTGAGGGGCGTGGCTTAGCTCAGGGGAGGAGGAGGTTGTGGGAGGGACGGGGTGATGGGAGGAGACGATGGACTTTTCGTCTCGGGGGATGCCAAGGATGGCGATGAGGCAAGGGCACAGCTGCTGCCTGGAAAATCAAAACCAGGTTTATAAAGTTACATTATGTTCAGACAAAACTTTCGAGCAGAGTTGTAAGTAAATTGTCTCAACTCAACCATCACCAGTCAAACACAAGTCAATCACAAGTCGATCACAAGTCGATCACAAATCAATCACAAATCAATCACAAGTCGATCACAAGTCGATCACAAGTCAATCACAAGTCGATCACAAGTCAATCACAAGTCAATCACAAATCAATCACAAGTCGATCACAGGTCTATCACAGGTCTATCACAAGTCAATCACAAGTCAATCACAAGTCAATCACAAGTCAATCACAAGTCAATCACAAATCGATCACAAGTCTATCACAAGTCATGTGGCTAGCAGTTTCATATGAACTGTGACACCGGCATTCCTTAGTCATTGCATCCCGTGGACTTGTTACCCGAATACTGATTTGACTCCTGAATTGACTTGTGACTGACATGTCACTGTTTCCTCTGGTGCTAAGTACACAGCATTTTTTAGGGAATAAAATTATTCAAAGGGTCCATGCAATAAATTATTCTTAGGAACACATTTTGTGCAACTTTCTACTCATATTAATTAATTAACCCTCCTATACTTATAACTATCACAAACTATTAAAAAACCTAACCACTACCTCTCTCGGTAGCTTTTGTACAGACTGGTCATCAACTACCAGAAATCCCTATGGATTACACCATATAACTGCCAAAGCCTGATTCAGTGGTTTTAAATTAAAATTAAAAGAAAAGCACACAGTATTCAGTGTTTGTGAAATCAAGTCTGTAAAGAGTAAAAAAAAAAAAAATAGAATTTACATTCATTTTAGTCCCAATTATAAACCAAACAAGGTCCTGCATCCTGAATCTCTTACCAGACGGCTTTGACAAGTATAGGGCTTTGGCTAAGCTCAGGGCCGGCGTTACTCAGCATGGCTAGGACTGCTTCTAACTGCAGCGTCAGGAGTGGCTGATTCTGGTTGCTATGGTGACCTTGTGAGAGTCTGTGGGATAAGGTACACAAAAAATTAAACTCCTTATATTGAATGTCTTTTTGTACATATAGAAATGCAAAGATACAACTTGCATAAAACATGCCCGCTTTTTATTTAAAAACATAAAAGTGAGGACCAACATCTCATTTCAAGTAGAAACTTCCTGCACGGCCCTGAACCATGTTGTAGCCCATAGCATTTGTATACTGCCTAGAAAGTTACGGTTATATAGAAATTAGTTGAATACAATATGCAATGCTGTAATGGTCAAGTTTATTGCTGAACCTAATACGTTTTTGAAAAGTTTGAAAAACGCTTTTGGCTTACCTTTGTGACTCGTTCAGCTTGGAGCAGAAATACTGGAGGACTTGAACAAAGGCTTCGTGGGGGTCTAGCGTCGAACCGGGAATGTTGTTGTTTTCTATTTGCAAAAACAAAACAAACATTTGACTGCAAGAACGGCAAGCAATTTTTATCCAGGCACAAGATCAATGTACGCTCGTGGAGACTCCAGAAATGGATGAAGCATTTTGCGGGCTTTACTTTTTAAAATAGCCAGCTGTAGTTCCACGTTTAAGGCAAAGGAGGGACAAGAAAAGGGCTTGTTCGATGACGGGCATTTCTGTAGGAGAAGTGCAACTGCGTATTTTACGCAATCAAGCATGCATTGCGCAAGTGTTGAAAATGTTTCAAACACGCGCGCTTGTTGCTCGAAATATGTTTGAAATACAACGCAGCTGGTGCGCGTTATGCAAGTTGATGCTCAAAATGCTGATGCACGTGGAAGGTCTGTAGGAAATGACGTCATTTGAACGAGACCTATAAGAACCTGGGTCCAATTTCATAGCGCTGCTTGTCAGCCGATTTTGTGCTTACCGAGCCTCCATCTATTTCATAGAGACTGTAAGCGGTAAGCACAGCAAAACATGCTTAACTCAGAGCAAAAAGTTTCTTAAATCTGAAATGTAACGATAGAAATCTTAATGTGCGCGCAACCATTATTTTCTGCTACGGTAAGCACAACTTTTCTGCTGTTGAGCAATACTATGAATTTCGGCCCTGGTTTTGAGACAAATTTGAATACGAACATTTTGAATTTGAAAACCTCCACCATAGAAATAAAACAATATATAAAGTGAAAGTATTTTTTTGTTAAATGTACACATTTACATGAAGTGATGATCAAATCAAAAACATAACTTACTGACATTAATTCCAGTTATTGATCCATGCAGAGAGAGAATGAAAAATGCAAAAGAATCAAAGTGTAAGCACAAATTATACACTTAAAAATTCTCAGAACAAAATGTTCTTTACGAAAAAAAAATCAAAATTGTAATTTTTAAACCGTAACTTAGTGAAAAGTGTAAAATCAACTTTAACAAATTAAATACAAACAGATGTGACTGAAATTAAAAGTTAATATTTTTGCAGTTAGTTGCAATAATAAAACTACATTTACAAAGACAGAATAAAAAAAAATGTGAAAGTAAAATGTTGCCGTAATAAAGGATGCAAAGCAGAAACGTGTACACAGTATGTTTAAGTTTTTAACCTAAAATTGTGCAAAAAAGCTATCGTCAAATTTGCAAGACAGTTTTTTCTATAAATGCCTTTAAAACGGAATTTTCCTACCCGATTTAGGTATCTGGGTAGGTTTACACAAATTATGATCAAACCACTGGTGTCCACAATACCAACTGATCTAATTTATTCACAATCAATGACTCTCACGACATGCTGTCTCAAAAAACACCACCAAAAACCTGAACTTCTGTTTGCATTTTATTTTTCCAGACCTCGTGTTCACAAAATGCTAGTACAGTATACGACATGTGTGAGATGATTTTGTGAGCCACATTTAGTAAATGGCGATTTTAAGGCATAACACAGATTGCAATATTGATTTATTGATTAATTTTTGGTCGGGTGATCGTTTGACATTTTACAAAACAATGGGACAATGCTGTATGAAGCCTCTACAGAGAGAGAGACACATGGGCTCAAATAACAGAGTTATGGCTGTGCACTTTTGAACAATTTAGTATTTGATTATTCCAACTTGGACTTTGATTGAATATTTGAATATCAAATTTTGTAATGCACTGATTTAAGGGAATGCATATCATTGGCTTTTGCTGTAATTTGCTGTACAAAAAAAAAGAAGAGAATTGGGCCAATTTCCTCTATAAGCAAAACAGCAACAACAAAAAACAGAGCAAGCATCATTAAAATGAATTCTACACAAAAAAGTGAGCACACACATGGAACAGACACAGAACAGACTACAGTACAAACCTGCACTTTCTGTCCCTGTATCCTGCTGCTGTTTCATGAAGCATTGGCACAAACAAAAATCAAACACAAAAGAGTGGACAGTGAGTTAATCAGCAGTTAGGTCTATAATGTTGCGTGAATGTTAGGAAAACATGCAGTATACTACATCTCATGGAAATATTGAATATTCCTGTATGTTTCTGATGTTCTTGTTATTTTTTACCCAAACAATAACCTTTTGAAGCCTTTTGTTTAACTGAAGTTGAACTTACTGAACAGAACTGAACTTTCAATTTTGACATCATAACTCATTTGGTTAATTTCAGAATGTGCCAATGAAAGAGGACAAATTTCCATCCCACAGTTGGCAAGTCACTAATGCTTGAGGCTATGTAATTCGGACACAATGTTAACTTTAGCAGTCAAAAAATATGAATGAGAAATTCTTTTTTATGCAAAAAAAAGAACATGCTTAACAACAAAATTGAACAAAATACATGTATATATACACAAAAATAGACAACCACAAAAATTGCAAAACTGTACAAAAACTTTCCGACTGAAAAAAAAAAGGAAATTGCAAAAATGTTCCCACACAGTTAACAATTGTTGACTGCTGTGATGTTGGATATGACGTTTATTAATCGGGGCGCATAGCACCTTCGGCTTTGCCTCATGCGCTATGTGCGCCTCGGGTGTTCAAAACGTCATATCCCACATCATATCGGTCAACAATTGTTTTGTTATATCGTGCCAATAGCTCAAAAAGATAAATGGTTGTTACTTACAGTGTGAGAAATAAATTAAATCACCGCGATGCAACCTTTGATAACTGAAGGTTTTGATGTCCTGCCGGACATGAGACTGAGCTTTTGACGCTGTAGTTCTCATTGCGCAAAGCTAGCGCGCCGGCAGGTTTCACACGCGCGCGCAGCACGCGCAATGAAAGCAGTGTGATATCAACCTCGGTGTGTGACATGCAATTTTTATTGTCCAGACACGTGGCCATCCTAGACCAATGAACTTTCAGTATCCAAGCACACGATATAACAATTGTTAGTGTCACTAACTTACAAAGAACAAAAAAACAACAACAAAACAACATATATTTGCAAAATTGCAATACAGCATTACACTCAGGGTTCGACTTTAGCGGTGGCCCGCTAGCCAAATGCTAGTAAAAACAGCAGCGGGCTAGTCAAACTTTTCCTTAAGTTACGTAGCCGGCTGGCGAGTCAAAAATTATTGGGCTACAGCAAATTTGAGATGAAAGGGCAGGAAGAAATAATCATTAAATATCAGAAAGCAAACCTGTATCAATTTGTGGCTAATTTTATTAAATGTTTAGGGTTAAATTATTAGATGTGTTTATTAAAAACACTGACAAGTTTGCCTCGGGATACACGTTTTACATGTGTGCACATTGTTGATCATGAGACACTCAATAAAGTATCAAAGAAAAACATGCAGGCCCGTGAAAATGCCCGCGGGCTAGTTAAGAGTCTGTTTCAGTAGCCCGGCTGGATAGTGAAAAAAATAGTTAAGGTCGAACCCTGATTACACTGCAAGTGATATAATTGTTACCGTTGATTCTTGGTCATTTTGTGACTCTTCCTCCCAGTGCAAGCGGCTGAACGACCCAACCGTCTGTTTCATAGCGAGGGTGGATATTGCACGGACCCCGGCATGCGGTCCTTGCTGAAAACACTCCATGCACAGCTACAAACATGTGACATGCCAACATAAAAACACAACAGACAAAAAAATAATAACAATCAAAGGACAAACACATGAAACCGAGTTTTGAAAGACGGATTCTACAGGGCGAGTAAAAAAAAATGAAACCCAAATGTCGGGACCCATTGTTTTTTAAGTTCTGCTTGAAGCATTTTCAAAATTTAGTATATGAAAGCCCAATTCATAAGCTTTCTTTTAGTACAAGAATCATTCAAATCACTCATGTACTTTTCAAGTTACGGATTTTTAAACACAACCACCGTTTTAAGGTTCTGTCCACGGATCACCAAAAAGGTGTGCGTTCTTTCAGCAAAACGAAAACAATTCACACACATCCCTATGTGATTTGTTTTCGTTTTGCTGAAAGAACACTGAATTGCGATCCGTGGACAGAACCTTAAAAAGGTGGTTGTGTTTAAAATTCTGTAACTTGAAAAGTACATGAGTGATTTGAATGATTCTTGTACTCAAAGAAAGCTTATGAATTGGGCTTTCATATCCTAGATTTTGGAAATGCTACATGCAGAACTTCCCTAAAACAATGGTCCCAACATTTGGGTTTCGTTTCTTTTTTTACTCACCCTGTTTAGTAAAGGTTTTGTTGTTTTTTCCCCCCAGTCCAAGAAATCTACTTGTGCTTCTAAAAATCTGCAGGTTTAGTTTGTAAATTTGTTTTGGTAACCAATATGAATAATGATAAAAACACAAACTGGCTCATGTGCATTAAGAAATATCCCAATTGCAATGCAAGACCTTAAAAGGTAATATACAACATTTGCTTTTGCTGTAATTGTCAGAAATGGATGGATTTGGGGGTAAGTATCTCAAGCAAATATTGTTACACTGACCTGTTTAAAGTTTCGTGTTCATAGATGCAGGATAAACCAAGAACAAATGTTGTTCTTGTAGTAACGATGGCCGACCATCGTTGGAAATTTACACAAACTTCCACTTTTCTTGAAAATGATAGCACACCAGGTGCCATGATTTCACAGGATGCTGGAAACTATTATTCACTTGCAGTCAAGTAAGGTATTTCATAATAATTTGGTAGTTTTGCTTTTAGATGTTTGCAAATCTTGTACAGGGTGGATCAAAAAACCGAAACATATTATTGCTAATTGGAACAGAAGTAGGGCACATGTGAATCAAAGGGAGATATCCTCTGTTAGGGTTGAATCTCCTCTTTAAAATGACACCCTGATCATGTCATTACATTCACGGTTGACTGAGCAGTGACCAATTTTATGAAAGGGTCTATTTAGAGAATTGCGCCACCTTTCAGTTGTGGTTTTTGTGGTGTCATTTGTCACAGAGTGAAAGGCTATGGTTGCCAATCAAGGCAGGTGGGGGGAAAAGAGATTTCACCATGAAAAGTGGCTTATAGATGTAAAACACACACACACACACACACACTTTTTTTAGTTGTTCAGTGATTTGATTAAATGTATTTTTTGTTTCTGGCCCAATGCTACCAGATCAAACCAAAAACAATGACTTTGTTTATTGGCACCAAATTGGTAATTTAAGGTCCACTCTATATGTGACACATTATGCACATGCATGGCTGAGAACATGGCGGAACTGAAAATTGGTCGGCAAGCTTGCGTGCTCATAAATTTCACACAAGGCTGATCTTTAATACACGGCATCTCCACACTGGATTGAACATGATAGACCATCTGACACTGTGACTCATTTCAAATTCTTTTTTGTCACTTCAAATAATTGCCTTATGCTCTATCCAAAACCCAGAAATCTGACATTTTGATTATGAGTGTATTAAAATAAAATTGCACAACTATTATCTTGTAGTACCCTAAATAGTTTTTTTCAATTTCTAGTAAGGTATTAGTATAATGAATCATCATTCACATGCACCACAAAAGCCAACGTGGGTTAATGAGCAAAGAGACATACCGGTATTGAGATATTCGAGACTAAAGGCATACAGTGGAACGCCGCTATAACGAACATCGTTGGATCCACAGAAAGTGTTCATAATAACGATCGCTCGGTATAGCGATTTTGACCCGCCGGTACCCTCTTTTGACCAATAGTGAACTGGCATTTCTCACATCCCGCGGCCGCAAGAGGAGTCGTCATGAAATTTTAGCAATGGGTGATTTTCCCTTTTATTCCTTGGGGAAGTTATAGTCATCTATCGCTTTTCAACATTCAAACATGATGTAACTATGGGTCATTTGACGTTCGAGAAATAAAGTGGCCCAAATAGTGTTTAATACATGTACAACTGGTTCATTTTTTTGGTTAATCTGTTGACTTTTTTCAACAACAACGTTCGGCACATTTTGTACATTAAAACCGGGAGCCAAGGATGATGTTCGGTATAGCCAAATGTTCGGTAGAGCAGTGTTCGTTATGGCGGCGTTCCACTGTACTGTCTTGTTCATTCTTGAAGCAAACCAAGATTTAAAGCAAATTGTGTCAAAATTGACGGTTTGCTTGTGAAACTCGATTTCACTCTACTTCAAGTCCTGAGTGTCCCAGTCTTGGGGAGGTTCTAGACATCACTTGTTTTTTAGAAGTGGGATGGTTGTGGGTTAATACATCCAATCTTAGAGTCAACGTGGACCATTCTTTACAACAATATTTCAACAATATTTCATCAAAACTTAGCGAGCTCAATGAGTAAATGGGTACTGTGAGGGCAGCGATGGTTGTTGTGTTTGATTTTAGCTGCTTTGTGCCGAAATGGCAGCATCGAGCTGTATACTCCACAGGGAGCTGAGATTGTCTTTGGAAGGTTTCATTGGCCCATTGAGCAGGGTAATAATAATCTAATATGTTTTGATCTTAGTTAAAAGTGCTAAAGTATAAGTTATTATCAATAACACGGAGCTGCCAAAAAAAAAATATTAGTAATTTTGGAAAATGAAATTGGCCATACCCAGTGCCCAAGTATAAGCACCAAGTTAGGAGCTGAAAAATTACGATTTTCCAACATAAACAAAAAAAACATTATGTTATGCCCTGAAAATGGGCACCAAATTAAGCCACAGAATAAACATATCAAATCAGTTTTAGTGCACAGTCAACAAAAATGTTTAAAACCAAGAAATTAGGAATGGTTAACTCCTGTCAAACAAAATTGTTTCTGAGAGTGCGCTTTTTCTGCGTGCAAGAGTGCGCCTTTCTTGGTGCAAATGTTTGTTAATATGTGTGTTACCTGTCGCAAAGACTTGGGGCCATTCTGTGTAGACATGCAGTATGGTGAAATAAGCGACAAATAAAAGTTACAATATCGAAGCAAAAATATAAAAAAAATCTACACAAGTGCATCATGACCAAAACAAAAATTACACATCTACACATTCCAAGATCTACATGTACATGTAAAATGATATGGTGTTATGTACATGTACATGGACCAACGAGCTATGAAGTGTTAATGCAGTACCAATGCACCATGCGTGACATGACCTCCGGGTTACCAGCTATCAGTGAACCAGTGAACCGACCAGCGACCGTTTACCTGTTTCAACTGTAGCGTTGCGTTCTGGGCCAGGATACTGACTATCTGGAGGAGCGTGATTTGGCAGGCCCTGTGTATATCCTGCTTGCCCAGGTTATGCGACGTTAGGCAAAACTGTTGGGGGAATTCACCATGGTTTTTTTTTTCTTCAGGTTACTAAATCATAACACTATAGACTCCATGCACAATTACCCCCTCAACGGTAAGAAAGGGAGAGTCCGGGGGACCACTGGGAGGGACATTCCAACCTCGTTTCCATGGGTACCGTCTTGCTGCGCCATGTTGTTTCCCATCATGCCCTGCGCGATCTTAACCCCTGGAATTGTCTCATTTAAATGTGTCAAATAGTGGCACATTTAAATTAGGACTGCAGTTGATGTACATAACGAGGTTTCTTTCGTCCCTTTACAACCAAAGATACAGGGTTTTTTTTAAGCAAAAAAAACGAGGCTGCCATAATCCATATCGTACAGGCATCGCGCAGTTTTGAAAAACAAAATGTTCATACGTGACGTGACAAGCACGCGAGCGCAGTATGCTCTGAATAACCAGTCAGCATCGTTTACGTGTACATCACAGCCAGGGGTTAGTGCAAGGAACACGCACACGCCCATGGCGGAGTCGAGGCTGGGGACATTGGAACGCATTGGCAACGACGCCGGACGCTTACGCAAAGATGCTATCGGCTTGCACACATTCAGAATAACAAATAGTTGTGCATACAAGTACTTCACGCAGTACGCGCACGAACCAATACGCGCACATGGAGTGTCCCTCCCATTGGGATTTCAATAGTGGTCGAAGAGCGCCACCTACTGTGCACGCACGAAGTCCATTATACTAAAAAATGCATTCAATAAAAATTGTGTGTGAAATACATCCCTTTTACCCTCCTGTTATTTAAGCAGTCACTGACAGTCAGAATTCACTTCCACTTCCCCTGTTATACTTGTAACAATAGGCTAGTCAACAGCAGTCAGATAATATGTAAAGCAAGCACTGTGACTAGTCAAACTGGGTCAACAGACAAAGCAGGCAAGTTGTGGCCACAGCTGTTTTATCACTCAACCGGAGTCAAAGCATAGCTGTATCAAGTTACTTAAAGTAGTCCCAGCCAGTCAGAAAATAGTCACTTGTTTGATTTTGACAGAAAGGACTACTTGGCACAGAATGTATGTTTACATAGGAGGGTTTATAGGACATATTTGAAAAAAATCGTTTTCTACTTTTTAAAATCAGGATGATAATTAAATGAAAGTTTCAAATTGCGAAGTTAACGGTGAGGTGACATGGAAATGTAATTTTTATCGCAACATAAGGTGAAATAGAGCACTGCCATACAGGTTGAAACATCGTTACTTGTTATAAATCGGTTCCATCTGTATTGTTTCAAATTCTGTTGCCAGTTTTAAAGTTGGTATTGTTTTTATAATAGAACTTCATTGCATGAAATGGTATGACTGAAGAAGATGATTTTTGAAAACTATGCACTTGGAAGCCAATGAATTGAAGACGAATGTTTTGGGTTGTTTTTTTTTTAAATAAAAACAATAAGAAAAGGTTTTTTTTATAAAACAGTTTTCAGGAAAAGGATTCACATTTTGCCATGAAGCAATATAAAATAAAGGAGACAATTTACAAAGTAGAAAAATGACCAGAAAATGCTCACTAAAGTTTCAAAAACAAAATGGGAATTCTGAATGATATTTTGAGACAGTGAACATGACAAGAGATAGGGTTATTAGGGTGGGGCTTTGTATGCAAAACAAATCAAAATTTATGCGAATACATTTTTAAGTAATTGAATGATCCTGACCTCTGACACCTTGATGATTGACAGGGAACTGACTGAGCAGGAGGCGGAGCATGTCACTGTCAGAAGAACCTATTCGATACAAGACAGAACATGAATATTCATTGATTAATTATTCATGTTTGATCAGCGACAGCTGGATGAATAACAAGGATCTGACTTAGCAGGAGGCAGAGCATGTCACTGTCAGAAGAATCTAAATATTCAAGACACAACATGAATATTCATTAATCTAATTTTCATGCTTAACCTGAAACACCTTGTAAAATTTTGGACCCTTTTTTCAAAGAATTATGCTCTTGAGAAGACGAACATACCTTCATGACTTCAACTTGTATTTCTTCATTGAGCTGGGGAGATGACGCAACCGTCTGTAGGACTTGTAAGGGAAGCCTATGCTCCTCATCATCCTTGGAAGGGTCTGACTGGAAGCGGGCGTCTGCGATCAGCTTCTGTGACATCATCAATCAATCAATCAATAATCAATTCATCAATTGCATCATCAATGAACTGACAACCAATCGGCAAATTCGAGTGTACTGCTTTCAGAACATTGGTCTTGAATCTAGGTTTACCAAATACACCCATCTTTGTGTTCATGCTTTTCCCTTCCGAGATATTTTCAGGAATGGAATTTTTTTGATTTTGGCTGAATTTTTTGCTGTTCCCAGAGCGCCAGCCTCTTTGTTCCTATCTCCCAGACTGACTGACTTACTGGCCCACTGTCACTTGTGAGCCGGGCAGTGCTATTGTATAGGATTACTCTGTACAGCCAATAACTTCTGGCCCGTTGTGCAGACCAGATGCATAAAAAGATTTCCAGTGATCAGCTATTCTGAATAAATTGACAAGAAGTTTGTGCGATCTGGGAACGGATTTACTAGGCGTGCCTTGTCTTTAATTTTTTTTGGGAGGGGGGTGCTCAGGGAACTTTTGAAAGGAACCTTCATGCCAACGAAGTGGTTTTGATAATCGCAACCAAAACATGTAACAGTATTGACAATTTTATCGATTCATCTAATGAATGAATAATGATTGAATACCGAGTTGGTGTTTGGGCACAGATTCCATTCAAATGTAATGATAGGGGAATGACTTTTACCCTAACCTCCCCCAACCCATCAAACCCCAACGGCATGTTTTGTTGGAATCTGTCAGGATGGGTACAGTACCCCTAAACTGACAGTCCTTACACTGGTTGGCAAACCTCCAGAATCAAAGTCTAAAATATGTGTGTTCAGTTTCCCATATGTGATGCGATCAAGCTAAATGAGTCGTTTGTCGACCCTGGTAATTTTTTTTTCACAGATTTGAAAAGAGCACAATCTCAGCATTACTGCTGTGAAAACCGCATGCTGGTACCATCTTTAGTTCAACAATTATGGAAGTCAGAACACCCAGAGATGTGATGAAGTGATGTGATGAACGGTGGCCCTACTTTGGCCTGTATCTCCAAATGAAAATTCCTGACAAACGACTCATGTAGCTTGATCGCATCACATACAGTGTTTGAATTTGCCAGGATGGTTATGGTAATGGTTCCTAGTAAATTATGCTAGGGAGTTAGGGTTGATATGAATATTCATCAATGCATGTGTTTGGATGTACCTGTAATCCAGCCACTGCATGTGCAGCTAGCTTGTTGCTCTTGGCTTCCAGGGCTAGCCTGAGAGGCAGCAGGCAAGTCTCCCGTAACTCACAGGGGGCCAGAGAAGGTGTGGCGCCTTCAGACTCCAAGGCATCTGGGCAAAATGAAAAGACAACAGGACTGAACTCTTCAAATCATACAGGGGTACGATCAGGTTCCAATGTCAAGGAAATGCTTAGCAGGTGTTATATTTGCTTACCAAACACCTGAATTCTTCAAATATACAGGGGTATGATCAGGGCCCAATGTCAAGTAAATGCTAAGCAGGTGTTATATTTGCTTAGCATACACCAGCTGGAAACCAGTTACAAAGCAACACAAATCAATGACATTTTGGCTGGTAAACCTGTTTTGCTTATTAAGCAAGTATATTTTGTGCTTAACACATTTCAGTGCTTGACAGCTTCAAGAAATTGGCCCAAGAACTGGAAATCTGACACTAAATTAAGCGTTAATTACTTCTGTTTGCAGTTTTTTATTGAATCTCACCAAGCTTAATTTGCTAAAATGCAAAACATCGGCCTATGTTTTTAAATATTTTGATTCATAACTATACAGTGTGTATCAAAAAAATTCAAACAAAATATGATGGAATGCCAGACATAGAATGTTTAACCAACATAGATAATATAGGTATGGTTTAAAAGATACTTTTAAATGAGACATCCAATGTCTAAATCTGATTTTTTTGTTGACAGAGTTATGAGTACTTTTTCAAGAGATGTCAAATTGACCATGGGCCCAAGTTTTCAATTTTGGGGATTGGGACAAAGCCACAAAGGTAGCCTAATTGCCTCTGTGTGGATGTTTACCTTGCCTACAAAAAAAATGTTCTTAGCGATTAAACACAATTATTCCAGCACTTTCTTGCAGTCACCTCATGCTAAAAATGGATGTACAAACGGATAAATAAAATCAACAGCTATTATGGGAGCTTTGGGTTTTCCATATATATGTGTTCTATGCATGACAAAAATGCTCTTAAGTATGTCTACGTGCAAACAACAATATGCTATATATTCAGAACATAGGCCTATATTGCTAAATGCAAACAACAATATATATTCAGCATATATTGCTAAATACAAACTTATGTCATTCAATGAAAATGAACAATATGGCCTGTCCCTTATCTCCCATATGTTCATCTGCTTTTGTCATTTGCCCAGCTACAAGAATTTCTCAAGTGTGACTACAGTTCGGATTTTATGGCCACAGTACGTGGCTTTTTTTCACGTATGTTAAATATTGACCAAACACTGTTAATTATAAATGCTTTTCGAAGGTCTGCATGTAAATTATACATACATGTACATTGAATGAAGCAAAAAATGCTACCTGTCCAATGCGTGGATTTCAGACTAGCGATGTTTGTGAGATATTTCACTTCAAATTCTTACTCTCAATTTAAAGAAAACATGTAATTAGATTACTTCTTTTTGTTATATTTTTTTCATGTAGATCATACTGCTTAAACAATAGAGTATAATCATGACAATATTTGTGTGGCACTGTTGTAAATTCCAGGATAAATGGGGAAAATTTGGGAACAAATTCGGCAAGCTACTCCGCCCCATGAATGGAACCTTCATTAACATAAATCTTTGTGGAAGGCACATGTACATGTATAGCCTTATCCCATTCGTAACAAATATTTTTTAATTATGTATGTAAAACTGTGTAAAATTTACATTTTCCATTATTTTGACCTTGCAAAAGTGTTTTTAAATCCTCCCTTGACAGATTCTGCATAAATTACAACTATTAAACTGGCCTACAGAGAGTGCAATTAACAGATATTCACATAGCAGTCACCACAACAACAAAAACAACTTGCCACTTAAAGTAATGTCCTTGCTCCAACTGAACAGTGAAACGATATAAAACGATTGCTCTTTCATTTATAGGCCTATACATGTAGGCCTACATGTATCTTTCCTAAAGCACATGTGGTATATTGTTGATTTTTAATTATCCTGCAAAAGACAATTTCGTTGTTGCTGGTACATGAAACACGTGCAAAAAGGGGATTTTTTTAAAGGCTTTTTGATCTGCTCTGAATACTCCATGCCCAATCCAAAGGTTAGCCATGACGAAACCATATATTTTTTTTTCAGGGGGGGGGAGGAGCCAGGGAAATGCCAAGGTTAATTTAACAGCTGGTGTGCTTGGATTTGGTTCCATAAATGGATTTCCGCTTCTAATATCAAATTTGTAAAGAATTTTTAATGGGAAAATGCAAAAGCTTCATGTGCAAAGTCAAGTCTATTTTTTTTTAATGTTTATGCCGATGGTGCAAAGTCAAGTCTAATTTTAAAGCTGTGAGTTTTAGGATCCGATCGACTGGCAAACTGTGACATTGAATGGGGAATAAGAATTCTTCTACCCGCTCATATTACGGAATTTATCGGAGTATTTATTTGAAAACTGTGTTTTAAAAATAAATTTATATTACATTCAATTTTTATCCAAAAATGTGTGGGACTTAAAACCAATTTATCTTGAGTTGAAAACACATTTTTTTTTCAATGTGTGAATTTTCAAATTTTTTTAAGGTGGAAAAAAGGGACAATAAAGGTATTTATGGATATTCACATGTCGTAAAATGTCAGAAAAGATCAAAATAAACTTTATGGTCAAATTCTTACATCTGCCCCAAATACGTAGGATGAACTTGAAAGGAAAAAAAAATTACACTGCCCTCCCCTCCCCCATTCAAATAAATTTACAAAATAATAATAAAGGTTTCACATACATAGATTCTCCAGAAAAGCTGTCTATGTTATTATTATTCGTTCCCCGAATGGGCAAAACATGCATGATTGAAAGTAGTACAAATAGGCCTAAGTCACAACTCATATTAATTTATTTATATTAACTCAAAGTTTCTATGAAAAATTCTGTGTTTCACAATTAACATGGAAATCCTTCAAGGGGGACGATGGGAGAGAACAACAAAAAAATGTTACTCTTATCCTCAATTTCTTCAAGAACTCTCCTGATTCTATTAAAATCCAACACTATCCAATAATTAGATGGCACTCAACAAATTGGGACATCAAGCCCCCCAGTTTCATACTCTTCAGGCCAAGTGGCTTAGCCAGGGGCGGGGGAAGGGGGAAACGGGACGGGATGTCCCCACAAATTCCCAGCGCCCTCCCCCCAGGTATCTCTCCCCCCCCCCCCCCAATAAAAGTGGAAATTTGCTGCTTGCTAAGGAAGTGTCTTTTTGTTCATCTTAGTTATTAACAAAGAGCATTCTAGATGACTATTTATGACTTCCCTTAACAGCTTAATGAAATGTGAATAAATTGATAAGAAAGAAGAGCGCCCTCTAGCATCAAAAGAGGTTCAGCCACCCCCTTCCCCCCCCCCCCCCCCTCCTGAAAATAGGAGTTTTTTGCTCTTACAGTACGATGCTGTACCACGGCAAGTTGACGGTTATTGTGGCAGTTGACGGTAGTTGACGGTAATTAGCATGACCAAGGGTAGCTCAGTGGGGGAGGGGCAGGGGGACATCTTACCTTTAGCCTGGGTGCAAGCCTCACGTATGGCCTTATGCTTGCCAGCACTTGCCTCTTTGATGAGGGTGTTTAAGACGTCTTCCATTTCTGCAGATTGGTCTTGTTCAAAGTCTAGAAAGTCAAGGACATCTTCTTAACACGACGATGGCTGGATTGTTGAGCGTAATGCCATGGCGGATGTATGGTTTCTTCCTGTTAAAAAGAAGGGGAAAAATTATCGATAATCTTTAACAATAGCATATCGTACAAAATGAGTTAAAATATGTCAGGTCTTCGTAGACACTTTGTACAGCGATTGTGTAGTTACAGGCCCTGTTCCTATCAGTATATGAGAACAATAGTACGTTTTAGGTTATTGGACTCACCAAAGTGATGAGCGATGTTTAAACCAATTCAGGAATGTTGTTGATAGAAACATTAAAAAGCGGGGTTTTTATTTCTTTAACCCTTACTCTCTGAGGGTAGTTTACTGCATGTCAGTTGGTTATGCCAATGCCCTCCAGCTGCAGTTTATTGGAGGATACTTTGATGTAGCAGTGAAGGCTCCAATTGGCAGGAGTTGGAGGCCCTGGAGGGTGCCTGATACTGACCAGCTGGGGGCACTCACTTTGTTATCAGAGGACTCTCATTGTTCTCTGTGGCATGTATTGGAGTGCCTGTCCAGTTACCCTTGAAATGACATGGCAGATATTGGAGGGCCATGCAAAAAACATAGATTTTCTTGAGGCACAATTGGCATGCGTTGGAGGGTCAAGTAGGGTAAGGGTTAAACCCTAACCCTGCCAGATGCAACACAGTGCATCAGGTGTCTGGTGCAGTTTGATGCATTCAGCTACCAACACCAGTGCATAGACACGGCCACTTCTGAGACAATGAGAGCTAGCCCCATAGAACAATGCCACAGTTGTATCCTGCTGCATTCGGTGACCACAGACTCTGAGGCAGTTTGGCCTTGAGACTTTTGACCTGATGGATCTTGCTACACTGGGCAGGCTTGTCATTTAGACAAGTGTTGCATGTTGCTGCGTTTGGCAGGGTTTCTAGCCAAAATACCCTGGAGGGTTAGGGTTAAGGACATTTTGGGGAAAACCACAATGCAGACAACAAAACCCAACACCAAAATTTAAAAAAATGACCATCACTGTAACACACCATGAATGCATAAAACCGTGTTGATTCGCATGGTTTCAAATGGTAAACATTTTCAAAAATTGCATTTTAAACCACTAGACACTGTTCAAAATTGCAAAAACAATAGGGTCAACAGAATTACAAGAAGACAGCTTCAGGTCACAGAAGTCATTTTGAAATGATAAAAACACTTTAAGAGCCAAAAGAAAGATGGGCCCGTAACAACATTGTATGTACACAATCACCTTTTGTAATATTTTTCTTAAAAAATCTTTCTTAAGGAATGACAAGAGTCATACATGTCATAATATGAAAAGTTTTCATCCGACAAAAAACATTTAACAAGGTAAAACTAATAAAAGTAAAAGGACAATGTAGAAGTTAATGAATTTTAAAGTGGCGTTAGCAAATGGTAAGGATATTACACTCTTTCTAAATAACAATCCGAAAAAATGTTGCAAACCTGACGCCACTTCAGCGGTTGTGTACAAAGTCTATGGAGAGTCAAGAAAATTTTCTAAGTAAGTAGGCCCTAAGGGCAAGGCCAAGCTATATTTCCTAACAAAATTGGAAATGTTTCTCAGTCCCAGATTCATGTCTTATCATCATTTTTGCAATGCCTGACCTTCATTGAGATGATATATGAAGAAAAAAGGGGCGTCAGGTTGCAACATTTTTTCCTAACAATCTACCAATTGTCAAATGCACTAGACGTAATACAAAAGTCTATAGGCATGATAGGGGGCCTACAGTGTCACTGTATCATTCATACAGTGTATGTAGGGCTAGCCCGACTGCGTCTGGCCGTACAGTACTATCGCAAGCTCTGTAGTACGGCCAGACGCCCGATGCTTCCAAAAAGACTGAATTTTTTTGGCCGCCGATGTAGCGATTTTGCTACATCTTTCGATCGCGATTATCTTTTCATCCAGGACACAAATTTCCAAAGTTAAGGTTCGTAGTCGTAGAGCAACTCATACCTTTTCGAAAAAAACGTTCTTTGGTCTCAATATTTTCATCCATCTGGCCACAAGACGAATTTCAGTCATCAGATTCCACAAATATCGTCCCCCATGCGGTCCCCCATGCGATTTCAAAATGGCGGCCGCGCTGTAATGTATGCATTATGCGAGCGCGCTTGGGCAAGATAATGAATATGCATTATTTAGTTCATGACCTCGTGTTTGTATGGCCAGCCGCGCTGAGTGTCCGACAAACGTCATAAACTATGATGCATATTCATTACTTGCCCAAGCGCGCTCGCATAATGCATACATTACAGCGCGGCCGCCATTTTGAAATCGCATGGGGGATCGCATGGGGGACGATATTTGTGGAATCTGATGACTGAAATTCGTCTTGTGGCCAGATAAATGAAAATATTGAGACCAAAGAACGTTTTTTTCGAAAAGGTATGAGTTGTTTTACGACTACGAACCTTAACTTTGGAAATTTGTGTCCTGGATGAAAAGATAATCGCGATCGAAAGATGTAGCAAAATCGCTACATCGGCGGCCAAAAAAATTCAGTCTTTTTGGAAGCATCGGGCGTCTGGCCGTACTACAGAGCTTGCGATAGTACTGTACGGCCAGACGCAGTCGGGCTAATGTAGGGCCTACACTTTTTTGTAGGCTGCATGGAGTTGTACACACACACAAACATTCAAAGAAAATGCGCAATCCAGATAATTTTTCAAACAAAACAGACAATAAATGAAATGTTCGTGCATATTAGTTTCGAAACCAACTTACCTGGAGTAGAATTGAACGACGAAATGCGAATGTGTATCGCTCCAAATCGTGGCACTTTTTGGAAACAGATGGTGCATTACAAACAGCAGACGCTTGAGGGCGCTCGCTCGGAATTCATTGAAAAGAGGGGGCGGAGCCCATAGCTAGACGAACCCCCCTCACCCCCCCCCCCCCCCCCCCCCCCTTCCCCCATTTTGTTCTTTGATGTTACATCTATTCCTTCATCCCATGTATTCTTCTTTCAAATAATTGCATTTTTTTTTTCGATTTCGGTGGGAAAAAGCATATGTTCTTATTTGACGGCAACCAAACTGTGAGGGTTGTATAAATAATTTAATGAAGTCTGGGGAAATAGTAATGCGGTGCATGTCCTGGTGTACATTTTAATAGTCGGTTGTTGTTTTTTGGAAATTAAGGATGAGAACTTCTAGTTCATATTATTTTTTACGAAAATAATGTTTGATAACAGGCTGACGAAGGATTGTTGGGAACAGCGAACGGAATATGCATATAGGCCTGATAAACAGTGTTAACAAACAAATCCGTAAAAAAAATCCTTTTCTTTTTAAAGACGTCCGTACGATTTTAAAATAGTAGTAGGGGAGTTGAGAATCTGTGTCTGTCCAAATACAAAGAGTAGAAGTCAGGCGCGGAACCCCTGAGAGAGGTTTGCACATAACTTTTTGATTTTATCCTCTATCTTTTATACTTTGGTTTAGTTTGATATTTGCATCTGCTCGGCAGATGTACGGTAGTTTTGAAAACGAAGCAGAGGTCTATGTCATGAATCAATGAATCATAATTGACTATAATTAAAACGGAGTTTCGTTCGATCAATATGACTACCATTATTAATGGCGCAATTATTTACATCTTTCAAATAACGTTTCTTTAATTGTGAACATTCCCAACAAATATAGTAATTCGCAAAATAGGGGGGAAAAAGCAAGATAACAAAGTCCATCACCCTTAAAACTGGAAATTCAAAATTAAAAACACATTCAAGTGGAATACAAGAATGTTCATTAAGGGTTGAATTGGGAAAAAAAAATCCATTGCATGGGGCTTTACTGACTTGCTTTTTTACAGTCAGTAACATGCAGGAGCGGATCCTGAGCAAGATTTTCTTTGGGGGGGGTGGGGTTTGAACCCCTCCCCTGCTCTGACACAAAAAGTAAACCTATTCTACAGCGTTTATTAACACTAGGCCTATATCACAGAATATGCATTTGCCCCCTAACAAAGCTGCCGATGTCCGTATTTTTGTGCAAAGTGGACATTATTACCAGTAAACAGTTTAAGCGTGTCAGAAAGGGGGGGGGGGTTCGCATTTTTTCACGGAATTCTATGATTTTTTGGGGGGACAGAACTGGGCATGGGCATCGCGAGGGGTGCAAGGAGGGGGGCGCTTGCCCCCCCCCCCCCCCCCAAGAAAAGCACCAACAAAAATGTCCCTGCCACCTTCTTTAACTGATAAATCGAGAATTTGTTGAGAAATACAAGAATTTTGGGGGAAATTTTTTTTTGGCCCCCTCTTTAGAAAAAGTCCTGGCGACGCCCATGGAGGTGGGGGGACCCCCTCCCCTAGATCCGCGCCTGCACCTCTTCGATCGTTTTGCGCAACACATGATCGAGTAGTGTGCAATGACATCGGGGATGACCCTGCATTTTTTCAGAAGCTTTCGGCAGCACCACGTGCCTTCCGCTGCCGTCTCCTGCAAGGCTAACCCCTTGCAATTTTTGTCAATTTTGGTCAAAAAATGAAATTGCTCCAAACTTCCTGGAAAGACTCCTAAGGGACCCTCGAACAAATTCCAACTCGATTCAGGGACAGATATATCATTAAAAAGAAATTCATATTTTAGCCTAATTTTATGAAAAATGTAAGGCTAACCCCTTGCAATTTTAGTCTATTTTGGCCCAAAAATGAAAATGCTCCAAACTTCCTGGAATGACTGTTAAGGAACCCTCGAACACATTCCAACTCGATTTAGGGAAAGATATATCATTAAAAAGAAATTTATATTTTAGTCAATTTTTATAAAGACTGTAAGGCTAACCTTTTCAATTTTTTGTCAATTTTTGTCAAAAAATGAAATTGTTCCAAACTTCCTGGAAAGACTCCTAAGGTCCCTTGGAATACATTCCAACTCGTTTTAGGGAAAGATACATCATTAAAAAGAAATTCAAATTTTAGCCAATTTTTATTTTAAAAAAATGGAAGGCTAACCCCTTGCAACGTTTGTCAATTTTGGACAAATGAAAACGCTCCAAACTTCCTGGAAAGACTCCTAAGGTCCCCTGGAACACATTCCCACTCGATTTAGGGACAGATATATCATTAAAAAGAAATTCATATTTTAGCCAAATTTTATGAAAAATGTAAGGCTAACCCCTTGCAATTTATGTCAATTTTGGTCAAAAATTGAAATTGCTCCAAACTTCCTGGAAGGACTCCTAAGGGACCCTGGAACGCATTCCGACTCGATTTAGGTACATATATATATTATTAAAAAGAAATTCATATTTTAGCCAATTTTTATGAAAAATGTAAGGCTAACCCTGTGGAATTTTTGTCAATTTTCTTCCAAAAATGAAAATGCTCCAAACTTCCTGGAAAGACTCGTAAAAGACCCTGGAACACATTCCAACTCGATTTAGGGACAGATATATCATTAAAAAGAAATTCATATTTTGGCCAATTTTAATTTAAAAAAACCCTGCTCCCCCCCCCCCCCCCTCTTAAACTGATAAGTCGAGAATTTGTTGAGAAAGACAAGAATTTTTTGGGAAACATTTTTCTCCCCCGTTAGAAAAAGTCCTGGCGACGCCCATGGAGGTGGGGACCCCCCCCCCCCCCCCCCTCCCCCAGATCAGGGGGATCTTGAGAGATAGATTTTCAAATTGAGTTGATAATTTTCTAGCATTACATTACTTTAATGCAATTTCCTCCCCCCGCCAAAATTCCTGGATCCGCCCCTGCACGCCTGATGTTGCATCTGTTGCAGGGTGGCAAATTGCAACGGGCTAAAGATTTTAAGAGCAAGCCATGCGCGGAGGCTGAATGATAGCAGCAAAATCAGGGCGGCCATATCGGCCTGTCGGAAAAAAAAGCGTGCACGTCAGACCGCAGGGATGAAGAGCGCCGCCTACTGTCCGAGAGTGTCCATGAGTGTCCGCTTTTGAGGGTCCTACTAAAGCGCGTCAACAAGCGTCAACAAGCGTCAACAAGCGTCAACAAGTTTTAGTAGTCTTTAAGTGCGCGTCAACAAATTTTTTATAGGCTTTTGAACAATAAAAACAGCTTTATATGGTAGAAAAAGCAATAATGAACATCTTCTGCATATCAATTAAAGTTAAAATTATTTTAAAACTTGGTTTTTTGAACGCAAAATGTATGACGAATTTGTCGATAAAAGTAGGCCGCCATCTTGTTTGGATGGCGCTGTAGACTTCGCGCATGCGTAGTATGGCTCTTTACACTTCACGCATGCGTAGTACGGCTAGCTACACATAAACAAGATGGCGGCCTACTTTATCGACAAATTCGTCGTACATTTCGCGTTCAAAAAACCAAGTTTTAAAATAATTTTAACTTTAATTGATATGCAGAAGATGTTCATTATTGCTTTTTCTACCATATAAAGCTGTTTTTATTGTTCAAAAGCCTATAAAAAATTTGTTGACGCGCACTTAACGACTACTAAAACTTGTTGACGCTTGTTGACGCTTGTTGACGCGCTTTAGTAGGACCGGCTTTTGACAGTGCCCCTATAGGGCCTGCAATAAGCTGCCATAGACCCCAATGATAAATGCCCCCACTTCAGAAAGTTAGGGAAAATACTCACAATTTACTTTCCAAGGTGCTCGAGACACACATCAAAACTAAAGCTTATTTTATCACCTTCCTTTTTCTTTTCATTTTTTTGGGGTATTCTGATGACTTTTGGGAGAAACTTTCATCCGAATACTGATCACCCCTTGAACTGAGAATAATCACACGAATAATAATTTTTGCTATGGTTTCATTGAGACCATTTTCACCGAGGAGGAAACTTCGAGGGGAAATACAGATCTATGTCTGTTGTTGAAAAGAACAATAGTTCTATGTGAAGTCGTTTTCACGTGACTCAGTTTTCAATCATCACGCTTCGTCACATGACTTAATCGATCAGTCGACTCTTTACTATTTCATGTCGGCATCGTTATATTTACAAAACAGCCGTCGGGAAACCCAACGAAAATGAAACATTTTAAAGGGCTCAGCCATGCGTGGTAACCTTTGACCCGGTAATTTTTAACAACATGGAGATTTTTGGGCGAAAAGGTCGGAACAGATATTCTCACCCTGATTTCAAGTCGGCTTCTGCCATGAATCTACTGGTGATTTTCATTCTTTTCGTTGGAAAAGCTGTTGCGGATACGTGCGTGGCTGGAGACTTTGATTTAACTCCCATACAGAACTGGTAAGGGTGGATTTATATGTGAAAGAAAAACTAGCAATTGCGTAAAATTTAGGTGTTGATGAATGAGCATGATGACATGGCACAGACAATGGCTGATCGTGTTGAAATGGGTATCAGGTCAACTCGGACCCAAACCAAGTCGGACCCATGCCAAGTCGGACCCATGCCAACTCGGACCCACGCCAACTCGGACCCACTACCAACTCGGACCCACTACCAACTCGGACCCACGACCAACTCGGACCCACTACTAACTCGGACCCACGACCAACTCGGACCCACTACCAACTCGGACCCAAGCACGACCAACTCGGACCCAACAATGACTCAATCACTATAGTTTCAGAGATTATATTTATAGGTGATCTTAATGTTAGTGCTTTTATAGTGAAGATATTCTGTAATTACATTGGGCAGAATGGGGCTTTTAGTTTTGTTGTTTTCTTGTATTGCTGCAGTGTGGAGCGCTATTTTATAATGCGTACAGTAAATACTGTTGCTAAACGCTTATCGTTTTGAACGTCATGAAACTAAACGTGCTTAGCTTTTTGAAACCGTGACCTGTGAAGCTAAACCAAGAGGTATTAATAGCGTATAGTACGGTAAGGCATATCGTATGTCATTTGTACAACTTGATATATACGTGCTTTTTCAAAATCTCAATTATAATTTTCAGTAAAAATTAAATTACTTAATTGTTTGATTTTGCAGGCCTTTGTGTCGTGTAACAAGTGGTTTTAAGTGGCACATTTTGTTTCAGTGAGGAAGTTATTAATTTGAAATAACTATTTAGGCCTTTCATTTCATGTAATTGTTTGATTTTTCTTAATTCACATCTGGCTTTGAATTTTGTGGGATTTTTTTATGAATCTGTTTAACTTTTAATAACTTTTTTGATTTAACTTTTTTCCCCTGTGGAACATCATGGTGGAACATACAGGCAGCCACCTGTAAGGCCTTGAAGGATAATCTTCCCAGAGCTCCAATACTCTTTTTTGATGATTGACATTGCATCTATTTGTAGGGGATTAAACTTGATCATTTTTTAATTCACATGCTGGCTTTGAATTTTGTGGGTTTTTTTTACGAATCCGATTAACTTTTTATACTTTTTTGATTTAACTTTTTCCCCCCGTTGAAGTTTGGATTAAAAACGAAATAAATGCTGTTAAATTTAGCAAGATGGTGTGAACAATGGTAATTAATATGTTTTAATGTAAGTAAATAATTGGTTAAACTTTTACAGCGTAATATGTTTTAATGGAAACAATTAAAAATGCGCTTTACAACGACAAAAATGTTATACTGCTGCAATACAGATATGAGATAATTTACCTTACAATTACAATGAACATTTATACTAAACAGCATCACTGTAATAACAGATGAGAAGTGGACAAACCTTATGAAATGAATGATTGAAAACGATGTCGAATGATTGAAAACGATGGGTCCGAGTTGGTCATGCATGGGTCCGAGTTGGTAGTGGGTCCGAGTTGGTTGTGGGTCCGAGTTGGTAGTGGGTCCGAGTTGGTTGTGGGTCCGAGTTGGTAGTGGGTCCGAGTTGGCATGGGTCCGAGTTGGTAGTGGGTCCGAGTTGGCATGGGTCCGAGTTGGCTTGGGTCCGAGTTGGTTTGGGTCCGAGTTGGATCGAAACCTTGAAATGGCCACATTATCACATGAAGTATTTGATGTGCCCAAATAGGCCTTAGAAAATTAATGTTATATTTCTAATGACACCGAGGAATCTTGATTGTGTTTGGAATATGTGTAATGTTTGATTATTGGATTTAATTTGTCACTAGTCATGCTAGTTACACAATTAATGTTTCTGTATGTAGGGGCCGGAAAGATTTCCATATACGAAGTTCACTAATTTTCCTCTGTATTGACTAACAAGCCCCCAGATAGCAATTTCATGTCATCTAAGTCAACTTGAGCAGTGAGAAAATACAAGCATTTTCTTAGAAAACACTTAAAATTTTTCAGTCCAATCTCATAGGGTTTGTACACAGGGTGTTGAGTGAACTTCGTATATGGAAATCTTTCCGTAGGGGCCTACTTCATTTTTATTTTCTTCAGATTATGGTTCATGTTACTTCTTTAGTTGTTTGCCAGTTTTGTTTGTTTATTGTCTTTGTTTCATATTTGTGAATAACAAGAGTTTATAATTATCGTTCATGCCGTACATGTTTATAATCATTGCTTTAAGTACATCATTAACATTAAAGGAAGTTATTGATTTTTTAGGAGAATTATCAGGATTGAAATTTAATAAAAATTAAATTGCTTTTATATCTTTGATTCTGTTACCCGAACCATTTCTAATTCTGTACTTCTTTCTTCGGTTTGCAAATGGTAATTGGAAATTGTGTTCATCTATTGAAATACTTTTCAGGAAAACATGGACGCTCAGAACGGAAAAGCTAGCCACCACATCGTCAATGTTTTACATGAACTTGTGCGACACCATCCAGGCGACGGGGAGCGGGAACGCTTGCTCTAGCGACAGCTCCATGTGCCTCAAGATGGACCAGACTTACACCAAAATTGGGAACCACAACCAAACGCTTCTCCCCACGGCGAATGCCGAGGGCGGAGGTTTCCGTCTGGATTATCGGGGGGACGAATGCGCCAACAGCACGCAAACGCCAAAGGAGAAGTGGCAGACGACAATTGACTTCAAGTGCGACAAAACCTTGGTATGGGCTCCGTGCGGGAATAAGATAGCTTTTTTACCTCTTTTTGAGAGACCAGTGGACAAGGCACACTGTGTGAACATATACACTCTTGTTTTACTATACTCTCGAGGACAATGGTTTGTGTTTCCCTTTGTCCCTGTAATATAACACTCTCCCATAGACTAAGCACACAAACTTACTACAGAGGACCGTTTCCAACAAAAGACCCAAGTCCCCAGGACAGTGAAAGGATCTGTTGTTCTCCTTTTGTATGTCGGTCCTCGGGGGTTATGTAGAACACGTACATTCTGGTTCGCGCGCTTATATAGTGTGTAGCACGCATGACTAATTTTACTCTGAATGTGCACAAAGCCATAGCGTCTTCGCATGAGCATCAGGTGTCATTGGCAGTGTGTTCCAATGTCTCTCCCAGTGCATGGTCTCCCCCAACTCTCCCTTTCTTACCGTTGAGGGGGTAGTTGTGCACGAACCTATGGGTTTGAGTTTTTAATTTCATTGAAATGTTTGTTATATATTTGGACGTCTCCAGACTGAAAAACGTGCAAAATGAAATCGGGCCAACGTTATTCATTCCTAAGCCCACAAAATTCTGATTTTTTTTTCTCTCCAAAATGCAACGTTTGACTGTCTCAGTTTGAATTTTAATGGAAATATTTCATCAGTATTTTGCACTGGAGAGTAGGGGAGGTGTTTTTGCGGGAAGGGTGGGGAAGGGGAGGTGAGAACCATTTTACACCTTAATTAAATAACTAGTTTTAAGTGAATTCCATTGGCTTAGTTAACATTAACCTTCCCAAATCCTGTTTGCAAAATGCAGGATTTTGCAGGATTGAGGCATATGGCAAAAATGTGTGGCTGATTTTGGAGGATGCATTGTGTCAAGGTCTTTGGCCGGATCTTATGTTTTTTATGCTCAGCTGTGCATAAATTTAGGCCTAGATTATACTTGAAATCCTCCGCACTGCTCCAGGATGTCACTGGCTGTGCCTCAACATATGACAATGATTGCTGGAGGGTTTGCAGGATGAGGCAGTGGTCACCCCTCCAAGGACCACATTCAAGGAAAAACACATGATTTTGGAGGATTTAGGCTGTATTCAATTTTTACATGGAGGCAGTTGGAGGATTTTGCAGGATTGAGATTGCATCCTAGCAAAAATGCCCGGGGAGTAAGGGCAGTCTTGTAGTTCTTTCAGCCATTTATTAGTGTAAAAACATGATGGTCACTTTTTATTATTAGGCATTGATAGTTCCATTGTTTTACGTACTTTCAGGGTTCGCCAATCTTCATTGAGCGTTCCGGCTGCACCTACTTCTTCGAGTGGCACAGCACGGTGGCCTGCAAGAACCTGGCCACAGCGGCCGTCCATGAAGTGCCCTGCTCCGTCTACGACAACAACAACAAGAAACGAGACTTGACGCCGCTCATCAAGCAACAAGGGGGTTACAAAGTAGACTCGGACGCAACCGACCAAGACCTGTATATCAATGTATGCAGGGATATCACACCAGGTATGCGTGGTGTCTTGTACCCATGGGGCTGGGGAGGGGTGCACATTGACCCTCCCCCTTCCTTGGCCCCTCCCCTTTTTTTACCCATCTTGAGCCATTTTATTTTTCATTTCCTGTATGGTTCATAAGAAGAACTTGGGTAGTCCTTTAAAATTGGCTTTTGATTCGAAACTTTATATTTTGGGATTGCACTCCCAAAGAACACCAGCTTTACAGGTATATAGGATTACTGCTGGGCAAGTAATTCGATTACTCAAGTATTTGCAAGTCGTTTATGGTACTCGCTTTACTCATGGTTTTTCATCTACTGGAGTACTCGTCCTGGCATGAGTTGAAGCAGGTACTCGCGAGTAGCAATTTAGGGTTAAGGGTTCCTGGTTTATTACGTCCCCTGCAAACGGGGAATTACTCCCTCCACCTCTCTCTCCCTAGGATTCCATTTGTCCAAAAAAAAATTCAAGTAAGGCCAAAAAAAAAATACTTCTGCTTCCGGTTTCCCTACCTACCCTATTCTGACAGCCCCTACTCTAATTTTTTTTATGGGAAAAATGAGAAAAAACACCCAAAACCATCAATTTCTACCCTTTACCCTTGACTACACGCAGATGCCTCCATATGATCAGAAACAGAACTTTTTTTTTTTTTTTTGCCTAAATGACTCAAAATGTCTCACAGAAGGGATATCTCACCACAAATATTGATTCACAAGAGTCCTTTCAACAGTATTTGTACCATATTTCTTACCCAAACCCCATACATGTATGTTTCAATACTCCAGTGTGTACACTGGAGCGTAAATTGTACAATGGCCCGTGCGCAACCGCCAATTCAAGATCAACATACGGTCCACCTCCACAGACCTCACAGACTTTGTGTGTGTGTACAAAAGGCATGAGGGATTAGCGTGTTTAGACGTCACCCAGAGGCGAGTCAAGGCAATCTTGACGTCTTAACCCATCAGCCGTGCCTGTGGATAAAAAAACAGCCAGTGCGTGTTATCACATCCTTCGACACGAACTGGAAAGATAATTAACACTTGTTATTGATACACAGATGAGCCAACTGCCGATTGCCCCTCCGGCAGCGCGGCATGTAGGATCACGCATTCCACTGGTGCTGACGGCGCCGTTACCCACAGCGTCGCTAGCGTGGGCGAGGCCTTCCATCGCTTGCAGACTATTAGCCATGAGCAGTTGGAGCTACGTTACAACGTCAGCACTACCCCAGCGGATTGCCTCAGCTCTCCACAGGTCACCATCGAGTTTGTGTGTCCTCGGGAAGATGGCAGAAATGAAGGGGTAATTAAAGAAACATAACCGAATTCCCAATTCCAGTAAACCCCTTTTCCAGTTTACCCTCAAATTTAGTGACAGTGAAAGAAATTTGCGCCTACTCATGCAGTGGTGGATCTAGGGGCGGGTGAAGGGGGGGGGGAAGGGTTGCAACCTTCTTTTTTTGTATTCTACAGTTGTATTGACTCGTGCATCAAATTTTTGTTGAATTATAATATAAATTGAAGAGTCTCCAATATTTGAAATTTGCCAGCACCCGAACGCACATTTTTGCCCAGTTGTGGATTGCGCTTGTGAGTCGGACCATAGTCAGACCCAACTATGTATCAGTGTTGTAGTATTCGTACTCGACATGTCAAAATTCTACTCGATCTTTAAAGTACTCGTACTTGAAGAGCAGTACTCGGAGGGGGGAAATGTTATAGCTTCACTTACCATGGCCTTATTTTATAGAAACTTTCAGTTTGAAATTGATTGGCTTGTGGAGAAATCGAGATTTCCTGATTTTCCTCTGTGCAAGTCCGGGCAAACACATTTACAAGCTAACCGTGAGTGGGTCTGTATATCGGTCTGACTGGGCCTGGGCCAATTACGCACAATAAACCATTTGCCGTATGGCTGTATTCGGAAATGCAAGTACTCGTACTCGTACTTGTACTCGGAAGTACAAGTACTTGTACTCGTACTCGGAAGTACTCGTACTCGTACTCGGAGACCCGTTCTTATACTCGGAGGTACAAGTACTGGTACTCGTACTCGGCAACCTAAGTACTCGGCAGTACTAGGTATTCGGAAAGTACTCGACTACAACACTGCTATGTATGCACTTAATCGTCAGCTGGTTTACAGGTGTTTGTGCCCTCACGCTGCAGACAAAAGTTTCAAAACCATTTCCCACATTCTCGTTTAAAAAATAATTCACTAGAATTCTCTTACATAAATTGTAATTCTAAAAACTGAACAATATAGTATCAGAAAATCTGCTTGATTCGGGATGGTTCTGGCTGAAAATTTATTTTCTCGCGTGATTATTTTTTATGCACGAAGCCTGTAATCACTCCTATTAAAGCTACGCAGTCTATATAGCTAAGCTACATGCCTCTCAGGACCACCGCAAAATCGACCCACTTGAATGATTACACAAAAACTCTTGAAACATTTCTTAAACCCTTATTCATAAATACCTCAGACAGTTTAGCAATTCCTATTGGTCGAGAGCCCGTCACGTGGCCGGTATTAAACGGATGATAAAGACATGGCTAGCTGGTCTTAAACACTTTTCAAGTGTCACAATAAAATGTGGACTCCTAAAAATCCAGTGCCTCTTATCGTTTCATTGGTTGAACGTTCACAATCCTCACGTAGGCATGCGCAACACTACCAGGGAGTTAGAATTTTATAGTTCTAAATTCAAAACGCAACGCGCCAGGTGCGTTCTGCGCGACATCGCGTAGAACATGATACGCGCGCGTCAATCTCCATAAAAGGGTTGTTTTCATCTTACTCGCCAGCTGAACACTCCATTATTTTGCAGGAGGGATGATTCAAAAAGCATAAAGTGAATTTGTTGAACAAAATCGGGATGTTTTGAACGAATTATATGATTTTTTTTTACGGAAAAGGTATTTATGAATGGGAATAAATATGTACTCCGTCGGTATTTATCACTCTGTTTAATACCACTTAGAGTCTGGGTGCTGATAATTACCCTCGCCTCCGGCTCGGGTAATTATCAGCACCCAGACTCTAAGTGGTATTAAACAGAGTGATAAAAACCTCCGGAGCACACATTTATTCCCTTAGTATTAACTGTGCCCAAATATAGCAATTTTTTAAGACTTTATTGGATGAGTTGGCAAACATTTGAGTTGATTTTATCAATGCATGTGAAGTTGAGTTGGTCAACAGATGAGCTAGTACAAAGGTCAAGTTGGTACAACAGCAGGAATGGCAAATGGTCCAGTTGGTTCGAGTCCAGTTGGCAAACGGTCAAGATAATTGCAAACCGTAAAGAGTACATATATAGAAAGGGTTTGAATTTAAGGACTGATATTGAAATCAACACAGTAAACATGCAGCAGTTTGTCGTCAACGTATATGTGGAATCAATTTTTTCTTGTTGTACTTAATTTTTGTGTGGCCTTTTATTTTCAGAGTCAAAATCCCAAGCTCCTGTCCAGCACCAACTGCCACTATGAGGTGCAGTGGGTGACTGAGTTTGCTTGCGAGGCAGAGATGCTGACCACAGACACCTGTGCCTTCACTAATGACAAGCACGGCATCGATCTGGACCTCAGCCCGCTAACCGACAAACAAAGTCAGTGGCATTCTGAATTTTGTTTTAATGATACCACCGTTTCTTATGGTGATTGAATGAATGCCATAGACCATTATCATGTTGCGGCCATTTGGATTTTTCCCATTCAAAACGTAATCAAAGCGAGGCTGGAAGAAAAAAAGTCTGGTTCCTTTTTGCACAAAAATATCATCATTCAGTTCTGTTATTGGATACAGGGAACATGACTGAAATGATAAAGGTCTATATTGAGCCAATAAAGTTGCTATAAGATACCTATGGGGGTATAACATACTTGAATTTAAGGTTATTGGCAAAATTGACAGCTTAAAAATTACATTTTAATTTATGTCTTTTGTATATTGAAGTGAAGTTACTGTGAACATCAGTGAACAGAATTTGTCTAGTATTTGTACCCAGAAAATCATATCATTACAGCATCATTGTTTGCTCAAGTGGCTCAAATGGCCTTTTATTACAACTGTTCAAATATTAAAATCGCAAAAACTGACTAGGTGAATTGTAATAATTTGAAAGTTGGTCAAAGAAAACCTTGTTTTTGCATCTTATTAAATCAATTTTAGTCATGATTATGTTTTGAAATATAACAAAAAAATGACAATATTTGCAAACTTGTGCTTTAAATCACAGCCCGGTGAACAGTTCGTAAAGGGGATCTGTTAGATGCATTTTACTTTTATTCTTAAACTTTTCATCGCAGAGCAACACCCTAAAGTTGCCGAGGCTTCAGGCTACAAATATTGGATGGATGTTTGTCAGGACATGGCCATCGGTTGCCTGGATGAGGACCATAACGGAGCCGTGTGTCAAGAATCGGTGCCCGGAGGAAACCGTCTCGTTGCTGGCGTCAGTAAAAACCACGTGCTTAGGTAAGAGACGTCCACTCTACATTACAGCTAAGCGGAAAAATATTACTTATCAGATTTAAAAGCTGAGTACCAGTAACAAGCAGAGTACATGGTATGACATTTTGGCTGGTCAGCTGTTCATGCCAAGCAGATAACTTCTGTGCTTAAATAATTCGGGCGATTCACAATGCAGTGCGCCACCAAGAGTTTGCCATGGAGAGTCCATTTTTCAAGTTTACGGTCGACAAAACATGACCCATTTGAATGAGTGTCAGTAGACAATTTGAGCTAATATGTTATAGATTGGGGCATAGCATTCTGCCGCCTTACAAAAAACACCATAGTGATAAGAAGAAAAGAAAAGGGCAAACAGATCCTCGAATCATACGCTTACGAAACTACTGACAGGAAAAACTAACGATTTCACATGTCCCGCGCTGCGAATTTGTCGACCATTTCCCACAATGCACTGGGAAAAATGAACTTTCCGTGGCAAACTCTTGGCGGCGCACTGCATCGTGAATCGCCCGAATTGTGATGCGATCAAGCTAAAATGAGTCGTTTGTCAGCAATGATTTGAAGATACTGCCTAAAGTAGGTCAGCATGGGGTCTATTGCTCTATTGTGTTTTCTACCCCATAAGAAACCATGTACATGTACACAAGTGTTTGTATGTCGTAGCTGTGAAATACACTAATAAGGTTAGCACAGCTGTTTGCTACAATTATCACAACTGTTTTACACACTGTAAGTACAGTAAACTGCGGCTAAACCGACATTGTACAACTCGTCAAATCGCTCAAGTTGGCCGTCTGACTGAAGTCCCGATTGTCCGTAATGCATTTCCATTGAATTTTTTATTTCTAAGTCGGCTTTTATAAGTCGCCATTTCGCTCAAGTCGTCGTGTTACTCTCGGTACCCTTTCCACAAAAAGCATTACAAAATCCTTTGTGTAAGTCGGCATTCAACAAATCACGCATTGGCATCGACTTCCTGTACTGCGGTTGGCAAAGTGTCGAGTGAAAAGTGGTTTCGCACGGCCCGTAATCGCTGCATGCATCGTTGTCAAAAAAGGGTTTCTTACTGCATACATCGCATGTGCATCGTGAGCATATCAATACCAGTACCCCCTCTAGGCTGTACGCATGCGCTTTGTCCATTTTGGGGGTCATCTTATTGAATGACTACTGCATGCTGCAGTCAATGCGTGCGTGGTATATACCGGACCACGCACGCATTTAATTCATTACTGTGCACGTACATATGTATCGTGGTCTCCACTATCAATACCCCAAACGTGATGATGCAATTCTAGGATTGATGTGCTGGATTCAACTCGAGCATTAAGGAGATAATCCAGGGTAAATCGAAGCCATTTAGTGCAATGAATCATGTGTGCAAAAGACCATTCAATGTAAGTAGGCAAAATGACGACTTACAGCAGATATCGGCATTCGCGTAAGTCGTCACAAATTCTCGGGTCCCGAGAGTGCCGGTTTAGCCAGAGTTTACTGTATTACTATGAAATTTGCCCCTGTGTAATTGAGAATTTGCTGAGCTTGATAGGCAATCTTTTCTGATTTTTTGTTTTTGTTTTTCATCCAGTTACGCTGATGGAGAACTGACGCTGACCTACAAGGGCGGAGATGTATGCAATCATAATCAGTTCCCCCGGACATCTGTCATCTCATTTGAATGCAACAAGACTGCGGGTAAAATGAGAACCACTAAAACTTTACATCGAAAGAACAAATGTCTACTTAAATACTGTTTTGTGTAGATAGAGAATAGACTGCTAAGGTGAATTACACTCGTGTTTTTGGTACACTGGGCAGTCTTCTCACTTATACAAATGTTGTTGTGTTGGGGAAGAGTGTTTAGACAAAATGTGGGTGATTTAAAGGCATGAACAATCATTTTCCTTTTCCATAATTCATAAATAACTGAGACAGCTTACCCATTCCTGTTGGTCGAGAGCCCGTTTTTAACGGTCGATAAAGACCAGCTGGCTGGTCTTAAACACTTTTCCAACGTCACATAGAATTTGGACTCTTATGAAATCCAGTGCCTTTTAGTTTCCATTTTATTGGTTGAACGTTCACAATGCTCACTTAGGCATGCACAGTGCTACCAGTGAGTCAGTGTTTCAGAGTCCTAAATAAATACTACACTGGCACAGCTGCGTTCTGCGCCACATTGTGCAGTATGCACGATGCGTGCGCAAATTTCCATATAAGGAGTTGTTTTCGACATGGACATACCATAAAAAAGCTAGAGGGGTGTTTCGAAAAAGAAAAAAAAAGTAAAATTGTTGAGCAAAATAGTTGCAAATATATAATTTGTTACTTGTTTTGACTTTTGGACCGAACATTTTTGATATTTTGACTGAAAAGGTATTTATGAATGGGAATAAATAAGTGCTTGGCCGGTATTACACACTGTGTTTAAGACTGATTGGAGTCTTGATAATGGATATTGATAATAGAGCTTGCTATTGATAATAGAGCTTGCTATAGACCAAATCGTGTTTCGTGATCAAAAGGTTGTGCATGGTTTTTTCCATGTTTTCTCATAAAGTGTAATATCCACTGAGCTGAAACTTCAACAGGTTAGGTTTTGAAAATACTTCTTTGGATTTTGAGTGGTGTTTTTATTGGAATCGAACAAAATGCCTGAAAAGCAAATGATCATATGGGCTCCATGCGCCAACAAAAGAGGGCGCCGTTTTACCTAGCAACGACGTCCCATGGGCGGGACACATACATTTCGCTGGTTGACGTGCGCACAGTTTCTTGTGTGTGACCCACGTACACCAGGAGAATGTACACGGCAATGTGTGCGGCAAAAATAATATTGCAGTCAGGCAAGATGGCATCGTTCGGTCACCCCCAAGTGTACATTCTTTGCCGGTGAGGGGGTACTTGTGAACGGAGCGGATATGCCTTTAAATTACTATTAATTTGGCGTTTCTTTTTCAGGTGTAGGCAACCCTACTTTTGTGACGGAGACCGAGTGCACGTATTTATTTGAGTGGCAGACAGAGTACGCCTGCCTGGACCACCCGCTGGGCAAGACCTGCCGCGTGGACGTCGGCAACCAGCACTACGACCTCTCACCCCTGGTCCGAGAGTTCGGGTCCAACTGGCAGGCCCTGGACGGCCAGCACGACCACTCAGCAACGACGGAAGGCGAGTACTTCATCAACGTCTGTGCTGAGATCCTGCCGGAGGGGCTGCACGACCATCCGCCGTGTCCTGAGAAATCGGCAGCGTGTTTAATTGGTAAACATTCTTTTATCTACTCTTAGATGGCAATCTCTAAGTGAAAGTCGAGATTTTCACTTAACTATTTTAGTATATATAAGAGTTTAACATCAAAATTGCCTTCTCAACTTTGTAACTGTTTTCATTTTGTTTCTGGTACCCACTCATACAATACCAGGTCTGTTTCTTAAGGTAATCTAGTTCCTTCGTTATCCAAATCTAACTCAATAAAACATAAATGTGCGTCTCGTGGAGTTAATTCTTTCAATAACCTCCTTGTGACACTTAAACATCTGTTGCCTCCCACTTTTGCCAGTTTTAAGCGCCTCTACACGAACCTGACAGATTAATATTATATGGTACATGTATGTCTTGTTTTTGTCTTTTTACTGCCAATGTAACAACCCTGATTAACCTTGTCTCATTTTACTGTTTATTAATCTTTTTAATCATATCTTTGTAATGATTTTATTGCTTGTTCTATTTCTATGCCTGTTGTAACTGCTGGACACCTTTAAAAAACAGTGTTCCACTGAAAGGTCTCCCCAGGATAAACAAGAAAAAAAAAAAAAAAAAAAAATAAATAAATAAATAAAAGATCTTATTACAGCTCATTCCATTACTGGACTGAGCCCAGTCTAATGTGGCTTTTGCGAACACCCAGATTCCCGGGTTTGCATTCACCCTACTGAGATAATGGTTCCTCAATCAGTAAACGACCATAAATATGTTCGCACATTTTGTAACTAATACAGCGGGAGTGCAGTGGTTTGTCCTTGCTAAACAGTAAGGCCATCCCCAATGTATGTGCGTCGTTGTCCAGAGCCACCTGCCTCCCATCAGAATTTGAGTGACGAGTGACGAACCAGTTAAGTGCTGGAGAGCTTCTGGCATCTAAGGAAGCCACATTAGACTGGGCTCGGTCCAGTAATGCATATTTATGAACCACGTGTGCTTCTTTCAGTGGTCGATGTTCCAACGCGTCGGGGAAGTAAAAATGCTGCCTCCACACACATCACACATACTTTCGCCTACTTTATGACTACCTGCGAATGCTTTAAGGTAGTCCATTGTAGGACCTTGTTGGGTTTATAACACACTTACAGTGAACTATTCCTTGCTCTTGACAAAAAAATGTGATGATTTAATTGTTTTATTTGTGTGCAGCCCATGGAGATAATGCCATTAGTCTTGGCCAATACAAGGAGTCACCGGTTTTCCGTAATGGCCACATTACACTGACGTACTACAACGGAACTGACTGCAATGGCAAAGCAATGACTGTCATTACATTCATATGTGCTTACGGTAAGTGTGGCTTGTTGCAGACAATATTTGCTGTTCCGAGATAGCAAAACAGGGATAATGTGTGCAAAATTATGCAATTTATGACAAATGGTACTGGAAAAAAAAAGTTGCACTTTTGTATACGTGCAAGGTGAGTGTGAACCACAACTTGCACGTATACAAAAGTGCAACTGTTGTCGGTGTCATTTGTCACAAATTGCATAAATTCTCACACATTATCACTGTTTTGGGCCAATTAAAGAGTATGGCTGGATTGCTAAGGAATTTCTGTACTGATCAGTCGTAATTTGAGCAAGATGTGCCCAGTAATTTTTAAGTTAAACAAAGAAGTATTAAGGGGGACTTTCTTTTTTGGTCGAGTGTACATATGCCAAGTTACATTTTTGCCAATTGGGTTCAATATTCTGTCTTAAATTGTAAAAAATTTGGAGCATTGCCAATATGTGTAAGAAATCAGAATGGGTTAACATCAGTAATTCAACTTAGACAAATCTTAACCCATGAGTCCACCTTTGATTCTAAAGTAATAAAAAATACCAAAACTTGTTCTTTCTGGCACCAGGTGATTTGGAGAGTGCGCCCTCGTTCGTCCGTAAATCGTTAGACGGCTGTATGTACGAGTTTGAGTGGAGGACCGCAGCTGCCTGCCCCCTGGGCCACAAATGGGGGACAGACTGCCGGGTGTTTGATGACGATGCTGGTAAGTTTTTAGCTCTTCGCAGAAAAACTTATATCGTTAGAAATGAACAGAAATGGTGAAAAAGAAAACAACGAAACAGTTCTTCTCTGGACCTAAAAAGTGGAACTATCCATAATAATCACTTGTAACCATAGAGCTATATTAAATTACTCGAGCGCTAACTCCTCATTCTTGCACGCGGAGACGCTTTGAAGCTGCTCTGGGCGCAGACATTTTGAATTTATGTGCGTGTTTGTAGAACACAATCAACATAGATGGATTGAATTTTAAAAGTGTACTCTAAATGCAACACGCAAGTAGAAGATACGCAAACAACTTAAGCGCGTCATGACGGTTCAAAAAATGTTACGGTGAAAAGCATCTGCAGCGGAGGGATGCGCACACGTTGCGCTGTTTGCGTAGAGCAAAATGCAACGCTCGTTTGCTGATCGTGTGTTTAGGTTTTGGTCGTATTGGCTTCGATGACGCACCGGTATACGCAGAAATGCAAATAGCCGTACAAAAGCCGTACAAAATTTCCAGTTTTCCATAGGTTTGTGCACAAACATGGATGCGTCCATCAGGCATTACTTTGTACATCGAGTTAGCGCTCTAATATAGCTCTATGCTTGTAACTAATTTGCCCCTAATTTGTTTTCTTTTGTTTTGTCTTGTTGGGCACAAGGGCGGATCCAGGGGGGGGCCAAAGGGGGCCATGGCCCCCCCCCCAAAACGAAACCAATTTTTTTTTTTTTTAATGTGACATCGCAATAAAGGCAGGCAATGAGTACACCACCATCTTTTCCTCAAAAAAAATTGGTTAAAGTGGTCAGAAATTGCCTCAGATCGCACCACAGAGCATCTAGAATCCAAAAATTTTTCGGGGCCCTCACGGGCCCCGAACCCCACGCCGTAATTTTTTAGACCCACTTTTTTGGGGGGGGACCAAATTTTTTTTTGGCCCCCCCCCAAAAAAAAATTGTGTTCTGGATCCGCCCTTGGTTGGGCACATCCACCACAAGCTTGGTTTTTAGGATGATACACCCAAACCTGTTAAAAAAGTCTGACTAGCTGTCCCTTAAATTGTGCTTAAATAAGTTGTGGGATTCGAACTGTTAACCTAAAAGTTGAAAATCCAGCTCCACTACCACAACCAAAGTTTTGTTCTGGTAAAAGTGGAGCAATGTCTTTCAGGTTTTTCAAAATCTGTCATTCCTCTCTGTTTTCCTACGTAGGTTTCTCCTTTGATCTGAGCCGCCTCACGTCGGCCACCAAGTACTACAACATGACAGGCGGCGATTACGATTACTACATCAACGTCTGCGCGCCAATAGTCAACACCCCTTGCAATGAGGAAGGAATCGCGGACGCTGCCGCTTGCCAGGTCAAAAAAGATTCTACTGCTGGGTGAGTCTTGTTTGTGTCTGTAGATACAGGGTGAGTAAAAAAAATGGAGCCCAAATGTCAGGACCATTGTTTTAGTGAAGTTCTGCATGTAGCACTTTCAAAATCTATGATAAGAAAGCCCAATTCATAAGCTTTCCTTTAGTTCAAGAATCATTCAAAATGCTCATGTAATTTTCAAGTTACAGAATTTTAAACATAGCCACCATTTTAAAGTTCTGTCCATGGATCACAGACAGGTAAGTGTTCTTTCAGCAAAAGGAAAACAAATCACATAGGGATATGTGTGATTGTTTTTGTTAGGCTGAAAGAACGCACACCTTTTTTGTGATCTGTGGACAAGTTTAAAATGGTGGTTGTGTTTAAAATTCCGTAACTGGAATAGTACATGAGTGATTTAAAAGATTCCTGTACTTAAAGAAAGCTTATGAATTGGGCTTTCATATCCTAGATTTTGAAAGTGATACATGCAGCACTTCACAAAAACAATAGTCCTGACATTTGGTTTCAGTTTTTTTTACTCACCGTGTAAAATTTTTCCACAACTGTTTTTATAAATTCAAAATCCAATCTAATCACAAGTCATCACAAGTCTGTCCAAGTCATCCACTTGTAGGGGAACGCACCACTTCCTACAAAATCTTTTCTCGTTTGTTTTGTTTCAGTGATAAGTGGGTCCTGGGACGTGTCAACAAAACTTTGGAGTACTTTGACGGAGTTGTCAAGCTGACGTATCTGAACGGAGATCCTTACCATGTCCAGGATGGTTTGGAGCCACCCAAACGAAGGGTAAGAGCGAAGAATAGATGACAGCACACTTTGGTGTGTTCTTTTGTTCTCCCATAAGCATCTATGGGTCTGGATCGGTGTAATAGTTTTAGGTTATTTGGCTGCCCCCCCCCCCCTTCTATGTAAGCTTCCATGAGACTTAAAGATGATTTTTGGGAGACTTGCTGTGTGGAATTTGGTAGAAAGTATTTTAAAATTGATTTTGAAACTCTCTTCTCAAGCTCTGTATAAATGCTTGCAAAATGAGACGGAACTGGGCACAAACAATGCAGTCACATCAGTACGTGATTTCAATAAATTTGTTGAACCATGGAACTGTGGTCAGAGTGTTTTTTTAGTGTGTGTTCTTTGCTAGCGCTTTTCTTTAAAATGGTACATTGGATATTACATGAAATTTTCACCGCATGTATGTCCAAAATACCAGCCTATATTACATATCTCATTTGCACTTGTTTTGATAATTGCTACAGTTTTTAATATTTTCTTTAAAGCTATAGTCCATCATTTGCAGCCATCCGAAAAGTAACTGGCGTAATTATTGTTGAAAAACAAACTTGGTTGAAAGATAGTGAGGGAACTAAACTCCCTGTGAAATTATTCTTTCTGGGAAGCTGTCATTTTGAAGTAATCAACGAAAAAGGGCATTTCCAACGGTGATTCTTAAGAAGCACCGTAGGAAAATTTAAATTAGTAGTTTGTTTGTTATTCAGCGCAGTGCGCACAAGTATTGGAACGACGCACACGCGCGCGCGGTTGTTATAATTCGTCGGATCAGTGCGCTACGTCGCTTATAGCTGCAATTCAAAACAATTCAAAACATGATTCAGTAACTTTTGATTTGAAATTGAGATCTTAGAATGCTGTTTTTCTCGGAATGTACAGCTGAAACTTAGCTGAAACTTCATCAGGTTAGTTGTTCAGTATCTTTCATTAGATTTTGAACTCTTTTGTTGCTTCAAACGAACAAAATGCACAAATTACAAATGATGGACTATAGCTTTAATTTGAGTCCAGATCATTCTGACCCGCCCTATATTGTAAGGAGAATTTTATTCCCTTTCTTAGTACCCGCAAACCCTCATTTCGACCAATGCCCAAGTCTGTCTCATTTTGCCAGACCGCCTCACGTTTATTCTGCCCTTGGGCAATCAGGCTGAATAGGCCAGTGTTTATCTCCAGTTTCTTTGGCATGAAGTAACTCAGAATATTTCTGTTCCCCCTGGATGGGATGCCAGTCCATAGCAGGTTACTGCCCAGCTACTGTCAATACCCACTTGTACACCTGGGTGGTGAGAAGCAAGTAGTTGTGAAATGGCTTGCCCAGGGACACAACATATGGTCAGCAGCTGGATTCGAACCCCTGATCCTCTGAAATATGCGGACAAGTTTACAGACCTTTAAATTGAAGATCGTACAAATCTCTTCATTTTCACGTTAGTAACCAAGCTTCTAATAAATAAACCTATTTTATCTCCTCTCTCACTCCCCAGACCGAGATAGCCTTCCTCTGCGCACCAGACCAGGACCCAGGCTACCCGACCTTCAAGTACGAGGCAGACAATGCGTACGTCTTCAACTGGTACACCAAGTACGCCTGCCCAGAAGATCCCATCGAGTGTGTGGTTACCGATGAAGAAACTCATACTCAATATGACTTATCAAGGTATTGAATTTTGAATTGTTTTTTTTATTTTTGAATAATTTCAATTTCTTCACTCACTTACGAGATTTCTAAGAATCTGAAACCTGAACTTTTATTCATAAGATGGAATTTTTTGCGTTGGGGTGATGTAAATCAAATTAGGTTTTGCCCTTCACCGGCGTATAAACACTGTATACTCAGTGTGTCACCTCCCAAGTAAAAGTTGGAAAAAAAATCACTCGGGTTGGACTCGAACCCACGACCTCCTGCTTTCTAGTGCAGATGTCTTACCACTCGACCACCGAGCTAACGGGATCGGTTGGCTGGTTCGAATCTGATGTACATAGCAGTGGGTACTGCATTAACTATTCATAAGATGGAATTTTCGCGTCGGGATGATGTAAATCAAATTAGGTTTTGCCCTTCACCAGAACTTTTATCTTTTACTTCTCAGCTTGTCCAAATCTCTGGAGGAGGACAATTGGTCGTTTGTGGACGATTCCGATCCCCAAGGCAACCGCAAGAAGTATTACATCAACGTGTGTCGGCCTGTCAACCCGGTCAAGGGCTGCGGTGCTTTTGCCGGCGCCTGCCAGACCGAATTTAACAACAATCAGGTCTGCGCAAGAATTTTGCCTTTTATAAGATTGGAAAGTTTTCGAATGTACGACCGCTGATGTCAGGAACCGGTTCCAGATTATGGAATCGGATGCTCGTCACCAACTTTACAAATTACTTAGTAACTTCTCATCAGACAATGAAAAAGAAAGGTTTTGAATGTCATCTGTGGGAAATTTTCAAAATGAAAACTTGGATACATGGAAAACTTAAACAGATTGCACATTTATGTGCATTTTACGACTGATGATGCTCGCGAAATTTGCAGTTTACATTGTAAAGCTATAAAGCTCTTCAGACAACTTCCGGTATTTGAATTGTGGGGTTGGCTTTCTTTTACGGGTTCCCAGGTACCCGTGTTTTAATTCAATAGGTTATCCGGTACCCGTATTACACCACTATTAATCAGTTCACGTCGGATGACGTGTATACACGCAAATAGTATACACGCAAATATTTAGCGGTATTCGGAACGGATGATGGATAAACACGCAACAAGCGAGGCCAGAAATATCTGTCAGCGGCCCGCTCCCAACGAGCGAGGCCAGAAATATCAGGGTGTGCTACCCACAGATGACTGCCTGTACCAGTCTCACATTGAGGTTCGTGAAAAACAATCCCGCGCCTGGGTCCGGTCAATGTAAGAATAATCCCGGCGTGAAGTGGTTAAAGTGTGACGCCTTATGATTCAGGTCGATTGACTTTGTGACGTGATCTTTCCCCGTCTTTTCAACCCAGGAGGTTCTTAGCATCAGCTCCCTGGGCGTTCCCAAGTCCAAGCCGGTCATCGAGAGCCAGGGTCACCTACTGCTGACCTACGTCAACGGCAGCGCGTGCAACGGAGGACAGGGACAGGTGGAAAGCAGGATCCACTTCAGCTGCAGAAAAGGCGTGCTGGTGAGGAAAAAGAAAGGTTTAATGGCTTTGCGCACAGACTGTAGAGGGCACTATTCAGTTTAGCGCTTGGGGGGAAATGGAGGACGCATACGTATTGCTGGTTGCTGTGTGCAGTTTATCAGTGCATGTGCATGAGCAAAGTGAAAAATGGCTTTTTACCAAGTCAAAAAAGGATTCTTGAAATCTGTTTCAGTACACCTGCCCGTTTCTTTGTCAGCAAATGCACCTCTTTGTTCTTTTTTCTCAAATGCAAAACAAACATTCGCTACAAGAGAATTGACGACAGTATCCAAATAAGAAGTTTCATCTGTTTTACCTTCTGATATGATAACATTTGGCCAATGTGACTGAGGGCAACATACACACACACAAAAATCCACTTCTCGGTTAGCCCAGTTAAAAGCCCTGTAATCTTTCAAAGGCCCAATTAAGAACTGTTGCCCATGTGCATATCACCGCCAACCATATTGTGAGGGGTTTTTCAAACTTCGGCCTCATCTAGAGCTTTGTCTCCAGGCTCCAGATTCATGATATTTGACCTCGGAATTAAGGAACTCTGACTCAATATAGGTCCATGTTTCAGAAACATCAAATCTTTAAATATGTTGCAAAATTACAGGGTCAATTTCCATGTGCACGTAAAAGTCTTCTGAACAATTTTAGATGAATCCAAAGCCTCAAATTGGTGGTCCAAATTTACGGTGTCCAACTCGTGTGATGAAACATGGGTTTGACCCCTGACTTGTGTCCTTTTGCAAGACACTTTACTACAATGGCCTAGCTACACCCTGGGGTAAAGTATAACTGGGTACCTGTGAGGATAGAGGCCAGAATGCGCTGATCTGGATCTGCTGCAGAAAGCAGGTCTCATGGCCAGACAAACAGGGATAATAATTGTGAAACACGCTATATCAGCGCATCATTATATGAAATCGTACTTTGTCATACAATTAATTTGCCTTGTTTGCTGTCTGGAATTCGACTCACACCAATAATCACTCTGTTCTTTGTGCATCAGGGGAGCAGCCCGCGTCTCCTCGAGAAAGTCAACGATTGTCTCTACTCGTTCATCTGGGAGACGGAGGCGGCCTGCACCATCGACGCGACGAGCGGGGAAGACTGTACCGTCAAGGATCCCAACTCGGAATACGTCTTCAACATGCAGACGCTCGTCAAACCAGACGGCTTTTACGAGGTCCCGGGCCCGTCCGGAACTCTTTTCCAGGTACGAATCAAAACTATGAAACACCAATATTTTTTTGGAAATATTTAATGTTATCTTTTTCAGAGTAAGAGAATGTGTCTTTCTGAACTTTGAACCGCAAGTAAAATAGATCACATCTTGGTCAAGGATTCCACACTTTGTAGCAGTGAAGGATTTATTGTACAAGGATTCAGGTTTGCACGTACATATAAAGAGTAGGTTAAGAATTGCTAAAATCTTTACAGGTGTAGAAATAGGCAAATAAATGGAAACATAACATCTAAACGTAATATACAACATTCGCTTTCGCTGTTATTTTCAGAAAAAAAGGATGGATTTGGCGGTTGATATTTTTAAAGCAAATATTTTTTACACTGACCTGTTTTAAGTTTTGTGTTCATAGATGTTGGAAAAACCAAAGGGACAACATTTTCTTGTAGTCTGGTTCCCTGACCCAGACCCAAATAAAAACCTAGTCATGGTGACTGACTCACTTAAAGTTATTGACACATTTACAAAAGGCAAAACCAATTCCGTCTGCAGACTGGAAAATGAGCCACTTCATTGAAAATGGCAAAACTCCTCACCACAGCCACTAATTTGAAAAATTCTAAATTCCTGTAGAAGACAAGGTAAATAACCATTCATATGAAAAAATTCGTTTTTTTCTCAATATACTCTATTTGCTACCAAAAAAAAAGATGATCTTGGGTCCAGATCATTTTGACTTGCCCTGTATTATCTTTTGAAACTCTATTATCGTTTTCTTTGTGCTGAATCAGCTGAACATCTGTGACAACGTTACTGGCGGCGACAGCCACTGTGTCTCGGCCGATGGCACGGCCCTCAGCTCCTGCAAGATTGCCGCCGACGGCAGCACGGCGGAGAACATCGGCAAGGTCTCAAAGACACTGAAATTCTCAGACGACGGTCTTCTGACGCTATCGTACCAGGGCAAAGAATTGGACACAGGTAAAATTGCTAAACAGACTATAAGCTGTCAGCGACTGTGGGTGTAAAAAATGAACATATATGACCCGCTCCACCCAAAAAAAAGAAGAGTATTTTGTCACAAAAAGATGAAATTGAGTTATATACATGGTTGGAAAGCCCACAACGTAAAGCTTTCTTTGGTATATAATAGAGCTCCATAGCCCCTCCCGTTCTGGAGATATGACATATTTGCATATTAATTTTTTGACGAAATGTTCACCCTCGGAACGTTGAGCGGGCCATTACACGATAATGCACAGCGCAACTTAACTCTTTCGGTGCCCGCGAAATTTAAAAAGTTTAACCCTAAAGTGCCCAACTTCGAGCGTTTTTTTTAATTGTTCAAAATTCTGTCAAAAAAAAAGGAAATAACTTTTACTCACTAAATTTGTTGTTGTTGTTGCTCTCTGGTATATCCTTGGTACATTGGAAAGTAGTCATGAACATAGTGATACACCCTGAAACACTGTCCTGCACATGGGAATTCTGCACTCTTTTGCAGAAAATACGAGTGTCAGTGTTGCGCCCTCTCACAAGAACTCGAATGAAACAAACAAATACAGGTCGTACCTGAATGAAAATGATATTATTAGAAGGAGCGAGAGTGCCCCCTTGTGATAACACGCTTATTCTACCTCGTACATGTACGAGGTTTGGCGATTTCTAACTAACAAATATACCTCGTACATGTACGACTTTGGCACTGAAAGACTTAATTACATTTTTTTGTGGAGAAGGACACATATATGTTCATCAATGAAAACTAAGACAAAAATTCTTGGTTTTTCCCATCACCCAGGTTTCCACTTGAAGACAGAGATCACATTCCTGTGTCGTCACAATGTCTCCCTGTCTGCCCAGAAACCAACCTTCCATCGTCAGGAAGGCAACACCTACATCTTCAACTTCGAGACGCCCCTCGCGTGCCTGCCGGAGTCCGTGGATTGCCTGGTATCCGACGACAAGGGTAACCAGTACGACCTGTCATCCCTGGCAAAGGATGACGGGAACTGGGAGGCCGTGGACACGCGGCCGAAGATGACAATGAGTTATTACATCAACGTGTGTCGGCCGGTCAACTCGCTTGGCACCGACACGCAGTTTTGCCCAGGTGGGAACAACTTAGAGTTGGGTCATAAAGTTGCTTTTATAATCGTTAGCATTTGAAACATCAAACATCCAACTTATGCTTGCATGGAAAATTCAGGATAATTGAAGATGTTGTTTATCCCCTTCCCCCCCCCCCCCCCAAAAAAAAAGTTACATTTTTTTATTAACTATAGGGCATTTGGGCAATTCAGTCGTTATGGAAGTTACATTCAGAGCCAAAAACTAATTTGAAACAACAAAGTGAAAGATTTGCATTGAAAGAAAATTGTATATATTTGGTACAACTACAACTCTAGCTAATGCCATAATTTATAACATGACATGATTAATTTAATTTTAGCAGAATTAATTAATGAGATATAAGTGCTGTGAATGATAGTTACGGATGTTATGCTTTAAGACACAGATTTTCAATTTTCCGTATGCATTGATAAAAATTGGTGAAGTTTCTTGCAAAGTTTAATAAGATAACTATGTTGTGGTAGGTATAGGTTTACTCTCAAGAAACACCTATGATATTTTTACAGAAAGGAATTTTGATGGTATGGAAACATCATGCTTTTGTTACGGGTGTTACATGTCTGAAATCAACTTTTTCAAACACGTGATAAAAAACATACTGAATCATGGTATTCTAAGTTCTTTGTGATATTTTCATAATAACAGCTGCATTTTGCATTTGAAAACAAGATGCCAAAATGACCACCTAAAACCAATAATTTTAGCCCCAAAAATTATTTTTTTCACACCAGTCAAATAAAAGGTCTTGTTGTCCCCTTTCATTTGACACCACATTTGAGATTGTAATGCACGTAGTTCTGAAGAGTTCATAATTTTTCCATTTTTCAGCCATGTCCACTTTGCGTGGAAACGCCCATTTAACTTTGGTTACGTGCAAGCTATGCCCAAGACACAGTCTCAAATTGTTTGCCATTCTCCTTCCAGGGGGACCAATCGGGGCCTGTCAGACAACCGCAGACAGTAAGGCGTTCAACATGGATTACGTGCAAGCTATGTCGAAGTTAGTCTCTAAATTTTTACCATTCTCCTTCCAGGGGGGCCGATCGGAGCCTGTCAGACAACGGCAGACAGTAAGGCGTTCAACATGGGCTACGTGCAAGCTATGCCCGAGGCCGCGGTAGACGGTTCCCTCAGCATACGCTACGTCAACGGCGATCTGTGCCACGGAAAGTACCACCGCAGCACGCGCATCAACTTCGAGTGCTCCACCACACCGGTAAGACGATGTAGTCCGTGCTTTGGAACTGGGTACCCAACTACCCGACCGTTAATTTCAGGAACCGGTTGCAAATTATGAAACAGACTTTACAAATATACTTAGTAACTTCTCGGACAGTGATAAAGAAATGTTTTGAATATCATTTGTGGAGGATTTTGAAAATGAAAACCAGGCTACATGGGAATACAAAACATGTTTCATGTTTATGACGCTCGCGAAAGTTGCAGTTTACACCGTAAAGCTAGAAGCTCACTGTACACGCTTGTATCTTGCTGTATGGATGCAGAGATGAGGTAGTATGTATCGTGTTGACCATTATGAACAATATGAACGGCAACTTCCAAGATTTTAATATTGGGTACCCGTAGACCATTTTAAGCCATCCCAACTTATGCTAACTATTTTAAGACTGTCTTAACATTTAGACCGTGTCGTTGCAATGGTCTAACTTGTAGACAGACTGACAAACCAGAGGTTTAAGACCGTCTAACGCGCATGGACAGCTTTAAGACCAGTTATTGCAATCTGCCCAGGTCAATTCCCTATCCTCATGTACTTTCTCAGATCTGGTATGAAGAGAGTGAAATGACAAGAATCAGCTTGTCTTACTGTTGCTTGTTCTGTTCATTTCAGGGGTCGCCAGTGTTTGAACTGGAAACAGATAGCTGTGAGTACATATTCACATGGGAGACACCGGCAGCCTGCCCACTACAGGTAAAAGATACAGTCTACATTAAGGAGAATACACAAGAAAGTGTGGATCCGTAATTTAAGAATTCACGAGGCGTGGAGCACCGAGTGAATTCATAAATTAAGAATCCACACTTGCGAGTGTATTCTTCAACTTTGCGTCAAAAGAAGTATTGTTATAAACAGTCCAGTGAGTGGAGATGAAAAGACTTGCATATCTCGTGTCGAGTCGTGGCCATCAGGGTAATTTACAAGGGAGTTTTTCAAGGCTCTTATACGTAATCAAGCATTGTGATGTGTTTAGCACAAGGGCGGATCCAGGAGGGGCCAAAGGGGGCCATGGCCCCCCCCCCCCCCCCCCAAAACGAAACCATTTTTTTTTTTTTTTTATGTGACATCGCAATGAGTACACCACCATCTTTTCCTCAAAAAACATTGGTTAAAGTGGTCAGAAATTGCCTCAGATCGCACCACAGAGCATCTAGAATCCAAAAATTTGGGGGGGGACCAAAATTTTTAAAAATTGTGTTCTGGAGCCGCCCTTGGTTTAGCATGTGTATCGCCACACCCGTACAACCAAGTCATGTTGTGTGTGGGCTCCTTGCGTCAACATGGAAAGTTCAGACGACGATTTCTTTCTGACTCAAAGTAAGTTTTGCAGTGACGGCGGAGAATCTGACAGTGAAGATGCATTGGTAATTTTCTGAAGGCATGTTTTCGTGCAGACGGTCCAATTAATGCTCATTATGAAGAACAATTGTCAGACATGTTAAAAGTGTGGATTCATAATTCTGAATTCACACTTTTAACAATAGTGTGACGTCATAGCAATGATTTAAAGGGTGTAAAGCAGGCGAGATGGCAGTGCCAAATCAATATTTTGACTGTTTCCGTTTTACAGAGAGTTACCGGCTCAGAATGTAAGGTCCAAGTCCCAAACTACGAATTCCAATACGACTTGACACTCCTCCACAACACAGAGACAGACTATGTAGTCAGCGTGCCGCCTTATGAGTATCGTATCAATGTTTGTGGTCCGTTGGTCGCCGGTGAGGAGGAGTGTAATGTCAACAACGTTGGAGCATGCCAGAAAAAGACGGGGGACCAGGGATTCATCAAAAATGCAGGTATGATTACACCACTGTTAATGCTATTAGAGCAGCTTCTATGTAGGGTTGTAAAAAAAGAGGTGTGAAATCATATTTGCTATTTATTTAATACACATTTAACGAAATTGGCATCTGCAGGGGTGTCAATGGGGTGGGGTGGGCAAATGTTCCCTGTCCACCCTCGTAAAAATGTTAAATTGAGAATATGCTAGAGAAAGTACAAGGATTTTTTGGGGGAAAAAATGTGCTTTGCCCCCCCGCCCCCCTTAGAAATAATCCTGGTGAGGCCTGTGAATTTGAATTGTGCCCAAAATCAGCAGCCGGATCACATTCTCATTCAGCCAATTGCAGCTATGCAATGTTACGTACTGAATCAAGGAAATAATAGCAACCACCCGCTTTTGTGCATCATGTCAGTGCTTGCTCGCGCGCACCCATTCATGGATTTTCTCAATTACAAACCAACTACTGACGGAAATTTCCGAAAATGCATCACTAGACACATCTTTGGAAATGGCCTTCTTTTATTGTTTTCGTCAAAATGACAGCATGCCAGAAGGAATAATTTCACAGGGAGTTTAGTGCCATTTCTATCTTTAAACCAAGTAAGGTTTTATACAATAATTTGGTCAGTTACTTTTTAGATAGCTGCAAATGATCTGCTGTACCTTTAATAAGATTGTATTTAATATATTAGATAAAACATAAAACATTTGGAGTATCAATTTTTGAGTAACATGTCATATGTCAACTTGTCAGGCCATGTGTCAACTTATTCCTTATTTTGATGGAGCACCATGTTTATTTTGAGTCATGATCAGACATGCCTGTCTTAAAAAAATTGCTATCGGACTTAATTTTTTAATTTTAATGGAATTTGTTGCAACACAGGCATGTTTAACCAGAAACTGCAATACAACGACGGCTCACTGAAGCTAAACTACACCACGGGGGTCAAGAACTGCCATTCAAATACCTACGAGCGATCCACCGCCATCAACTTCTTCTGCGATGAAGGAATACAGGGTAAGTTTCCTTGGCATGAAACAACCTTGGCATGATGACACAACTGTATATATTTCTATTCGGCCTGGATGGGATTCCAATCCATCACAGGTTACTCCCCAGTTAATGCCAGTACAATTGATATTCCTGGGTGGAGAGGTGCAATTCGTCACCGACACCACGAAGTAACACTCTACCGTGTTAAACCATATTTTTTTCGATTTTCAAGTTTTTTTTATTTTTAAACATTATTCATCAAGGCCTACCATTGCACGAAGTTTCAGGGCTTCAATAGCTTTGCTTTAATAATTACGCTAAGTATCCATGGCAACTTTTGCGCAAAAGTGACAATTTTCGTTTTCACGAAGTAACACCCAAGTTCCATTTACCATTGCAATGCATGGCGCGCACTCTGCTCATAAGTGAGCAAAAACGTTTTCACGAAGTAACACTCTTCTTGTAATAAGTTGTGTGAGCGCGCGCGCGCTGACCTGAAGTTGCACTTTCCTCGTGTTGAATACATTGAAGAGTGTTACTTCGTGAAAAAGAAAATTTACAGTTTCGCAGCCTTTTCGGTTTCACGAACTAACACTCATCTTTTTTCTCTTATTTCTTGTTTATTTAATACACAAACGGGTGAAAAACAGCAGATTTAATAAATTCAATTCATCAAGTGTCCACAATGAAAAACCCAACTGAAAATACTCTGTCGTTTTGACGCAAAGTGTTGTTTTAGAAGGCGTTCAACTTTAATAGCCGTTTTCTCCGATTGCTAGTTTTTACTGGTATGTAGATGGGTGTTACTTCGTGGTGTCGGTGACGAATTTGGGTAAAATAGCTTGCTTGAGGACACAACATATGACCAGAAGATGTTATTCTATTCGCCCTGGATGAGATTCCAGTCCATCGCAGGTTACTCCCCAATTAGTGCCAGTACAATGTATATTCAGTGGTGGAAAGTTGCAGTTTGGGTAAAACGGCTTGCTCAAGGACACAACATATGACCAGAAGATGGATTCGAACCCCTTCCCTCTAATTACAAGACACATATCCTTTTAAATAAATAAATTGTAATGCTTATATATCCATCCTAACCACAATCTCAAAGCAGTTTAAAAATATTGCCCCATTCATCAGGCCACGATACCACGCGGCAGCCGATATCAGCACACATTCGGTCCTCTACCCTCACAGGTACCCATTCATTCTCCTGGGTGGAGAGAGGCAATTGTAGATAAGTGTCTTGCCCAAGGGTACAAACACCATGTTCCTGGCAGGGTTCGAACCCACGCACCTTCTTACATGGTCAAACACTGTAACCACTGAACCATGGCATTCTACGAAGCCACACCCATGTTTGATGTACTCATATAAAGGTTTTTTTTACACTTCTGTGACCTTCCATTCAAGGAAATGGCGAGCCTACGTTTATTCAGGAGGACTCAGATTGCACATACATCTTTGAGTGGGCAACCCCGCAAGCCTGCCCTCCATTTAAGGTACGTAACAAAATGATATTTTCTGTGCTAAGTAAAGTTTATATGCTAAGCTAAAAAAAAAAAAGCAGCCAAGAACAACTCAGTATACATTGCATCGTAGTTTTTTCAAAGCAGATATGTATTGTGTGCTTAAGCAAATTAATGGGTCAAGCTAATATCACCTGCCGAGAACCAGTTACAAACAACACAATTGACATGACAGTTTGGCTGGTAACCCGCAGGTTGTGGAGTGCAGCTACAGCGACAGGAATCAACAGTTTGACCTTGCGTCGCTGGCTCGGGTCGATGACAACTACCGCATTGACCCTATGGCGACAGTCGGGACCGATGTTTATTACATCAATGTGTGTCGCTCACTACTGCACAAGACGCAAGCACAAGGTAGATGTCTGAATAGACTAATCCTTTCAGCCCCCCCCCCCCTAATGTCTTGACCAATCCCACCCATGATTGCGCAATTAAATGTCTGGTGAAAGTCTAACAAGTGTATGAACTTGCTTATAAGTTGTGTAGTTAAGGTGTACCTAAAGGGCCATGTAATGTAAAAAAAAATTTAATGCGGTCCTTGCGAATACACCTTTGTGTCCCATTGAACCTTATTTTCAATTTTCATTTTACCAATTTGAAGGTTATTTTGGTGCCTTTTTGGCTTTTATGCCGATGCAAATTCGCATATTTATGAGCAAAAGTGTGATGTCATTTTGGGCAGAAACCTCAATGTTACAGCTATTTCAACACCAAAGTTTGCCAGAATTTTGGATTTATACCGGTCATTATTTTGGTCATAAACTTTCTTTTCTTTGGTGATTCGTTGTGGTGTCAGTGCATGGCGGTAAGCCAATGAGCAAACTGTTCTCACAAATCTTTTCAATAAGCAAAGTCATTAGTTCACAATTTGAACTGAAAACCCCTCAACTGAACAGTGTCTTCCTGAAATGACATCACAGCAACAGCGCCCTCATCTGTCAGGAAAAGCATGAACAATTTTAAATGTTTTTGAAAAAGTGCACTTTTCAATAAGATTAACCAAAAAGGGTTATCAAGTAGTTTTGCATACATTTAAGAGGAGTAGAAAGTTGCAAAAAAATATGTTCCCAAGTAAATTTCAATTCATGGCCCTTAATTTTTTTTTTTTTCCCCCTAGGTTCCAGCTGTCCTCACAATGCAGCTGCCTGCCTGAAGCAAGGTGACAAGTAAGTTTCAGACGGGCCGGTATTTGACATAGTGAAAATTCTGCCAAATTCCCTTCAAATTCCACCCGTTGGTAAATTCTCATAAATCCCAGAACTACCAAGAGAATGACAATTCACTTTGGCTGTTGCAGCTAATGTGGACCAGCAAAACATTTTACCAGCCCCCCTCCACCCCCCCCCCCCCCCAACAAAATGAAAAAACTTTCTAGCTTGTCTGAACTATTACAAAGAGATTAACTGACTCATATTATACAAATATTGACTGCTTCAAGTGGTGAAGTAAAACTTAGCTGGTTGGCCAACCATCGTTTAGTCCACACATTGTCAGGTTACACATCCATGAACAGGAGCAAGCCAGCTAGTCTGGTTCCCTGACTTGACAACTCCACGACATCTATAAATTGCTCAATTTCGTCTGACACAGGGTCAGGGAACCGGACTACAAGAACAGCATTTTTTCTTGGTTTGTCCAGCATATATGAACACAAAACTGTAAATAAATCAGTGTAACAACATTTGCTGTGAAATACTAACCCCCAAATCCATCCCTTTCTGAAACTTATAGCTATAGTTAATGTTGTATTTTACATGTAATTCTTCGTTGGAACTCCAGGTACTTTAACTTGGGCGAGGTCATCCAAGGCCCCACCATGGAGAGCGGTCACCTGGTCCTGAGGTACGAGTCAGGTGACCCGTGCCCCTCAGGGGGCGGGGCCAAACGCAGCTCCATCGTCAGCCTCGAGTGCGACAAGGAGGGAGTGGTAAGACACAAACATGCACTGCATTGTGGTCCGGCTAGCGATGACCGGCTCAATTCTGATACGCAATTGTCTGTTTTCTTTTACAAAAGTTGAACAGCTAAATAAAAAAAAATCCTCTTATTTTCCATTTTATAATAACATGTTACTCCCTGCAAAGATCACAAAAAGTTAAGCAGTGGTTCATGCTTCTTAAAAAACAAATTGTTCTCTGTCTTATTTGAAATTCAGTGTTGTAGTATATGTACACTGTACTCATACTCGAGTACTACTCAAGTCCTTTTTTTTTGGTCTTGTACTCTGAGACCTGTACTTGTACTCGGAAGTCCTCGTACTCTGTAACTTAAGTACTCGGCAGTACTCGGTACTCGGAAAAAAAGTACTCGACTACAGCACTGATTAAATTATGGACAAAATATGCAATGCTATTTTTGCAGGTTCACAATTCAGCGTCATTATTGCACGTTTTTTGCTTTCCAAAGTTGTCACAAGCAATGATTTAATCGTTTTTTTATTATTTTTTAATTATCATTTTTTGGTAATGAAACCAAGGATTCCTCAAAAGCGCCCTCGGCACTGTAGCTCGCAAGCCTGAAGAAACCTGTAGAGAGAAGACAATGAAGAAGAAATTAAAGTTTTAGAGGTGGGAGGAAAACCCCAGAAGAAAATATTCTGAGGGTAAACCCACTGAATCAGGTAGGGACTGAAAACCCGATCCACGTGAGGACCAGGGCAGGAATCGAACCCAGGCCATAGAGGTGGAAGGCAAGGAAAGAAACCACTGCGCCAACCTGACTACCCAATAATTCAACATAGCGTGACGTTTTGCCTGGGGCCAATTTCATGAATTAATGCTTACGCTCTGAAACTTGCTAAGCACAACAACTACTTGCTTACCAAAACTTGGTTACTGGCCAGAATGCCATGCTATGTTTATGGCTTGTGACTGGTTCCCAATGATTTTTGCTTAGAACACAAGTTTGCCAAGCTATATGGTTATTCTCATTCCAGGGAAGCACTCCCCAGTATAGCTACACCAGCGACAATTGCGAGTACCACTTCATCTGGCTGACCAACTTGGCTTGCACCATCAATAACGAGACAGAGGTATTAACGGATGATTGCACCGCCGTCAATCCTGCAACTGGTAAGGAAGTATCATTGTAGTATCACTGGTAATATCATGGAATATCACACACAGTACTGTGGAAATATCACAGACAATACCCATAGAAATATCTCGGACAATACCGCAGAAATATTGCAGACAGTACCATAGGAATATCACAGACAATACCATAAAAATTTCACAGACACTATCAGGGAATTATCAACGACAATACCATAAAAATATCACAGACAATACTATAGAAATATCACAGACAATACTACAGAAATATCACAAACAAAACCATAGAAAATCACCGGCAATTCTATACAAAAGTCATAGAAAAATAACATTACTTTACCATGGAAATGTCAAAGAAATGTTACTGACATACCCTTGGAAAATAGGGAAAATGTTATAGACATTTCAATGCAAGAAGTATAGATATATCACTGAAAAAATCAAGAAAATACTGTACACATCATCATGGATGTATTGTATAAATATTGTATAAATACCATAGAAATACCTTAGAAATATTAATCAAAATGATTAAGTGTCATAGACAACATGGAAGTAAAGAAGTACAGTGAAATCTCAATAAGTCAAACCTCAAGAGAACAGGTTCAAAATTTGACTTACGCAGAGTTTTGAGTTAAGCAGGGTTGTATATCATTGTTATACTACTGAAGGGAATGGAGTCTTTGTTTGACTTAACAGTTGTTTTGAGTTATCAGAGTTTGACTTATCGAGATTTCACTGTATCATTGACATTACCATGGAAACACCTTAGATGTTACATTGACATGGAGGCTCACAAAAGACTTAGGCTGATCATGTTATTGGCGTATGGGAATCTGCATTGTGCGATTAGGGAGCTATGGTTGCAGAAGTGGGATCAACGTCCAAGTGTTTCATTGCTTTGCAAACAGGTTTCAAGTTCGACTTGAACATCTTGAAGAGTGCCGAGGGTTACACAGTCAACAGTGACAAGGGGCATCAGTATCTTTTTTCGCTGTGTGCACCGCTGCAGGGCTCACCGTGTGAGGGGGACAACATTGGTAAGAATTTTGAGAGTGAAAGCTCTTCCTCTTTGTAGCAAGTTCCTGCCCCTGTTGCAACAAGCTGCTGTACCCGTTTTGCAACAATCTCCTGCCCCTGTCTACCAAGCCTCTCCCCTTGTCTACCAAGCCTCTCCTGCTGGCTACCAAGGTCATTTATACAATGCTTCTCTGTATGAATACCAAAACCCTCTCAGTCTACCAAGCCCCTCCCCCGTGTGTACCAAGCCCCTCCCCCATGTGTACCAAGCCCCCTCCCCTGTCTATCAAGCCCCTCCCCTGTCTACCAACCTCCTTCCCCTGTCTACCAAGCCCCTCCCCCTGGCTGTCTACCAAGCCCTTCCCCTTGTCTACCAAGCCCCTTCGTTTTGTCTACCAAGCCCCTTCCCCTTGTCTACCAAGACCCTCCCCTTGTCTTCCAAGCCCCTTCCCCGTGTGTACCAAACTTCTCGTATTCTACCCAGTCCCTCCCCCTGTCTACCAAGCCTCTCCCCTTGTCCACCAAGGCCCTCCCATTGTCTACCAAGCACCTCCCCCATGTGTACCAAGCCCATCCGGCATGTGTACCAAGCCCCTCCCCCTTGTGATTTGCTGTAATTCACTTCTGTTTGAAAAACATGCTTTTTCTAGGGTCTTGTCAGACGGAAAAGACCGCCACAAATCCCCGTAGTTTCAGCAGCGGTAGTTTCAATCGCAAGCTTCACTACCACGATGGCACCCTCTTCCTAAACTACGAGGACGGTGCGCCGTGCCACAACAATGCATTCACCCGTAGTACCATCATCAACTTTGTGTGCTCGCTGAACAAGGGCGCCATCGGGGAACCGGTGTTTGTGGATGAATCGGAAGACTGCACCTACTACATCTCGTGGCACACGACCGTTGTTTGCGAGGAATTTGTAAGTTTCATCAAAGTGTTTAAACAGCAGATAAGAGCAACAAACAAGATTTGACATATGTGTCATGGGTTTGAAAAAGACGTCACATGTTGTAAGTTGTTATTTTCACAAAATAGACAATGGAAGGCAAACAGATTTTTTGGGGGGTAAAATTGAGAAAACTTTGTAAATTTGGATGCTATTTCTCTTGAGTAAATTTTAATTTCTGTTGTTACTGGACTTACTTGAAATAGTTAGATCTTGTGAAAGTCAGAAGGCGAGACGTTTCAATTCAGCAGAATATTCTTAAGATGCTTTTACCTTTTTTAGGATTTTAACATGAAAGAGACATAAAGAAAAACAATTTCAGGATTTTGTTTTATCTATATGTCTTTTTAAGTGAAAATATAATAATTTTAGAAAGTTAATAAAAATCCAAGTTTGGAGGCAAGAAAATGTGGATTGTTGACCGGCTTCACTGACAAGAAGTTTAAACATAATAATATAAAAGATTATAATATAAAAAATTTCTACCGCGCATTTTCCAAATAAAATTGATCAAATGCGCCTCACAATAAGAACAATAAGACTTTCAGTTATTTAAAAATTCAATAAAAATACACAAAAACCTACAACAATTAAGTCAAATCATTAAGTTAAACCGGTACGTGAATACTACAGATAAAATACAAGTAACTCATTTAAAACCCCATAAACCAATCAAAATCGTTCCGTACTTCGACAGATTCAGTGCAACGTGATCAACGGGTCACGGGTCATCGACCTTTCACCCCTGGTCAGCGACCGTGGCTACTACCTGGCCAACTCCCTCACCGACGACGACGATGAGAAGCAGTACTACATCAACCTCTGCCGACCTTTGAACCCTATCCCGGGGGTCAGGTGCCCGCCGGGGTCGGCCGCGTGCTTGGACAAGGGCAACGGCCAAGTTGTACGTATATAGAACAACTTTGGGGTTTTAAAAATCTCACTGCTCAGGGATTTGGAATTGAGGTGTCTATTTTGCCAATGTTACATATTCCTAAAATTACCTATCATGGAAAGGTTGGCTATGGAGTTTTATGCACATTTTCATTGCTGTCTATCTTTTGTATTTTAAGTCAGGATGACCAGTAAGTTCAACTTTTGTATTTTCTTTTCCTTGATATTATATTATTTTACTCTTTGCTTACCACATTTTTTCCTCAGTTTGTTAAAAGATATTAAATCACATTAAAGATAAAGTCCATCATTTGTAATTTGTGCATTTTGTTCGTTTGAAGCAACAAAAGTGCTCAAAATCTAATGAAGGATACTGAAAAACTAACCCGATGAAGTTTCAGCTCAGCTTCAGCTGTATATTTCGAGAAAAACAGCATTCTAGGATCTCAATTTCAAATCAAAAGTTGCTGAATCATGTTTTGAATTGTTTTGAATTGCAGCTATACGCGATGTCGCGCACTGATCCAACGAATTATAGCAACCGCGCGCGCCTGTGCGTCGTGCCAATGCTTGCGCGTGCTGCGCCAAATAACAAAACGAACTACTAATTTAAATTTTCCTACGGTGCGTCTTAAGACGCACCGTTGGAAAGGCCTTCTTTCGTTGATTACTTCAACATGATAGCTTGCCAGAAAGATTAATTTTACAGGGAGTTTAGTCCACTTACTATCTTTCAACCAAGTATGTTTTTCAACAATAATACGCCAGTTACTTTTTCGGATGGCTGCAAGTGATGGACTATAGCTTTAAACAGCAAATGCACAGCTATTAAAAAATGAGTGAAAGCCAAAATCGGTGAAAGCCAAAATTATTTAATATTTTTGGTGGGAAACAGTACAACTGCTTGTTCAAATAAACTTGACCATTTTCATAAAAACATTTTTCATGTCATTGTTGGTCGGCAAATTTGTTTGTAGTGTTTTTCAGACAATGAAATCTTTGAGGGCATTTTAAGAACAGGAGAAGGTTCCTAAAATTATGGCATGGATAGCTTACAACATATTCTCAGTTGATTTGTGCACTCAAAAAATCTCACTGATCTTCCGATGTTTTCCTGTGTTTTCCAACTTCCTTTCTTGTTTGTCTCTTTCAATTTCGTAGAATCTAGGGAGAGTCAGCGAAGGACCAAAGATCGTTGAGGGACGCGTCGTCATGAGCTACGCCAAGGGTGATGTCTGCCCCGAAGACAATTCAAAGAACATCTCCACTGTCATTACGCTGCTCTGTGAGCGGGGAACGTCACAGGTAAGTCTCTGAAAGTTTCCTAACGAGATAGAAGTTGAAAATTCTGGCGACCGGCAAAGACAGAAAAGCTGCCATTGGTCCAGTGGTTACGGTGTTCGACTCATGTGCCGTGGTACATGGGTTCGAATCCTGACAGGGAACATGGTGCTTGTGCGCTTGGGCAAGGCACTTTACTACGATTGCCTCTCTCCATCCAGGTGTAGTAAATGGGTACCTGGTAGGAAGAAATTCCTTCAATGCTTGAGCGCCGTAATGGCAGCCGTGCTAAAGCCAGAGTAATAATAAGAGTGCCAGGAGCGTCACTTCGTGGCGGACGTGAGCGCTATACAAGAAGCCAGACACACAAGAAATGCTTGGACAAACATCAGACACACAAGAAATGCTTGGACATAAAGGAAAAAAAAGAAGTCAATTTCGAGCAGTCCCGTGCAGAGTTTGACGGTACAAAATTGGTAAAACTTTCAATGTTCAACTTTAATGTCCCCATCTATGTTACTGCACAAATCCTGTTTTAACTTTATTGATAGCAAAATATGTTAGACGTTGCCAAATGCATTCATCTTCACAAGCTTGAAAGTGAACTAAGCTGTGATTAATGATCACTTTTTACTTGCAAGATTGCAAGATTCAACATGTATTCAACATTCACATAGGGATGGTCAATAAAAACAAAATACATGAGTAAATTAAAGAACAATTGATTACTTTCAGGACAATGCGTCCAGCAAGTTGATTACTATATCTAAAAGATATCCTTCTTCTAGGAAAACACTAGGTGATGCAATGTTTGAATTCCCCAAATTGAGTCCAGCAAGGGACTCTGGCAGGAATCGAACCAGGGTCACTCAGAGTAAAAGAGGAAGAAACAAACCTATGCGCAGGCCTAACCACCCAACAACCTATGTGCTCCTTGCGCCAACAAAAGAGGGCGCCCTTTTACCTAGCAATGACGTCCCATGGGCGGGACACATACATTTCGCTGGTTGACGCGCGCGTATCGTTCCTTGTGTGATGACACAAGTACACACAGGGATTTGTACTATGTACACGCAGTGGCTGTGCTTTGCGGCAAAATATTGCAGTTAGGCAAGATGGCGTCGTCCGGTCACCCGCAACTGTACTTTCTTTGCCGGTGAGGGGGTAATTGTGAACGGAGCGGATATTCAAATCCACGAATTGCTCAATCCTAAGTTAAAGCATTTTAAGTCTTGTAAGTTTGACTGATGCACCTACAATCCCGGCCAAAATGGTTGGGACACTTGGAAATAACCTTCGCCTCCAACGGTCACCAACTCCCCTGCTCCCCCGGTCAATGTTGTTCTCTTCAGGGGATGGAGCCCACACCGCGCAATGAGAGACAACATTGAGCGGGGGCTGGGGGGTTGGGGGCCCAGCAAGATTTGGCCAGGATTGTAGCTACTCTAAAATGCCATTCCAATGTCTCTTCTGTTCTCATTCTTCAGGGCACACCCACCATGGACAGCTACAGCGAATGCACCTACCACTTCTCCTGGCTGACCAATGCCGTCTGTCCCCCCGCCAAGTCCTCCCCAGGCAAGGACTGTAAATACTACGACGACAGGCTGCAGTATGAGTACGACCTCAGCTCACTGGCTGAAACTGAAAAACAGGTATTAAAGTTGACTTGCAGATTTTGCCTGTCATTACTTTTTTTATTGAAATCTGGCTAAGAATGAAAGAATTTATACAGGCATTATGATTTTTCCTGCTATAATTTGTTTGGGGGGTTAAATTTGGTTGAGAAGGAAAGACAGGCCCGTCGCCAAGGGAGGGGAGGGGGGCTGGTGGGGCCAAGCCCCCCTTGGCGAGCAATTCCCCCCCCCCCACCCCCCAACAGCAAAAGCAATACATATGTATTTTTGTAATTTTTATAGTAGTGGGCCCCCTAGTTGGCACTATGCCCCCCTCCCATGCTCAGGGCTGGCCACAGTCCTAAGGGAAGACAGATATCAAGACATTCAGATTTTGCCTGCCAAAACATTTCTTGGATAAGAACTGGCTCAAAATGAAGACAGGCATTTATGCATTTTGATTTTGCCCGCCATAAAAGGTGCACGATAAAAATAAAACAGGAAGAATACAGAAAAATACAAATATTGTAAACTTCACGCCATCACAGTGCAGGATAAAACATTCAGATTTTGCCTGCCGTAAAATTTCTTGGATAAGAACTGGCTTAAGAGTGAAAGACAGGCATTTAGGCATTCAGATTTTGCCTGCCAGAAAAGGTGCATGATAATAAATAAAACGGGAAGAATAAAGAAAATTTAAGAAATGTTGTAAACTTCACGCCATTACAGTGCAGGACAAAAAGTGGATTTTGACGACATTGATCAAATCTGCCTCTTCAAAGTAATATCCAGCTTGTCTTCCATTAGTCTAAAAATGTAGAAGTGGAGAAAGAATTATTTTGTTGTTTATTTAGTAATAGATTTTGATTCCTAGGAATTAGTACTTCTTGACTTTTCAATGACGAGCACATTGCTACCCATGTAAGAAAGATTCTGACAAATTCAGCCTCCGGGGTTTTCCTCCCACCTCCAAAACTGTAATTTTCTTGCCTCATCGTCTACCAGGCGAAACACCACCGGAAATAAGTTGCAAGACTTTCATGGCTATCCCCGCCGAATGCAAAATAAAAATAATATATTATATGAAGTGGTCTAGTGGTGGAACACAGGATTCGTGATCAAGAGGTTGTGGGTTCGAGCCCCACCGTGGCCATGCGTGTTGTGCCCTTGAGTAAGGCTCTTTACCTCAATTACTCCTCTCAACCCAGGTGTTAAATGGGTACCGGCATTATTCAATGCTGGGAAGGTAACAGACTCGCTGTGGAGGAGGTGTGGCGATCCCCCCACAGCAGCACACGAGTCTGGCCCAATCGCTAACGAAAGAGAGATGGGCACTCCGTTCCTGTGAATACAGGTTCGTCCCCCTTTACCTTTTTTTAATCATATTACTTTTTCAGGTAACTGGGCCAGATAATTCCATATACAACGTCCGCCTGTGCAACGCCGTGTCGGACAGTTCCTGCCAGGATTCGTCAGTCTGTCTCCATGACGGCGACAGCTCCTTCTCCCTGGGAACCGTGGAGTCTCAGATGTTCCTGATCGAGGGCCACATCCTGAAACTGCAGTATAGCAGCGGCTCACTTTGCGAACAAAGTAAACAATTATTTAGAATTCATTATAACACCTCATACATATTTATGAGCCAAACGCGCTTCTTTCATTGGTCAATTTTCCAACGTTGTCAGGGAGGCACAGGTAGCTATTAAATGCACGTACTACTCAGGCCTGGATTATCCAATAGGCACACTCGGCACTGTGCCTCGGGCCTAAGAAAAATTGTTTCAGTGAAGTTCAGCATGTAGCACTTTCAAAATCTAGGATATGAAAGCCCAATTCATAAGCTATCTTTTAGTACAAGAATCATTCAAATCACTCATGTACTTTTCAAGTTACGAAATTTTAAACACAATAGTCCGACATTTGTTTGTTTTTGTTTTTTTTACTCACCCTGTATAGTAACTAGATCTGTACAACAAAAGATTTGGACACGTGACAAATATGGAACTATGCACACTATAGCCTCACCTAAGGCTGCAGCATTTTGAAAAAGGAATTGATCACCCTTTCTGATATTCACAGATGAGCAACAAATAATTTTAATTTCTCCTTTTGCTTTAGGTGCTTCCAAGAAAAGAAAGACAACGATTATCTTCAAGTGTTCGGAAACTGTCAAGCCAAACCAGCCGACCTTCTTTTCTGTGAGTCACATAAATGTTCAAATATTCGCATTACTGGACCAAGCACAGTCTAATGTGGCTTTCTTAGCTGAAGGTAGCTTTCCAGCACTTAACTGGCTGGTCACTCGTCACTCAAATTCTGATGGGAGGCAGGCTGGCTCTAGACAACAGACGCACATACATTGGGGATAGCCTGACTGCTTATCAAGGACAAACCACTGCACTCCCACCTGTTTTATTAGTATGTGCGAACATATTTATGGTCGTCAACTGATTAAATAGCCATTATCTTAGTAGGGGGCTCATGAATACGAACCCGGGAATCCCGGGTTCGCGAAAGCCACATTAGACTTGGCTTGGTCCAGTAATGGACACTTCTCTTCTGAAATGAAAAAAAAAAGTATTCAATTTGAACAGTATCTTTCACTGATTAAAACATTTGTTTCACCCGTGCATGGCTACTCAGCGAGGAGAGTAAACCATCCTGCTCACAAGAACATCCGCTCCGTTCACAAGTACCCCCTCACCGGCAAAGAAAGTACAGTTGGGGGTGACCGAACAACGCCATCTTGCCTGGCTACAATATTTTCCGCGAAGCGTGGCCACTGCGTTCACATAGTACAAGTTCATCTGGTGTACGTGCGTCACACAGAAGGAACGATGCGCGTGCATCAACCGGCGAAACGTATGTCCGCCCATGGGGACGTCGTTACTATGTAAAAGGGCGCCCTCTTTTGTTTGCGCACGGAGCCCATAGGCTGATTAAAACCCACAATTAGAAAATTGTGTCTCTGCTCAGTACTATGTCATTATAATCACTGAAATGCAAAGCTCCCCAATACAATGTTTATAATGCACAGTTTACACCAAGTAGAATGAGTTTTCAACCAAATTTTACTCTTTTTCCCCCCCTTCTACAGTCGGACAATGCTTGCAACTACATGTTCCAGTGGGAGACCCCCCTGGCCTGCCCACCACTGAGCATGCCCTGTGACCTCGCCTACATGGAGAAGATCTTTGACCTCCAGCCTCTGTCACTAATTACCGGCAGTTGGCAATTTCAAGATGATGGTGGCAACAAGTAAGTATTTCTCAAACAGACGTCTTCCCAAATTGTCCCTTGGATTGAAAACCATTCACCAGTTTGTATTTTTACCAGTCTTTTACCAGACTGCGTACATTTGTAATATTCGATGGCTCTGAGGGGTATACTAGAATATATTGCACGAGCTATAACAATATTGCACAAGTTGAAGATGAGTGCAATATTGTTATGGCGAGTGCAATATATTCTTATATCCCCCAAATATTACATTTGTAATATTCGATGGCTTTGAGGGGAATACTAGAATATATTGCACGAGCTATAACACTATCGCACAAGTTGAAGATGAGTGCAATATTGTTATGGCGAGTGCAATATATTCTTATATCCCCCGAATAAAAGCCATCCGATATTATTATTATTATTTATATTAGGCTGACTTGAAAGAAATCAATTTCAGGACACTATCTTTATTTCTCAAATATCGTTGAACATTTTTCGCTTATACCGAAGCAAAGTTCACGCTGCTTGAAGTATACCATTGTGGACGTTCCACAGTGCGCAAATACCCTGCATGCTGCGCGCTGTGTGCGCGTGCGACAGGGGCTCTGTTGGCTGGTTGACAATTGTGAGTTTGTACAGTGGCGCACCCAGGATTTGGTTTTGGCGGGGCTGACATTTTTTTTTAAAGTTGTTTTTTTCCCAAAAGTTTTGCCCAAAATTTTGGGCCGCAGAAAAAAAAATTGTTTTTTTTTTTTGGGGTGGCCTATTTTGACGTTGGTGGCGCCACTTACACCCCTATTATACTACTCGAAAACAGGCCACATTCATATCACCAAGGCCAAAGCGTGGGACTAAAAAAAGAAAAGAATGGGTGCGCCATTGAGTTTGTGCCCTCTTGATTGCGCGGGATCCAGCAAATTTGGAACATGGAGAAGAGCATCTCTATTCACAGTTTTGTCTGGTGCTTTGCATTGTCTGTCCCAGATACTACATGAACCTGTGCCAGCCGGCCTTCAACACACCAGACGGTTGCCCTAAAGAGGCTTCTATATGCAGACAGAGGCCCAATGGCAAGATTGACATACTAGGCATGATCTACACACAGCTGCTGAACGCCGAAGGTACGTGTTTGAATTGCATGATATACACTCTTTCTTTTCACTCGCAGTGTTAGAGTATACAAATATTGAGTGGCTCAGCGTGGAATGGGAGGAATATTATCGCTCGGTAAAATCTGGACGTTTCCATTTCACGAGGCAAAGCCGAGTGAACTGGAAAAGTCCAGATTTTACCGAGCGATAATATTCCTCCCATTTCACAATTTAAAGCCACTCATTATTTGTTTTATATAACTGACGTATAGATCCTTGTCATTTGATATATTTGAACTTTTATTTCAATAAAAACAGGAGGAAAATGTATTTCTCTCTTCCAAACCACCCCGTCACGAAATTGTTACAAGCTACAGCGTTGGCTCTATGGAACAATACGCGCTACACGCAACGCTGAACGCACACACCAGCATGCATTTGCACACCATTACCGCGTCATGGAACAAGAATGATCCCAACTGTTCAGTAGTATTTCCGATAGTACCTTTTGAGCCGCGGCGTGAATGGGAGCAATAACGAATGTCACGTGATGTGAGTTCCACCAATCAAATGACAAGGATCTGTATGTCGGTTATATAATATACAAATATTGAGTGGCTCAGAGTGGAATGGGAGGAATATTATCGCTCGGTAAAATCTGGACTTTTCTATTTCACGAGGTGATATACCATACTATCTTTTTCCTTTTCAGGAAAAGCCAGTGATCCCAGTATCCAAATCAGCTTCAGAGGCGGGTCGCCAGGCGTCTGTGGGAATGCGGCCGTTGCAGGGAGTGACATCATCCTCACATGCGCCAACGTTGTCGGACGTCCCAAATTGAAAAGGTCTGCATGACTGATTGGGACAATTGGATATTTGTATTGAATTTCAAGGATGGCGTGTTTTGATTTTGACTGACTCACTGACCAACTTTATTACTAACTGAATGACTGTCACTTGTGAGCTGGGCAGTGCTATTGTATAGGATTACCGCGTAATGCCCAGAGCCGATATTTTTTTTGGGGGGGGGGTTAGTAGGGTGGATCCATACATTTTTTCAGGGAGGCGTGCTGAAATGTAGATCGGTTATTTTCTCCTGGCTCTTACCATATTTTCAATGGGGAGCGCTGATAAAATCCTACAATCAGGCACACTATATTAACTAAAAGTGTACAAATGCACCCTTCTCACGACTTTATTTAGGGGGAGACCGTTCGCGTGTACATCGCATTCTTACATTTTGCTAGTGCAAATTTTTTTTTTTTTAATGGAATTTTTTTGGGCGGGGGGGGGGGGGGGGGGGGGGGGGCTTGACAATGAATGGGCTAAATCTGGTGCATTGCATAGGCTGATGCATGAAAAGACTTCCCATGAATTGATAGAATAGAATTTTGTTCACTGCGCAATCCGCTTTACTAGACTTGCCGTGTCTTGTTTTTCGTTTTGCAGTGTGTCCACGGCCAACGATGCGGATTGTACTTTCACGTTCGTCTGGGAATCCAAGGTTGCCTGTAGCGAAGAGAGGTAAGCATTTGATCTAAGGTCTAAAACATGTCATTTGTAATGCTGATTACATCAAGATTTCCTTTTCTGCAGGATGTAATTCCTCCTGCAATTGCCTGATTTCAGGCTTTATTCAAATTGTAAATAGCATATTGGCACCATACATACATGCTTGTATACTCTCCCTTTTATACCTCAAATTTCAGCCCAAAATGCTAAAGTCTACCAAGATTTTCTGATTTTCTTTTGATTGTGTGTTTTGCAGGGTGGCTGTTGTGCTGAAAGATGGAAAGGTGACTGATCCGGAGACTATGTCGACCTTTGACCTGTCACCCCTCATCAAACACAGGTAAGGTCGTGTCTTTGAACAATAAGGTTGTGTCTGAATCGTCTGGCTGTGACTGGGAGTAAAACACATGTCTATGGGAAGTGGCTGTAGCCACAAGCCAGTGGCTGTAGCCACAAGCCAGTGGCTGTAGCCACAAGCCAGTGGCTGCTTTGTAGCCACAAGCCAGTGGCTGTGGCCACAAGCCAGTGGCTGTGGCCACAAGCCAGTGGCTGTGGCCACAAGCCAGTGGCTGTGGCCGCAAGCCAGTGGCTGTAGCCGCAAGCCAGTGGCTGAAGCCGCAAGCCAGTGGCTGAAGCCGTAAGCCAGTGGCTGTAGCCACAAGCCTGTGGCTGCTGTAGCCACAAGCCAGTGGCTGTAGCCACAAGCCAGTGGCTTCCATAGACACACGTGTTATTTCCTGCCCCAGCCACAACTTTCGGACACGGCGTAACTTTGTCTCCAAACAGCAAAAGGAGATCAGGTCTAGCTTGATTCCTCAATAGTGCAAGGTTTACTGTAAATTGAAAGCTTTAGGAAAAGACAGAAACAAAATCCCACTTTTTTTATTCAAGTCCATCACAAGTTCACCATAAGTCCCTTCAAAAATAAATCAAAATTCCAAACACAAGTCCAGTCAAAAGTGACAAGGGAGAAGCAATAACAATGGAATGCCTTTTGTCACGTTAATCTGATTAGCTTGTAACTTGACTTAAGACTATAGGATTTGTGATGGAATTGTAAAGACTTGTGAGAACGTGTGATTAAACGTTACAGTCAAGTGGTGGAAGAAAACTGCAGAAAATCATTCATGGAAACCTCAGATCTTGAAAAGCCATATAAGCAGAGCGGGAAAATGAGGAATGTACCAACTGAATGAACCCAGCTGCCACGGTATTATTCAGCATGCAAGTCATAAATAATTTACATATGTTTTTGTTTCGCAGCACGTGGCAAGCAGAAGGTGATGAAAGAGACGAGAAGAGTGGCCAGCAGTCTGTCTACATGTACTACATCAGTCTGGGCTCGGCTGGCTCCCAGGTGGACGGGGATACCAACGGAGAGTGCAGCACGGCCGCCGTCTGCCAGAGCAAGAAAGACGACCCCTTCTTCAGGAACATCGGGGACGTGACGAAGGAGAAATTCTTCATGAAAGGTGATTTAGGTTGGCTTTGAAATCGGGGATTTATGCTTATGGCTATGGATACTCTCAGCAGTATGCGAATGTGACAAAGCCACAGCAATAGCCAAGCAGTAGACCTTTATCATGCTGCAGCCATTTCAGTCATGTTCCCTGTATCCAATAAAAGTACTGAATGATAATGTTTTTTGTGCCAAAAGGAACCAGACTATTTTTCCTTCCAGCCTCGCTTTGGTTACGTTGGTTTGAATGGGAAAAATCAAGATGGCGGTAACATGATAATGGTCTATTAAGACCTGTTTCTGATATATATAATGATTAAGATGACTGTACTCGCACTCGGGAAGCAATGTACTCGTACTCGACATGTCCAAATTGTACTTGATAATCAAAGTACTCGTACTCAAATAGCAGGACTCGAAAAAAAATGGTATAGCTTGACTTACCCCGGCCTTATTTTATCATCGATACTTTCAGTTGGAAATGGTGGATTGGCTTGCAGCAAAATCAAAGTTTCCTGATTTTTTTCTGTGCACATCCGGGCAAACACATTTAACAGCTAGCCGTGAGTGGGTCTGTATATGGGTTTGGCTGGGCCTGGGCCGATTACGCACAATGAACAATTTTCAGTGTGGCCGTATTCGGAAATAGAAATACTCGTACTCGTACTCGGAAGTATAAGTACTCGTACTCGGAGACCTGAACTTGTACTTGGGAGTACAAGTACTCGTACTCATACTCATACCGGGTAATCTAAGTACTCGGCAGTACTCGGTACTCGGCAGTACTCGGTACTAGGAAAAAAGTACCCAACTACAACACTGCAGGACAGATGCTGATGGGTAAACCGCTACCAAGCTTGACAAGATTTTTGCCAATCTCTCGGGATATTTATTTCAACGTTGACGTTTGACTTTCCCAGATGAAATCTTAGAGATGGTGATCACCAACCCCAACTCCTGCGGAAAGGAGGACACAGAGGACGTTGAGACGACAATCGTTTTCAGATGCGACCCCTCGGTAGCACTGGTGAGTTCCCTTAAAAGTTCAACAACATTGAAATAATCGCATAAATGACAATTGAAAACTTAATCAAGTAAACTTAGTGGGGTGCTGTGGTACATGGGTTCGAATCCTGACCGAGAGAACATGGTGCTTGTGCTCTTGAGCAAGGCACTTTACCATTATTGCTTTGTCCTTCGGATGGAACGTAAAGCCGGAGGTCCCATGTGTTGTGTAATGCACGTTAAAGAACCCAGTAACACTTGTCGCTAGAAGAGAAGGGGTTTGCCCCGGTGTTTCTGGCAGTGGCTGCTTAATGCGCCGCAGCACCTTGTAAACCCTTAAAGGTGCTACATAATGGGTCTTATATTTCTCATAAACTTCATTTACCTTTCTTGAATAACATAATTTCCAGCGCATTGAGTACCTAATTGTTAGTAGATACATGTGCTATATAAGACTCCGGTATTATTATTATTTATTATTAAACCACAAAGGGAGACATACAAGATGCATGCATAATAATTATAAAGTTGAACAAAGAAATTGACTGGAGCAGGGTTTGAACCTGCGACCTCCGGATTACCGTTCCGGTGCTTTACCAAGTGAGCTATCCAGCCCTATGTTGGCGGTTCCCCATTTTGTCAGTGTCTTTGTCCAAGGGCTGTAAACCCCTATATGTCATGTAGCCAGGGATCACGCCCAAAGTCACGATGCTAGCAAACATCTGCAATGCTGCAAACCTGGGAAATAGCAAATGGGGACCACTCAGAGAGGATACAGCTTTTATAGAAAGAGAAATAAGAAATAGAATTAGAAAAAAAATACCACAAATGGTTTGGAAACAATGATGGAAATAGCTGTGATTTGAAAAATTATTTTGTTGTGGCCTTGCCCTCAAAAATCCCCCTGCTGTCTGTGACATCATAAAATAACTGATGTCTTGCCTACCCTGTTGTCCAGAGCTGTATACAAAGTGCTGTTTGTGTCTGCACATACACTCTGGTTTTACTATACTCTGGAGGACAATGCTTTGTGTTTCCCTTTGTCCGTGTATTATAACACTCTCTCATAGACTAAGCACATAACCATAGGATAGAGGACTGTTTTCAACAAAAGACCCAGGACTGAAAGGATCTGTTGTTCTCCCTTTGTGTGTCGGTCCTCAGGGGTTAGGTAGAACACGTTCATGTCTGCACGTGCATGTTTATGGTGTAAATTGAGAACACACACGTGCAACATCATCGATGAATTGAGGACAGGAACCAAATTGAGGAAGACCTCAATTAGAAAACGTGTGCAAAACCAATTAGAGCTGTTACAAAAAAGTTAGAGTATAAACAAAGGAAAAGGGAAAAGGAACAATAGAAAATCCTTGATTTACACCATTAACAAATGTACCTGTTCGTGTGTGTTATTTCTGTAAACATTTTAACACCATACCCGACATCAAACAGACTTGCTCTGCGGGCGGGTGGGCGTGCGCTAGGAAGGAGCATATAACCCTCTACAGTTTCTCCATTTAAAGAATTTAGAAATATTTCTGTGATTTTTTTCTGTTTCAGGGTCAACCCAGATTCGACTTTGAATCGGTCAGTTGCCAGTACTACTTCATCTGGACTACGTCTGCAATGTGCAGCACACTGTAAGCAAGAAACAATATTCTCTTCTTTCACAATGATGTGATGAAAAGTAAAACAAAAGGGTCTTCCAAATGAAGTCTAAGAAAATAACACTGTTGGTTCCATTTGTCATTTTTTCCCATGGCGGTTTGAAACATGCCATGGGCTTGAGCTGCTTATGTTGGTTGGTTGGTTGGTGGGTTGGTTGGTTGGTTGGTCGGTGGACACTTAACTCGGCCATATATTGTATTCATGCAACTCAAGTATTACAGCTTTGCAAGTATTACAGCTTTGCATTCGAAGACCGGTTTTGCAAACATTGTTGCGCATACGTCTAATATGCATATTTTTTGCATATTAGATCACGCCCCATTTCTTTTCATTTTCTATACTCTCGAGGTACCAGTACAGCACAGGTTCACGGACGGTACTGTATAGCCATCTTCACACGTTACCCGGCCGCCGTGGGTTGTACCACTTGGTACTTGTTAATTTACTATTGTAGCAGATTTTAGGATGCTCACTAAACTGCAGCATATGCAAAGTGGAGTTTGATGTTGATCAACTACAACATCCACAGAAACGAAGCTGATCAACTACTTGGGTGGCATGGGTGGCACAGTGCGTTAAGCGCTCGCCTCTCACCTCTGTGGCCCAGGTTTGATTCCCAGCTTGGGTCAAATATGAGTCGAGTTGTTCACTGATTTGCTCCTGTACGTGCTACAAGAGTTTTTTTCAGCATTCACAGATATGTTTCCTTTTGCGCTGGCAGGACTCCAACAGAAGCCCCAAATCACAACGGTGGCAGCGGTGGCAAAGGAGACAAAGGGGGAACTGATGGCCCTGCTAGTGGTTCTGGCTCCAAGATCCCTGCGGTCATAGGCATACTGGCAGGAGTTGTGGTGCTCTGTCTGCTCATTATTGTATTCCACAAGTCGGAAAGAAGGTACGTGATAACAACCAACTCATTATTTCACCTAAAACTGCAATCACTGTTTTTCTGTAGAATGGAATGGGATCTTGGTGACCCACATTGCTGAAATACTGCAGACTTATAGTTGTCTATGATTCCAGGGTATAGCACCTATGGTGCTGGAAACTGGTACCTATGGTGCTATAGACTAGCACATATTGCTATAGCCTTGCACCTATAAAGCAGGGGTCTATTTACTATAGCAGACCTGCCAACTTGTACGATTCTGCCGTATTTCGTACGGGAATTTGTTGAAAATACGAATGTACGTTTTTCCCCCATAAAATACGGGTTTTGACCAATTTGACACGCCTGGACAAATCCTAGTTCAAAGCGGCTGTGAGTGTAGATTTCTGCCGGGTAAAATTGGCTGAAACAACGTAAATTGCAAGCAGCCAAGCAAACGATGTACTGCATGCATGAACTGAATCTGGTTTCGCGATTCCCACTGTGCGATGTACATTATGTACACAGTATCACAAACTAGAACCAGTCCATTCCCGGAGTGCCGATACTTCAAGCAGCAGCACCCCGCCGCAGAAATAAATGTCTGTATTCGTACACACACATACCAGTAGGAGTACGTACGGTAGATCTTACATGCAGTCAACAGACTTTCTTTTTCTCAGTGCACGCACGATACACAGAATACATTTTGATGTTCGTGTACGATAGTCACAACGTGCGTGCACGTGGTGTTCCGTTTATGTCAAACATTTTTGAATAGAAGTAAAGTTTGATACTACGTTCTGAAATCAGACAAATCAACAATTAAAGTGGGTGGCCCAAACCGAACCAGGTAAATCAGCCAGCAAATGCAAGAAATTGATTTCTTTTTCGGGCAAGCCAAGTTTAAAATAAAACTCTGTTCGATCGCTGTGTATTTTTTAAAACATTTAGTGTGTGCACGTGAATTATGATTCAAGAATCAAACTGGCACTTGGCGGCGACGTGATAAAACATGAATAAGTTTAGATTATACTTGGAAGTCATATGAATGTTTCACCTGCGTTATAGGTTTATTTATTGCAAACATGAGGAAGTCTAGTCTTTAGTTTATGTTTAGGTAGACTTGCTTTGAATAGTTTTTAAAGCAGTTTGTTTATGAATAAGGTATATGATCAATATCCTTATTCATGCAAGTTGTTTGATTATGATTGGGTTTACCACCCGCAGGGAGACCTCTGGTCATTGTTTTTATAACTTTAATTAAGATGTATTAAAAATGGAGCATTGCAGCCACATTTATTTGTTCGTATAGCCCGTCTATGCACGTTTTTGAAAAATACAGTTTTTTTATGAAAAATACAACTTTTGGAGATTCTGAATACAGTTTTTCGATCCCAAAGGTTGGCAGGTCTGCTATAGTGCTACAGACTAGCCCTTTAATATAATGCCAATGATTGACACCTATAGTGCCCTTAATTAGCACCTATGGTGTTTGTGATTAACACATACCTAAAGTAGTGCTGGTGCCTAGCGTGTGTTGGTCTTTGAAGCTAGCATTTATGGCACTTTAGGTGCCCATATTGCCTATAGTGCTGGAGACCTAGCACCTAGTGTTGGAGACTAGCTAGTACCTATAGTGTTGGAGACTTGTGTTGATAGTGTTGGATATATGGTGTTGGAGACTAGCACCTATGTCACAGGACACTAGCACCTGTGGTGCCAGAGACAAGTTACAATATCTCTGACCACACTATATCTTATCAAGCAGAAAACCTGATCGTTTGTTTTCCTTTTTCTGTGGTTTCTGCTTTTACCAGGTCAGCAGTCTACTATAAACTGAGAGGCTTCTTCCCTGGTGCATACAGTAAGGTCCCCACTTACTCATATTCACAGGTGAGTGTCGTGAATTCCAAAGTTGCAAACATCTTGCCTGACTGCAATTTTGCCACGACGCGCGGCCATACCACTGCATGTACATAGTACAAATCCCCTGGTGTACGTGCGTCACACACAAGGAACGGTGCGCGTCATCCAGCTAAATGTCCCACCCATGGGACATCGTTGATAGGTAAAAGGGCGCCCTCTTTCGTTGGTGCACGAAGCCCATAAACTGAAATATTGTGCCAATATTGAAAAACAATTGAATGCCATTGCTGTGGGCTCATGCGCTTTCATGCATATGTTCTGATGCTTTGGGCTTGTGCAAATCAAAGTTGAAAAGCCGGAGACGAAATCAGGGGGATTTTGCAAAGCATGCTTCCATGGTTTGCAAAATCCCCCCAGATTTCGTCATTACCAACTCTCACGTGCATATTCTCATGTGTATATTCCACACACTGCCACTTACACTTCCAACGAGGTTGTGGATGTGCTGGAACTATGTTTATGAAAAGTTGAGTGTCCAACCTTTTTTTTTTCAAGATCGTGCAAACTCAACAAAACATAGGCATATATGTTGTAACTGCAGACTTACTCATGTTGCTGACTTATCTGGAAAGTTATTAATTTTTTATGAATAATTATCGACAGCTTTCCAACGGGGACGTTGAGGAGTCCTTACTGGGCCAGAGCAACGCCCGAGGCATCTACAGCGATGACGAGGACGAGGACTTGCTCAAAGACAACAGCAGGGGCAACCCCATTGAGTACAGAGACGACAGCGATGAGGAAATCTTGCCCAGTGTATAATGCGCACTCAGTGTGTGGAGTTATAAAGGTGGGTGTTATTGGAATACAGTGGCATACTTGATACTTGGTTGGTTCTTCTCCTAAGGACTTCCACAAAGAAGCATAACTAGGAGGCCAGAAACACCGGGGCAAACCCCCTTCTCTTAGCGATAAGTGTTACTGGGTTCTTTTACGTGCGTTAGGCCTTATACAACACACGGGACCTCCGGCTTAACGTCCCATTCGAAGGACGAAGCAATAATGGTTAAGTGCCTTGCTTAAGGGCACAAGTGTCCGGGCCCGGGCTCGAACCCACGTCACTGTTGCCTCTGAAACACCAGAACATGAGTCCGGTGCTCTTAACCGCTAGGCCATGACACTCCACACCTGTGTGGAGTGTCATCTTTGCCAGCAACGGGGGATGCTGACAAAATCATGATAGTTTCCTGGGCATAATCCCCAAAAATGGGGGATGATTTATTAATAATAGAATCTTGTTTGCGAACGTATGTTCATAATGTGGATGTACCTGCTAAATGTCCATTAATGGCAGTTTTCAGTATTAACATTTATTCATAAATACCTAAGACGGTTTACCCATTCCTATTGGTCGAGAGCCTGTCACGTTGCCAGTTTTAAATGTTATGTAAGAGACGCTCAGCATCAATACATTGCTCACAATGGGTGAGAACGGCACAAAGACACCAGACCATGCCGGAGCTGGGGGTTGCTTGCATAAGGCTTGCCCTGAATCACGTGATGTAGTAACAGTCTCTTTGGTCGGGAGAATGCAAAGTTAAAATGTGCCAAGCATTCGAGCAAGTCATGGTACCAGATGCAACTCGTATTTAATTCGCAAATGGCTTATTGAGTGCATGTCATTGAAAAAGTTTCTCTTCTTTTTCAAAGACTTACACCTTTAATATAGGTTTTCTCGGTCAATTTCGGCAAATGAGCAGCCAATTTAACCACTACGTTATTCTATTTCGCGCGAAATCAAATGCTACTGAAAAGGGTCATTCGATTTCGTTTTATGACCAGTCAAATGTACTGTTGCGTCATTCGATTTAACAAAATAATCATGCAATTTAACAATTCAACAAAGCAGCATTCAAATTCGCAGGAGCTTTTTGAGGTGTGTGTTTAGTCATTCAAATTCATTTTTGGGCAGTCATTTCTGGAATTTGTGCAATCTAAAAAATGCTTTGTTAAATTTGTGTTTCCTTAAGAATGTTGAAGGCATAAATACGGTTCACTTTTTGGCACTTGAGTCACTTTGCCGATGTACTTCGAAGACGAGCTTTCGCTACAGTTTTACACGCATATTTCTAGAAATGGCAGCTCGTGGTCGCTACGCTAGATCGGCCCAGGTAGATCGAGAAAGGTTGATTGAGGCCTTCGAGGGAAACGAGCAAGACAACCTTGAGCTTGCGGTCAATTTGAACATCAACAAGTCCACAGCCAGATCAATTGTTGCAACATATTTGAGGACTGGAAGGCGAGAGACGCTGGCAAGAGGAGGAGCAACCCACAGCAAGATGGATGATGACATGCGAAACCATCTGCAAGGCATCCTTGACGCTAATCCTGTCTTGACACTTCAACAAATGAAGGCTAGTTTGAGTGAGCATCTGCCAGAGAAGCCCCAGGTTTCTACTGCCACCATAGCCAGGGCCTTGGATGGGATGATGATTACACTGAAACTAGTGGAGGACGTCCCTGATGCAAGAAATTCCCCTGAAGTTCTTGATCAACGCGTCCAGTATGGTGAGTGGTTCCTGCAGCATGGTGTTCTGGCGCATCTAGTCTTCATTGACGAGACAGGTTATAACGTCTGGACTCGACGCTCCCAGGGTAGAGCTCCACGAGGGATCGCTGCAAGACGAGTCGTCGACAGACAACGAGGGAGAAATTGCAATGTCACCTTCGCTGTTTCTAGTGAAGTAGGCTTGGTGCACCACCGAATCGCATTCGAAACTGTGACGCATGAGAGATTCGAGGAGTTTCTTGCGGACACAATTCAAGAGTGTGATGCAGTTTTCCCAGACGACGAACCCATTTACCTCATATACGACAATGCGAGGCCTCACGTGCGCGCCCAACTCCCTGAAGGTGCCAACCCAATGATCCAGCTGAAGCGCCTCCCTCCCTACTCCCCATTCCTGAACAGCACGGAGATGGCACACTCTGCATTCAAGGCTGCAGTTAAACGCATCCTTGGGTTACCTGAGTGGCAACAACGTGTCGGAGACAGACAGGCTGCCCAGCAAGCAGGAATGAACATGCAGCAGTGAAGGTGCGAACTCCTTCAACAAGCAGCCATCCAGAGCGTTGATGTCATCACCCAAGTGAAGTGCATGCAGTGGTACAACCATACCCAAACATATATGCCAAGATGTCTGGCACGCCAACAGATTGATGGTTGAGGAAGAAACAACATTAACAATAAATAACCAGGAAAAACATAAAGAAACACCCCATTCAAACACAATACAAAATTTGGTCTTGGTCAGTTAACCAATAAAGACCCCCCCCCCCCAAAAAAAGAATGAAGAAGAAACCAAAGAAGAAGAAAAAACCTCATTGGCCCAATGTAAAGTCTACTGGAAGCATAAATAAAGAAAACAAGGTTTGCCTGAATTAAAGTGAAGATACGAAACAGTTGCCTAGTACAGTTTATCTGTTTATTCGTATTTCTTTAGTCGTACTTATTTGAATTCTCTTTAAGCGAAATTGATTGCCTCTTTACGGAATTGAAAAAAATTAAATCAGTAAAATCTCCAGTCGAACAGGCTTTGCTAAATTGAATGATGATTGTGTGTCACGAAAAAGAATGACGATATGCTAAATTGAACACAGTGCTAAAGGAATTTGAATGCCTCAAAACGAAATTGAATGGCCGAATTCTGAATTTGAAACGCAGTAACAACTGGAGAGGCAAAATAGCTTCAATTCGAACGCACGAAAATTAAATTGGCTGCTCATTTGCCGAAATTGACCGAGAAAACCTATATATCATGGTACATTGTTGGACTGATTTTAACTATTAGGTTTTTTTTTCAGGTCTGTTTTCAATTTCAGTGTTCAAGACTAGAATCCATGGTGCAGAAATGATCGAGTACTTAGTAACATGTAGGCATTCTGAGTATAAGTGCCTGTCATTGTGGGAGAGCGCCCTCTACTGCTGGAGGCTTTCACTTCGCTGGATTCAGTCGTTCACTCGCGATGTAAGACCCTCTGCCTAATCGGCAGGAACAGCTTCTATGATACTCAGAAATGCACTGTAATGTGCTGGAACTTTAAAGCCTTTGGAATTTTTCTATTAGAACTGATAAATGTTCCAACAAGTTGATGTGAATTACGTGGTTCTGTGATTAAATGTTTCCCCACCTCTGAAGAATAAAGCTGGATAAATTTTGTATATTTCGCAATGATATACCAGATAGAACGTTTGATTTGCTGTTATGGTGTTGAGTATCGTTAAGTTCCACTGGGAACAAGTTTGGTTCCTGTCTTGTCCCAGTCTTCTCACAGTGATTCCGTTTGGTTCCAGGTGGTACGATCCGGTTCCAGGTGGAACAATCCAGTTCCAGTTTTGTGTGTTTGGTTCCAGTGGGTATTAAACCACTTAATTTTTTACTGATTCATTGGGGTTCTATGTGGTACCTTCTGGTTCCAATTCAATCCAGTTGGTTAAGTCATGGTTACGTTTGGTTCCAGTGTGTACTAAACCAGTTAGACTCCATTTTGACTAGTTCATCAAGGTTCTATGTGGTACCTTCTAGTTCCAATTCAATCCAGTTGGTTAAGTCATGGTTAAGTTCGGTTCCAGTGTGTACTAAACCAGTTAGACTCAAGTATGACTAGTTCATCAAGGTTCTATGAGGTACCTTCTGTTCCAATTTGTTACAGTTTGTTCCAGTTGGAACTAACCATTCCTAGTTGGTTCTAAGCGGTTCATTTTTGTTCCAGGTTGTCCAGTATCGATTCTTTTCTAATTGTTATTATTGAGTTCTAATATGTAAATACTTGCTATTGTTGGTCATTTATTAATATTATATTAGTGGGCGACGATTCCTATGTTTTGTACTTTGCTTACTGTAGTCTTTCCATGTATTAACCCAGACCCTACAGAATCCACCAAAATCTAAAGCCTTTTTTGATGGATTTTGATGGATTCAGGACTTTGCAGCCCAGCCACTGTTATTTCACAAAGGCATCTATGTTGTTTTATACAACGTGCCATAGGATTACTCCAGTGTTGGTTTTTGTGCGATCCAAGGCGGCTTCTTACAAAAATTACAAGTAATTTCTATGGGCATGTAAGCTTTAAAAGATGTTATATTTTCTGCTATTTGTTTCGTGTGATGAGTAAAACTCTGTACAACTCTACGAATCTATTGCTATGTTATTACCATTGAGGTATAAAGTGCGGTTAAATCGTATTAAAAAAAAATAATGTGTTTTAATTAGGAAGGAGCAAACAAACTTTTGTATCGGTTTAAAAAACATGTGCAAATTTAATGTGATTTTTGCTTAATCCGTAAGTGTGCGTTCCAAGAATTATTATGCGGTTACGACCTTTGTGTTTGTTACTGAAATTGCTTGGCAAAATGTTGACTTTCGTTTAAAGGTAGAGTATGTCGTTTGTCATTTGTGCACGTGTGTGCATTGTTGTGTAAACGCTTGATCTGATACACCGTGCCCTCTGGAGACATGCGCACAATAGGGAACAAAAGATTGTACACGTCTCCACAGGGCAATTTCTATAGATGAATACGTCTCCACAAGGTTTTCACGAAACAGATATATGGATTTTACTCAAAAACTAGGAATTTCCAAGGTATGATGATCTGTCGCAAATGATAGAGTTTAGAAAAGGGATATTAATTCCGAATTTCAGCCAAGGAAATTAATTCTGGTAAAAATAAGAGCATTTTGAAACTGTACTTTCAAACTCGAAAACAAGAAATTTCTCCACAAGGATACAAATTTCAGTATGTGATGCGCGCCCCCATTCACGGCTTCACCGAATTAAAGACGAACCACTTACGAAAAGTTCCACGTGACTTTGGAAATGATCTTCCCCTTTTTTTTTGTTTCTTAGCTGCAAATTACATTCTCTACCTTTAATAATTGTGACAAATAGAATCATGGGAAACTTTTCTGTAGTTTATAGCAAGTTTATTACAATCTTGGTTAGAACCATGGCATCTGCAAACCAAACAATAACAATCAGTATTAAGAACACAGAGAACAGTGGTACGGGATTTCGTAGGCTGTTAAAGTACACAAATCTATTTACAATGGGTGTATATTTTTGCTAACTGGGTTGAAAGTATTCAAACTGTTTAACCGAGGTTAGGTTATGAGGGATTAAGGTTAACCAGAAGTAAGTTATGTTTTAAAGTTTACAAGTATTAATGGAGTTAATACAAGAGAATATCTCAACTTTACTGAGAATATACCGGGCTGAGGTACCACAACTCTTTCAAGGCATTGATTTGGTTTTGTATCGGTCGCTAGAGGGCGCTCTAACATTTTATGACGTCACCGGTTATTTTTTGTGAACTACAACCTAGCTAGAGACTTACATCGTTGAAAGCAAGTTCACATGCTAAGAAAGCCACAAAAAAAAAAAAGATTTGAGGAAATGTTGGTGATCGTAGCCAAGAAAGGTCCCTGACCTATGAAAATTATGATTTGATTTCATTTTCAAAGAATTGATTTGAAATCCTAATATAATTTTTGCCGAGATGGTTTCAATAAATTCTTAAACATTTTCATTTAAAGAAGATTTGTTTGTTTTCTAAAAGGTGCTTAGAGGTTGACTGTCAAGTTTTTTTTAATTTTACGTTCAAGATTATTTTGAAATTTAAGTCTGATTTATTTTAGTTGATGATATGTACTGTAATATTCCTTATTAAGAGGTTTCTGAAATTAAAAGTATATGGAATCTTGCTTGTAAAAATGAAAAGGAAGAAAAATAAATGCTTTAACAAATCTGCTAAAATGTAAAATCTTTCACTATAAGTTTTTGTGTCTCCTTAAAATAACAAAAACAAGAATAACCTTAACCCTAAAAGGGCCGGGCGGAATCCGACCCCCCCCCCCCCCACCCCCACCCTTGCAAAATAATTGTTCGCGACCCGAGTCCTGACATTTTTAGCCTCGAGTCTTGCGCATCTGTTGATACCAAAAACATACAATTCGGACAATGGGTTTGTCGCGCAGCGCTAGCGAAACATTTTCCGGTGAAAGGCTGTATTTCCCCATATACGAAGTGTACACAAAGCAGAATTACCGTTTGTGCATATGAATAGTTAATTAGCAGTAATTAAAAACCCTTTAACCTATTGTCATGGAATCTCCTGGGTATGTTGATATTAAGTTGTTCTATACATGTACCGAGTTTTATATTTTTTCGTCACTCGATGATCGAGATCTGAGGGGGGGGGGGGTGGAATCCGAAAGAAGAAAGAAGAACGACTTTTTCTTGACCATTTTTCAATTCCGCTACTCGTTTGCTTGATACCGCGTTCCACCACTTGATTCGTTTACTTCTACGTGTGCCATAATGGGCTGCCATATTGTTTGGTTGAAAGTTTTCTTTATAGCAACTTATGCAAATTAATGATATAGTGAAATCTCGATAAGTCAAACTCTACTTAACTTAAAGCAACTGTTAAATAAAAAACAGAATCCTTTGCCTTCAGAAGTATAACAGAGTCAAAATTTGAACCTGTTCCGATGAGGTTTGACTTATCCAGATTTACTGTATTTCTGATTCTGAGCTTTTGTTTCGACATAGACGAAACCACATCGCTGCGTCACGAGGGAAGGAACGCACGTGTGTCAACTTAGCAACTTAAATATTAATGTTTGGTCCGCCGAGCAAAACGCACGCGCTAAAACCCTGCGCCATTGGTCCGTATAATGTACTAAGTGCCGGTATACATATTCATGCGATACAACTGACCAATGAAAGCCTTCCAAACGCGCGCGTTCCTGATTGTGACGCAGTTTGATACCGGTATCCCCTGCGTCACGAATTTCCATAAGTAAACATTACGTTGTCATTCGCGCATGCTGTATACGTAACAGAGAAGTTGGTGTTTCCTTTATGTCGAAACAATAGATTTTACTCAAGTCTTCAGTATTTGCATAAGTTTCTATGGAGAAAACGTTCCACCAAACACCAAGCGGCCCTTAAAGGCGCATGTTTACGTAAACAAATCAGGCAGTGGAACGATATCAAGCAAACGAGTAGCATCGCTATTATTTTCGAGAATTTTTGAGCTACTTTTTGAGTGAATATAAGTCGATAATCATCAGCCATGGGTGGTAGCAATGAGTCCAAAGTTGTTTCGGCTCCGTCTTCAGCCGATGAGATTTCCTCAGGAATGATCAAAAACAAGTCTTTCTCCTTCTGGAAATTCTTCAAGAACCGTCGCAACAAGAATCGGGTAAGTTATGCTGAAAATCACATTGATGTTGCTATAGAAAACCTTCAATACGTCCCCATGCGCAAAGTTGAGGCTTTGAATATTCAAATTTAGTCGGGTTGTAGCTTTACGAACGATCACTTCAAGATTTAAAACGAAATAAATGTAAGAAACATCGGCAAACCATAAAGAAAAAGGAATGTTGTGTAGGCCTATATAATTATATATTGCGTATCGAATGCCATTGACGAATTTACTGAATCACTCTGGGTACATTCAAACATGCCTATACAAGATATCTCCCAATATCTGACGTAGCTTGCTGCTCATTTGGCTTTTCAGCAAATGTTTGATTTTCTTTCTCTCAGTAAGTGCTTTTCTAATTTTTGTGCTTAGGTGCAGTCTTAGTCCAACAGTGTGCATGTACTTGTTCTTGTTTCTGTTTTGCGTTAGTCCATCCGCGAGGCATCTCGCATAGGCGTCTAGATGATGCTTCCATATCTATATCTAAATATTTACCTCTTATACATTTTAGACAATTCCATTTGTGAGTTTGAATTGAATTGAATTGAATCGATACAGGGTAGATGTTTTTTTATGGTACCATGTTGACCAGTATAATTTACTCTCCAGGAGCAAGTTAGGAGCACCACTGTAATTCTAATTTCTTGATCAGTAAATTTAGTTAATATAATTATGTACATTGACTTAAAACTAGCAATTATGATGTCCGTATTGATGACAGTCAAGATCGTAGATTTAAGTTAGGCTCAATTGTTGAATGATGACAGGCGGCCCCTGCCCTGCCCGAGGACCAGCCTATCATCGTGGCTCGCCCCAAGACCCGTTCCGGCGGCATCGCCTACGAGTACTTCGTCCACGAGAAGTTCGGGTTCCTGAAGAAGCCACCAGCCCGCCTGCAGAAGCTGATGGAGGCTAAGAAACTGAGAGAGGCCCGAGGTGATGCCAAGCTAAGAGAGGAGATAGAGAACCGCATGAACTTGGCCGAAGAACGCCGCAGGGTAAGTTGAGCTGAGAAGTGGTAAAGAGACAGTGTAACTACAAAACTTGACCAACGAATAGAGCAGAAAGCTTGAGGCACAACAATTCATCGGTGCTGAATACGTATTTCTTTCTTTTTTTCTCGACGAAACAGAATGTGATTGACAAGGTCCGCAGGCAGCAGACCCGGCACTTGGTGGTGGACATTGGGAGAGCCCGTTACAACTTGGCCGCTCTGAAGGAGGAAAAGATCCAAATGACAGCAGAGCGCCTCCACCAAAAAGAGATGATGTCCCAGGTAGGTAGAGATACCTCACAGATGCCTCATGTACCTCATTCAATCACCTCACATGCATGTATCTGGTGCACCGTACCTCACCTTATCTACTATGACTCCAACAGTTTGGTACTGAAGGCAAACTTGTTAAAATTTCAGCTGACGTGAAGATTTCATTTTGCTTATTCACAGATTGTTCAAGATCGGGCGATCATCCACCGAGGCTTTCGCAAAATGCAGCGGAAACAGCGCCGCGCCGACGTGCGCCTGTGCGCTGCCCTGAAGAACCTGGCCCTGAGAGAAGAGGAGGTGGACCAGGCACGGAAAGTCATTGTGGCATCACCGATGAGAGGCGTGGAACCAGACCAGATCGAGGAGGAGGAATTGGGGGAAGAGTGCATAGAGCTGTGACTGAACAAACAACAAAAAGAGAAAAAAATGGGGGGATGCCAATTTTAATAGGATTCACAATTATGTAAATAACATCAAAATGGGGATAACAATTTTAATAGAATTCACAATATTGTAAACAGCAACAAAAAGTGGGGGATTGCAATTGCAGGATTTTTAATTATGAAAACAACGACAAATTGGGGTTATACTATTTGACGTCACAGCTTACAGTATCGAGGGTTGATTCAAAGATTGAAAGCAAGTTTAATAAATCAGGGGTTGATTTATATTCAAATTCAATATGACAAGATGGGAAGGGTTAATCAATTACATTGGAAATCTGGAAAACATAATTTTAGGGCCATGACATTGAGGAGGGCTGAATAATATTTTTGCAATATTGAAGAAAATTTAGCCATTCAATTGGTCATTTAGTTAGTAAATGAAGAAGTCAGTCGGTAGCTCCGCCTTTCTAACTTACTTTTCTAACTTATCTTTTCTTTTTATTTTCTCTTCTTTTTGGTATTTCCAACCTGAAGCTTCCTTCCATTTTCAATGCTTCTTCCCAACTCACCAGCAACTGATCACATTACAATTTACAATTGCTGGTGACAAATTGAAGAAGTATTTGCTGTCTTTCTCTACCTCAAACTTTCTCTGTGTTCTTTTCTGTACTTCTTCCCAACCAGCGGTAAGTATTGCTGCTGGTATTTCGAAGAAGTACTTCCTCTTTCATTTCAACTTCTTCTGATTTTCTTTCTTCGATTACAGCTTGATATTAAATGTCAATCAATCAAAAAAAAAACTTCCGAATGTGAACAATGAGGTCTCGGTACATTTGGCATCTTATTTTCATGGGGCACAAAAGTATTGAATCAAATTTTAGTTGAATAATGTAGGATGCTACTTTTTAAAAATGTAAATTCAAATGATCGATTCTTTGTTAGAAAGTTTCAGCCCTCCTCAAATATGCAAAATCATTGCACTTATTCACATAATTTCGTAATTCAGCTACATTTTAACCGGTAACCAATCATCATTGACTCCTTAATTATCATCATTATGTATACTGGTAACCAAAATCACTTGACTAATTATCAGCTGTTGGGGAGAAATTTGCCAAACAACTTTTTTATAAAAAAAAAAAAAATACCAAAAAAAAAATATATAGCAACAAAATGTAAAAAAAAGTTTTAAAATTAATAAAATGTAAAAAAAAATATAATATTAAAAATACAAAAAAAATATTTCAAAAATTTGTAATCGGTGGGAGCTTCTTGAAAAATTTAATCTGGTTCCAACTTTATTTCGAATTTTTTTTCTGAGCTATGTTTCAAAGCACACAATCCAACTTCAAATTTCCTCTTAATTTGTTTTCAAAAAATTAACCGGTTTCAGAAAACATGAACTCACAACTTTTTTTTTATTTGTTTGTTTGTTTCCGTTTTTTCTGATTTAGGTTTCTACTTTTTATATCTATCAATTATTTGTTTTGTTTAATTTGTTTTGGTTTTGTTACTTTGGGATTTTTGCTACATCGGAACCAGTACCGGTAGACCCAACTTTTAGGCCTCGCAGTGGTTAATAGCAATTTTATTTTTGTAACATGAAATTCCAACAATTGCTTTCTTCAGACTCGTATATACTGAGGTATAAATGTCATTTATACTTGTCAACTTGTTTGTATTGTTTCTGGTTTTCAAAAGTAATATGAAAGTAATTGTTTGTGGTTTTAATTCCTGGATGTCGTCTTGGAATGTAATAAACTTGCTATGAACCACGAAGATGTTTTGTAATTGTGTCTTTTATTTTTTGAACATTCAGTTGTAATACCTTTAGGAGTTTGCGGGATTTCTACCCAGTACTATTAATTAGCCTACAATACTGACTTCAAGAAATCTTCGATAATTTCTTTCTATAGTGACGATTAGTTTGTACAAAACGATGCGCGGAGTTTGAGTTAAAAAACATTAACTTTTAATTGGCACACCGTATACTTACCAAACGTTGATCTTGAACAACGGAGCAATAAAACACATGCGTTAACAAACTGGGAAGGCAAACGTGAATATAACAAATTAGAAAATCACAAAGGCTCTGCATCAAAAATTGAGGTGATTATACACCATTTTGCAAAATTTGGTTGGAATTAATGTTAGTTCAGGGCCACACGATGAACGTCTGATATGTCCTAGCATTCAAATTTTATGCGACCCCGTGCGCCAGCCATTTGGAGACAACTTTAGAAATTGTGACGTCATTTCGATCAGAAATGTGGACTAGGCTGTTGATTGGCAAATTTGGCTACCACGCTTTTGTAATCATGACAACATCGGGTTACGGATGACCCTATAGAGGGCGCCCGCTGAATGGTCAGAATCTGGAGATCAAGACGCATGTTTTGCATAATTTATCGCCTTATTTATTTTTTATTTAAAGGGAATATACATCATTTGCTTTTGCTGTAATTTTCAGAAATGGATGGAATTGGGGGGTTGGAAATATAAAGCAAATATAGTTACACTGACTTTTTGGAGGTTTTGGGTTCGAAAATGCTATAAAAACCAAGAAAAACGATCATTTTCCTGTAGTCTGGTTCCCTGACTCCATATAAGAAGAAACAGAGCAGTTTACATACATTGGGGAATTGTAAGGTCAGGGAACCAGTCTAGCTGGCTCGTACCCGTTCATAGGTTTGTAATCGATTGCAAACAAGTGCAATGGTCAATTGGGGCCAGTATTTGAAAAAAAGCCAGTTGTTTCCAACGCTGATCGGCCGATCAGCGTTGGAAATTGATACAAAAATACCACTTTTCTTGAAAATGACAGTATACCAGGCGCTATAATTTTACAGGATGCTTTAGACTGTCATTTACCAACATCCTATTAAGGTATTTCGCAAAAACTTGGTAGTTTTATTTTTCGATGTTTGCAAATGTTGTATATTCCCTTTAAAACAAATGAAGGTTTGGCATAATTATTCGCCGGATCTGGTCGCATATCATAGACCCTTGAATAGTTATGATTTTGCGCAGCACAAAAAGTATGAACTTCGGTTGTCCACCCACAATTACGGTTAGGTCCTGGTCTGCTGCCCTCAAGCGTCTCAAGTCTTTCAATTCTAAGCTGCTGTAGCTGTTGTCGGGTCACTAAGACAAGCTGTACAGGGTGAGTCAAAAAAGCGAAACCCAAATGTCGGGACTATTGTCTCAGTAACGTTCTGCATGTAGCACTTTCAAAATCTAGGATGTGAAAGCCCAATTCATAAGCTTTCTTTTAGTACAAGAATCATTCAAATCATTCATGTAGGCCTACTTCTCAAATTTTTAAACAGAATTTGAAACATCACTTGTGTACTTTTAAACACAACCACCGTTTTGAGTTCTGTCCACGGATCACAAGAAGGTAAGTGTTTTTTCAGCAAAACGAGAATAAATCACATAGGGGTGTATGCGAATTGTTTCCGTTTTTGCTGAAAGAACTGACACACTTGATTTGTGATCCGTGGACAGAACTTTAAAACGGTCGTTGTGTTTAAAATTCCATAACTTTAAAAGTGCACAATGGATTTGAGTGATTCTTGTACTAAAAGAAAGCTCATAAATTTGGCTTTCATGTCCTAGATTTTGAAAGTGCTACATATAGAACTTCACTAAAACAATAGTCCTGACATTTGGATTTCGCTTTTTTGACTCGCTCTGTAATCAAATGAAAAATATGTGATCAATGCTTTCCTGAGTCTTTGTTCATGTCCTGTAACTTGTGACTGGACGTGTGGAAGGACATATGCCAGTTGCGGTTGACTTGACCACATCACCGATAACAAGGCGCGCGCACCTTTAAAGAGAACTTGACATTGTCATGGGTCAAAGGTCACGATCGAACGTGCGCCATGTACGTGTATGAATGGTCCCCGTTCCATATAACCCCTAAAGCAAACGGGGCGCCACCAGTGAAGAGCTTTCACGCAGTGTCAATCCCCGTGAGTTTTGTGACCCCTGCGCATGACCTACTTCTGTCGTTTCCGCATTTTGTGAGAACCGTGTGTGTGCAGCGCTGTCGGGTACCAAAAATGACCACGCTCAGACTCAACTAGTGACCGAAGTACCTTCTTCTGTATAACTATAATAAGGCGTCACTGTTTTTATTTTAGCAGGTAGCCTGACTACCATGTGACGCCTTGTGTATTGAATCCTTATTGTGTGGTGTCATTTCGCATGAACCATTTTTGTGTGCCCGTGTTAGGCGAAGTAAAAAAAAAACAACATGTTTAGCGTCCCCGCCCGCTTCCTTTTTAGAGGCCGCCTCCTTTTTTTTTTTTTTTTTTTTTTTTTTTAAGACAAAAATTGATAAATTTTAACGATCTCTGACGAAAGAAATCGTATTTTTAGACTTTTATACCGTGTATAAAGCTGTGGAAATAGTCAATGAGTCCAAGTGGCGGCCATTTTGAAAAAAGCTGGTAACCATCTTGAAAAATAGACCGGCCGCGTTGTCTTGAAAAATGTGTCGGGCGGCCATTTTGAAAAGAAAAAAAAAAAAAAAGGGCCTCCTCCTTCCTTTTTGTCAAAGAGGCAGGACGCTAAACATGTTTTTTTTTTATTTTGCCTTAAAGCCTTTAGCAATAGGGAATTGAATCAATGCATTCAGACCTTGACCGATTGCCAAATGGCATGCAGTGTGAATGGGCTTGATGAAGATGAAGGCAAACCGGCAACCTTTTGTTCGTATTTTCACTCAAGCTGCTCAGACGGACTTGAGAAGTGAATTCAGTTGGTTGACTGAGTGAAAATGGTATCACTTCCGATTTTGGTCAAACTGTGCGTCGCGTTTTATTGGCTAATAGCCTGCTGGAATTTCCATTATAATCTCTGTAAATGCATAATAGCCCAAGGTGAATATAATGCACGTTTTTCTTTAACGGCTGTGCATTGATTTTGATCCATATGATTTGTACAGAAACAAAATATTCATGGCGGGCCGCCATTTTGTTTTCATTCTCGTTCCCACGAGTTGGTTGACCACATATTGAAGGTGTGCCGAAACAATAAGTATAAACTGTGCAGTAAATGGGAGTGTCAGTTCCTATATTTTCCCTTCATATGTCTAATGGCGATTTTTTTTTTTTATGTAGGCCTATATGTATTTTTGGCAGGAGTTTGTTTATTCAAAATGTCGTCAATGATAGGTTTATGCGCACAGAGTTCATGTCACGATGATCGAAAAAGATGTAGTTTGGTATAAGCACAGTGCACGTTATCGTGTTCCCATACCCCTTGGTGTGTGAATAAACTTTACACGTTACAAAATCAGCCGACAGATAGTATATGGCTGGAAAAAAAGAAGAATGGAAACGAAATGTGTCTCGGATATACATGTACATTGTAGTGTGGCAAAATGGCGGCACGAAATGTTTATGATGACCTCGAACGCATGGATTGTAAAGTTCATTGTATTGTCGCAAGGTTGGGAAGCTTTTGTCATAGACTGACCAACAAGTGACCAGTTTGGCCCATTATCAGAGTTCGGCAGCTGCAATGGTGTATTATACTGTCCATTTTTTTGTCACGGTGTGCGTGTAAAAGCAATCATAGTCAGCAGCCAAGGATACATAGACTATAGTTATGAAAGAAAGATCATAAATATAAAGTAGGATTTGTGTACATTAGTTTAGCAGGTGATGTTTCAACAGATGGTTAGGGTGATATGGTGATTATATCGGTCACGCGCACGGCTGAAGATTGGCTCAGTGATTATTATGGGCGACAGTTTCACTGGTACAGCTCAGTCAAGGGCGGATCCAGAACACAATTTTTGGGGGGGCCAAAAAAAAAATTGGTCCCCCCCAAAAAAGTGGGTCTAAAAAATTACGGCGTGGGGTTCGGGGCCCGTGAGGGCCCCGAAAAATTTTTGGATTCTAGATGCTCTGTGGTGCGATCTGAGGCAATTTCTGACCACTTTAACCAATTTTTTTTGAGGAAAAGATGGTGGTGTACTCATTGCCTGCCTTTATTGCGATGTCACATTAAAAAAAAAAAAATTTGTTTCGTTTTGGGGGGGCCATGGCCCCCTTTGGCCCCCCCCTGGATCCGCCCTTGAGCTCAGTATAGGCTAAGATATGTATTCAACAGCGAAGGCTATTTATAATTAAGCTCTCTCCTACTGTCTAATTCAGTAAAAAAGTTTTATCCAACGATGGCCTAAAAGTTGCATAAAAGCAGGCTAGGGAGGGACTGTAAAAAATATCCATCGAACATTTTATGCAAGTTTTTGTTTAATTATTTTATTTCCACAAAAAAATTCCGAGGTGCGACCACACGACTACCGCACCATTAGAGATTATGCACGATAGTTTGCATTCCTTCGTTAGATTACTTCATTTTTCCTCATGGCTATTAGTTGCCTGAAATTGCTCATTATAACTTAGATAATGTTTTTTTTAAATCGTGATGTAAATCTGTGTGTGTGACCCCTCGTACATGTAAGTTCCAACCCTTTCCCTGTTCCCTTCCCCGCTTATATATCACCCAGCTTGCCATTGCTCCCTACCCATTTATGTGCCACAGGCTTTATGTCAGAATACATTATAGTTCCATCAATCCAGATATTTTATTTATTTATGTATTTAACTAGGCTAAATCTGTTTGTTTCATTTGTGGTTACGTGTACTCTTGTCAGTTTTTTCTTCATATTGTTATGTCTATTTGTACAATATACAGTGTATGTATATGTTTTTATGGTTTCAATGTAAGGTTTTTTTTAATGTGAATGAACGAATGTTTTACATTATGAGAATACAATTGAATTGAGTTGATTATTCAAAATTCAAATCCCGAAGAAAAAAACGTATTGTGTTCATTTGCTGTCAATTGTAGCTTCTATACCGAACCTGAAACTAGTGGGATTGTGAATGACGATAGTTTGTTCACCTATGAATAAAATTCCTCCCGGCCTTCGGAATACGGTTTCGCTTTTGAGGAAACTTCAGCTTGTATTTATTATTTCTCGTATAGTTGGAGAGTTTTGGTTTTATGTCGGGTTTTATGATGCGTACAGTTTGTTGAAATCCACGCGGTAATGTATAGAGAGAAAACAGAATAAAGTTACTGCAGGCGCCCTGATCAGGTACAAGAGATAAACGGAATCAAATGTTGCCAAATTAATGTGATCGAATATGGCGTGTGAAAAAGTTCGTGTTCTTTTACAGCTGAACTGACGCATGGCCGAACAATTTTTGAGACCGAAAGGAATTAAATCCACACCGCGTTTACAATGGGACAAAAAGAAATCAGAATCCACCACAGGGCAACACAACAGTCCGTTGGCCGGAGGGCCAAATACTTGCACACAAAGACATATTTCTCTTCCGAATAACTTTCGATTCCGAGCGGCCATTACGCAACAAAATGTTCAAGGTGCAGGGGACGTGCACTTGTTTCGAAGTTTGCCGCCCACGTCCCATTGTGCGCGCGCATTCTCAACACCATAACTGCCAACGACTCTTGCGTGAATGCAAATTTGCAATCGGTGTTACGTGCAGTGCGGGAGGCTCGCCTCACTGCACAATATTTGAGTGTACACGATGCAACGAAACGAACATTTATGTTGGCTAGATATTTATGGGCGTTGCGAGGGTGGGGGGGGGGGGCATAGTGTCCCTGCCCCCCTCTAAAACTGATCAATCGAGAATATGTTGAGAAATACAGGCATTTTTGGGAACAATATATTTTGCCCCCCTCTAGAAAAAAATCCAAGCGACGCCCAAGTAAATATTGGCTGCACTTCTTACCAAAATAGACTTTTAAAAAGTAGGCCTACATGTTAGCACTTGGACTAGAAAACATTGTTGTTTTCATATTTCGAAACAAAGACCAACGATTTGAGTAATAGTTTCATAAGCTGATCCATGGATGGACATAGTATCTCGACATATAACGGTCGTCGTTGACTTTTATTGATATTGCGCGCGCAAAGTAAAAGTGAAAGCAAACTTTTTCAGGTCTTGTTTTGAGCCTTGCATTTTGTAAACACATAAACAAATCTCTAATCCGTCTTACGACCAAGAAATTGTGAAGAAGGTTCTAACACGAGAGGGAAATAAATAAATAAATAAATGGACGAAATTTGCAAGTTTTTACGATTGCCTGCTGCCGATTGTATTCTAATTTTCCTTTCACGAAATTTATCACACAATGGTTTACCAAATGACTCTGCAATCTTGCGGACGTTAACAAAAACCACATCCTCATCAGAATGCATGAATTCACATACACGTGTGTGTATTTCAATGAATATGTTAATTTTCGTGCATTCTGATCAGATTCACAAGAATTTAAATGTAATTTAGATTTGTATGTACATGTATACATGCATGTAATGGCTATATTGAAAAAGTTGCAAACTAAAATCCCGCCTTCGCCGCAAGCAGCTGCAGAATCCAAGCGCTTGTGTACTGAGGCCAGAGGTCAGGAGAAGGTTCAAAGGTCAACTCATGGTCTACATCGCTGGGTAAACAGCCGGAGTTCAGGTTAGCCGACCTCGGGGTAAATAGCCTTAATCGGGGTTAATGGTCCTCGGAAGTTGGAATGCCATGGTTTCCCATATAATGCCTGCTCTCGAGTCCCAGGGTAGGGGAATTTTTTTGGCCGTTTTCCCAGACCCAATCCCGTGCTCTCCTAAAACCCGTTGGCGGTGAACATTATTCGGTGGGAGTTTATTCCCGGGGGAGACATTGAAATTTCTGGTTGTTGCCGCGTGTCTTGCGTGTTCAATGGCTGTGGAATGTGCGGCCAGGTACTTGCTGGAGATTTTGACCGGAGCACGGGTCAAGTTGCAAGCTGGCTTAGTCTGGTTCCGTGACCTGACTATCACCCTGACGTCTCCAAACAGATCATCAGTCAAGTAGTCGTAACATTCAGAAATAGAACATGACGCAGCAAAGCCCTCTTAAGCAATACACCAAAATAATAGTTGTCAAAACAGACACAGAGCATTATTTCTAGTGGCATCGAATTTCGTACATGCAAGCCTTTATTTTAATAAACTTAAAATTTTCATTTGACCACGAAGCTATCATTTTTATAGCTCCATGATTTGACATATTGTACAGTGTACTAGGACAATAACAAACATGACCGGTATTTTGCTGGTAAATAGAAACTCTTTTTACACACGTACCCGAGATGTCGCGAACACAGACCGAGTGTCAACGAAAGCGTATATTCGGAAAACTGTGGACATGCTCGGGAAACAGGCGGGATATATATCTTTTTGTCACGTGACAGTGGCACCTACCTGACCAAAGACTTTTCCAAAAAGTCATAATCTTTTGGTCTTGGAACCAAACGAAGGCTTCCCAACTTGGAGGTGGGCTAAGAAGGCCTCGCTAGACAAGTTAATTAATACTTTCCCGCCCAATGCCCTTGCTCATGGTGCATTCATCATGGCGACTTCAGTCTTGCATGAACACACGCGCAGTGCCCTCGATAATAAAATCTCTTTGCTATGACCTATTAACCCATAAAATTTGAACATGATGGTGATATATGACAGAGATAAGAATAGGATTGTTCTGATGATTAGATTTTTTTGATGACAAAAAATGGGCGAAAATTTTGACAATAAAGATGACGAAGCCAGTGACGCACGAGAACGATCGATCAAAATACTTTGCCTGATATCGACAATTATAACAATACCCATGTCGACGATACAAATCAGAACAATCGTAATGTCCATTGTTCTGACAGTCGTTATCCTGAATATGATCAACCAACTACGATAATAACAACCAACTACGATATAAAAAATCTTAAAAAGCATTTTATAAATACCGACCTCATTCCAACAGTGTTCAAACAAACTGCTCCAGTTTGACTCTTCAATTTAGCACATTAAGGTACGTGCAAAACTTTTTTTGGATTTATGGAAATTTTATTAAAATTATAACGTAGGTCGGAGTACGGGGGAAAACATACGGGTAAAATAAGATGGGGACACATAACCAAGATCCTTTTTTCTTTCTCGCTTGGCACAGTTTGTAAAATTTTCTTCCAAAAGCTTCGAGCGGAAGGTCAACCTTCCGCGCAAGTTCACGTGCGAATTATTCATGAGCTTTCCACGAAGAGATTAACAGCTCCCTTTGTATTGTCGCTTTTTTGTTGCTGTCCTTTCTTTTCGGCCAACTGGACAACTAATTTGACCACTAGCTTGACCGGAACTGAGGCTCTTTTTTTTTTACAAAGGAAGGACCCAATTGGACAACGGCGGTGTGTGGCACAATAACAAAGTGGGGGTGGAATGTATACATAGTGGGCTAGAGCAGCGCGTCACGTGTGGCCAGCTGAAAAGAATGCTCGGCAAATTTGCGTATGAACTTTTATTATGGTACACTGTGCTACTATCGCGTACCCGTAAGGTTTTTGTCAGCTGTTCCAGTGCATGTACGCAAGGAGCGACTTCCATAGTCCGCGGTCACGTAGTAATATAGGAAGTACAGTTTGTGATAATACTGGGAATTTGGACGATCCAAGCCTTCGTGCTCCGAGCGAGGGACCTCCGAGTCGGTGAAATCCCGTGGATGCAGCTGGGGGGTGGGGAAGATTTGGGGAGGTGATCCAGTACCCCCAGCCCGCTCTAGGAGAGTTCTTGAGGGACCGGCCGGTCGTGGACTTGAGGCGTGGGGATCAGAAAAAAAGCAGCGTGAGCCAGCGTGATCAGCGTGGGATAAGTGGCGACATCCAAACGGCATGGCTTCAAGTGCAGGTACGGTGAACAAAAAAATGTTTCCCCTTGCTTTCTTCCACTCGTCAAGAAGTGTGGACAGTTTCCACTGACTTTTAGTAACTTGGGCATAAAATGTGCCTCTTTTGTGGTTGATTCGTCATGATCGTAGAATTAACGGTGATCCTGCATGCAATGTAGGACTTGGGAGGGCCCAAATGGTAACCCTTAAGCCAAGGGTACGAGCCTGGTTTGGCACTTCACCAAAAAAATGGTCACGGCAAAAGGCGAAACCACAACCGCTTCATCGCCGTGCACACCATGCACACTAAAGATCAGAGGATTACGGAAGCTTACGCTGTTGCGGTAACATTTGTGACTAAAAATAGTTGTTTGGTTGTTATGTGGTCAAGCAAAGGAGCTCGAAAACAACCAGAGTCTCATTTGTGTGTGTGTTATTTTAACAAGGTTGTGACGAGTTCAACCATGGACTTGATGGAGGTAGCATCCTTGGTTCAACAATGTTTTCTTTCTGCCTTCCGGTGATACATCTTAACAAACCAAAGCATAAATGTATAGCCTTGGGTGTAGCTCCATGGTTTGGCCATTTTCAAATTTTCTGCCATCGTTTGAAAAACCTTACTTGCAGGAATTTAAACATGTTTAGTATGTTTGGTGTATCATGACATGTTCATAATGTTAAGGCTGTCATGGTGGAGGTTCACATCTTGTCGGTGAAAGTTCATAAAAAAATGGGGCAAACTGGCGATTTGCGTTCAGTTCGTGACCAACCTATTTCAAGAATTTACAAACACTTAGAAAGATAAGGGCCCTTCCCTGCACTCCCTGCAGCATGATACAGGCGTGAAAAGTAGACATCAACAAACTCTGGTTTCTGCAAGAACGATCGAAGTTGAACTTTCTTGGAAAGGATGGGATGAGGGAGTTTTTGAACTGACGTTTGTCACGAGAGGTTTACGAATGTGCCCGTGATAAATAGACTGAGTAATTGTGTGGTTTTGCTGCGCTGCTTTGACCCACGAATGTTACCGAGTGATGAAACACAAGCCCCGGGTTTGAGTAAGCAACAAGTGTATCAATCAAGGGACGCCATGCTGGAATTCTACGCAGCTGCCTCTACCACGAGCGGGTCTGTTCCGGTACCATCATGGGTGCGCACACGGCATGCCACCACGGGTATGCACGCTCGTCCCATCGCACCTTGGAGTACCACAAAACCCTTGCCTTATCACGATGAAAGCATGAGGGTCAACTTTTTCTTTTGCTACTAAACTGCCCGGGTTTCCTTGTTGGAAACTATCACACAAAAGGATCAACAATACACTGCGGGAGTGCACCGTGCATGTTATGGATTCAAATACCTATGGACGATTTCGCACAAAAGTGACCACCAACGCCGTTTAAGAGGGATTTCCGAAGCGTGTCCGGCCAGGATCATAATCAAAAACAAGCCAAAAGGACTCCTTTTTTATCTTGGCCCATTTTGGATTGATTTCCGTTCAGTTGCTTATCTGGCCCGAGGAGATTTCTTCGGTTGGAACTTCTAGCCGCGCTTTTTGGGGTGTAATTTGGGCCCCCGCTGGCGAAACCTTGACCCTTTCTTGACCGTATATATCAAGTGGCCAAAGCGCGGGTAAACGCTTTGCCATGACATGGAGGTGGTGGGCCACCATTGTATCGTTCGGAGTCGGACATCGACCGTTCACAAAACCCATGCCTTGTGTGGTACAGTTTGGCCCAAGGGGCCTAAACAGAGGAGCCATTTTTGTATCCTGGCTCAAAAATAGACGATGGTGGCTATTTATACAGCAGAATCATTGACCATTTGCCGCTGTTGCACTCGTAATGTTATTTCAGCTTTTTCAACATGATGAGAAATTCGGCTCAATTTTTGGCAAGTTGCATAATTTGTCTCCCATTAAGAGGGCGGTTTTTCTCTTTTGTAAACTGTATCCACAGCAGTGAGAAAACCACAATATTTTACTTCACTGATTGTTGTTTTTTAATGAACTGTTTCCAACCTCTGATTGGTATCTAACAGTTACTACTTCTGGTTCGATTTACAATTTGGACCAGTATCCGGACAAAGAATACAGTGCAGCTTCTGTGTCAGTTTATTCAGTTTCAAATTTCGTATAGGAGAAATGGGACTTAAATTTGAACATCTGGTTTTAGTGCTCCATGGTTCTGCATATTCCCACATTTTGAGACCAGTATCCGGACACAGAATACTGGTATTTCTGGGTCCGTTCTGGAAGGTTCGCCATCGACATCGCGCATGGTAAATGAAAGTTGAATACATGTGATCTTTCAATCTTTCCTCTGTCTGTTGGGGGCAAAACTAGGGCAGGGATTTGTATTGCAACTTTTCCGTTTCACTGATGCTACCTGAATGAGATTCTGTTCATTGGAATCCCCGTACTAACAGCGTGAATCGCCCACGGGAAGACAAAAATGAAGCGGGAAAAGGACGCACAATGCACGATCACCCTTCGTGGCATCCATTTTTTTTTGCAACATCGTTCCATCGGGTCAAGGCTGAATGCCTGGCAAACGATTGTGAAACCAGCAGTTAGCAGAATGGACACCAGAGGTAAATTTCAGTTGACCGTACAATTACCGTCCACCATGGCGAGAGTAACTTTGGATATCTTCGAAACTGTACAGCGATGGATGTTGAGTTAAGAATTGAGGGTCATTCCACAGAGCATGGTCATTCCATGGTCATTCACACGAAGTGAAGTGCGGTTTTACACTAAGTTTAGACATAGAGCAAGGAACAGTAGTGTGTTAATTGCAGTGGTTTTAGGAAATTGGCCACTTGTTGTAAAAGCTGGTCATTACATCTTTAAAAATGAAAGGAAATAGGCCATACAATTGTTAGGTCCTTTGCCCTTTCCAACTTTTAGGCGAAGAGTTTGTACCCATGCTATCGTGCCCACGAATCTCAAGCGCACCACACAGAGCGAGGGTTGCACCGTGCGTAGCCGCTCATGCACGGGGGACTCGGGCGATTTCTGCCGGTCGAATTCCCGCGCTGGTCCCTCGAAAGAAAACCCCTTAAATTGGTTAAAACCGCCACGCACGCAAATGGTCTTTTATTTGTGTGTAATTGATATCATCATGCGGTAGTTATACATTAGTTCAATATGTTTATTTGGATCTTATTAACTTAAATTTGTGTAAGGATTGTGGGGTTTTGTGGAATGTTTATCTCGGTGACTTGTCTTCACGAAAGTAAGGGAAAGGCTTGTACAAATGTTCTTAGATTAAGAAGAAGAATCGTCGGAATGCAGAGAATTATAAGGTAATTTTCTTTTTTATAGCCCCATGTTCTAACCATTTACCTTTATGTCTGGGCCTATGCATGAAGGTTTGGATTTCGTTGAGGTTTCTGCCGCCTAACAGCTGCTACGTTCCCCTTTCCAAATATACAATTGGGGGGGGGGAAATACCACAATTTATCATAATATGATAATATCCCTGTAAATGATTCTTAAAATATCTGTGAAATGTCGAACAGGTTTATTGTGAACATGTGGTATTAAATCTTGAAAGAAAACCACGTGCTCTTGCCTGATATTTCATTAGGTTTAATGTCTTTTCTTCCTGAAAGTCAACAAGATGACATGCTGCCCTGGAAGATTTTTGAAGTGTTGGGCCAGTTTTGAAATTTGCATGAAATTGTTTTGGGTCAACGACTTGCATAAGTCCAAGGCATACAGCCTTACAGGTCATATCGACATTGTGGAGTCGCGCCAACATTCAACATGTATTCGTATAAAGGTACACTGAAAAACTGCCTGGGTTCATTTTACCCAAGCAAGGGTGAAAACTGCAACTACCCAAAATTGGGTTGTGCTTTACCCAATTGTTTGGGTTAGAATTTCTGTTAATTTCAACCACGGGTCTTGTATGACCTGGGCCCAATTTCATAGCACTGCTTGACAGTAAGCAGAAAAGTTGTGCTTACTATAGCAGAAAATCATGCTGCTGCTTAAGCACTATTTCATGCCGTGATTGTGCTTACAGTTGCGCGCGCATGGAGATTTCTATTGTTACGTCACTGATTTAAGCAAAGTTTTCTTTTGAGGTTAAGCCTGCTTTTGCTGTGCTTACTGATTAACGGTCCCTATGAAATAGATGGAGGCTCAGTAAGCACAAAGTCGGCTGTTAAGCAGCGCTATGAAATTGGGCCCTGCAGAAGTTTTGGTTGAATCTAACAGAAATGATAACCCAAACAATTGGGAAAGCATAACCCAATTTTGGGTAGTTGCAGTTTTTCACCCTTGCATGGGTAAAATCATTGCAGTGTAGGCTGGTAGTGGTACTTTTGCATTAATTTGTTTTCCTTCTTAGTAAAAAGTAGAGCATTTTTGTAAAAACTATTCCTGTGAGAACAATATTCGATTCTTCAAAATGAAAAAGTTGAATCGGTGAGTTGTTGGTCCTTAATAATGATTGATCAAACTGCAATGATGATCGATAGGACAACAAAAGATACCTGTAAGTTTCTGTTCAATTTCATGTGCACATGTTCGTTTAATGTTATACGTCAGTTTGAAGATGTTGGAGCATTTTGATTGATTTTACGGTGAGGACATCTTTGATTATGTAGAAGAAATGGGGAGTTTTTGGTCTGACGATGTTGCAATCGCTTGAAATTGAAAACAGAAAGTATCGGAAGTGCTTGCCAAAATAGGGTTGGCAAAAGGGCGGAACGGGGTGATATAAACTTGGCACTGGCCCCATACTTTGTCCAACATCTCGCCGTGATCATGACCGTGTTCCCGGGTGAGCTTTGTCACTTCTGTTGCACGAAATATCTGGAGTGTATCAGTGAGTTTTCCTATCCCCAAAACAAGTTAACTGTTGTATTTCGAATAAAGATGTCCCAACACGTGCATGTTCAAATCCTATTAAGCACTGAGCACAATGAACTGTCTGCAATATGTGCATCGGCGTAAATAGAAACCAGAAGTTGAAAGCAGCAACTTTTCGTCGGACTACCTGATGTCCAC